TTAGGATCCTTAGTCAATAGCTAATTAGGCTATGGTTAGTATCTCTGTTAAAGAGGGGTATATAGAGGGGTTTTCTCCGGGGGAAAAACAATGGTCTAGCTAGGCCGGTTAGGCAACACGTAAGCATATATATATAGGGAGATACACCTATATACCTATATAGGCTAACAATATCACTATCGTCGAGGATCACTAAAGCTAACTAGTATTTAGGATCTAATAATATATATATACTCGGCTAAGTTTGAACTTACTAGTCGTTATTTAGAGACTATAAAGTTGGATAGATTTAGGAATAAGAAGGAGGCCGAGGATAAAGAGGTAGACGCTAATAGTAGAGATAATTATATAGATAGGATTAGTAACACTAAGAAATAAGATCCTATATCTAATCCGAGTTTAGATTAGTTAACCGTCGAGGCCTATAACTAGTAAGCCCCCTCACTAGGTAATTAGGCTAGCGATAGCGATAAAATCAGCTTAGCTAGTAAGGAAGACGATACTAATAAGGAAAGTGATAACGGTCTAGTTCTTCTATTACTAGAAGGAATTAGCCGAAAGCGCTTATTAGGGAGGATATATAAACCTTCTAAGCGGCTTAAGGATTATAAAACCTATTAAAAATAAACTAATACTATTTTTACTAGATATAATTAAGTTTCCGTGTATCCCTTATACCTTAAGATACTCTAAATTACTATATAATTATATATATATTACGAATACCCCGCGTAGGCGGGTTTAGGCGGGTAGGTTTAGATAGTAGGCGGACAACCCCCTATCCTATCCGCCTATAGATATTAGTAGACTATCTAAACCCGCCTAGTAGGCAGCTTTAGGTAGCTTTAGATAGTCCATACGTAGACTCTGCCGAGGCCTATATAGAACTATAGGAAAACCGTAATAGACTATATAGAGGGCTATAAAGACCGTAGAAGACCGTAAAGAACTATAAGGAGGACCGTATAGGACCGAAAAGGACCGCTAGAAGGCCTATATAATAGTATAATCCTCCTTTTCTTCCTAAGTCTACACTTTATATTAGAGAAACCAATTTTAAAAAGAGATTATTAGAATATATTAGTAGTAGAATATAGAATTTTAAGATAAATAGTTTAACTAGAGAATCTAAGCTCTCTAATAATACCTTTAATACCTATTTTAGCTATATATAGGGGGTTATATATACTTAACGAAGAAGTCTTAGATAAAGATAGGGTTAGGTACTAATATCGAAATATATATTTCTTACCTTAAACACCTAGCTAGCAATAATTATTACTAAACCTCCCTATTAGAACTTAGAAATATACTAGTACTAGTAGGTCTAGGTATTTTAAATAGTAGATTTTCTATATACGAGTATATTTCATATATTTTTATAGTGGCTAATACTGAAATATAGTAAATGTTTATAAAGAGACTAAAACAGTATTAAATAACAGTAATTAAATAGGATGGATCATCAATTTATGTAGCCGAAAAGGGAAGGTCTTAGTAGAATTATGTAATTGCGGTTCACCGTGGTGAAGACCGTAAGGGACCGCGGTTCACTATAGTGCGGTCTCAACCCCCGAATTCGAGACCGTAAGACCGTGCGGTCCGGTCCGCGGTCCTCGACCTGAGGACCAAGACCGCACCATGCAGAGGCCTACCTACACCTACTTAGCGATACGTTGAGCTATAAAGACTATATATATAGTCCCTACGAGGGTTAGCCGATCGTAATAAAAAGGTTTCCACGTGGTAGATAGATCTCCTCCCCCCTTTCTCCCTTAAACTTAGTTGCTTCGTTGATCGGTGCTATATTGATCCTCTTTTTTTGCCTTTATACTATAAAAAACACCCAAAAGAGTACCAATCATTGTTCCCCGGGCTCAATACACCGGAAGGAAGATGGTACAAGTCAAAATCATAGGAAGGGCATGATTCCGTTGTTTTTAGATCAGTGTCCGCTGCCCACTAGTCTTTAAATCATTCCATCTTTACTCAGATTTCACATACCCATAACCTCAATATGAAGTTCCCAAGTATCCTCGGAGCTACTTTGGTGGCTGGGCACATTAGTGCAGTTCATAGCCAGCTCGCTGCTTTCAATCATATAGAGAAGCCGTCCGATACTGGTTATATTTCTTAGTATATCTATTTGACTGACCATACCACTGGATTTACCTACGGTGCAAATAGTGATGGGGATCTCAATGATTGCGCTACCTCTGAATATTAGGCGTATTAAGTCATCTATTGATTTTAACTCTCATATCAATCCAGAAAGATAAACAAAGCACTCATAAATGTTCATAACCCAGCTAATATAAAGGTATGGTAAGGACGCGAAACAAAAACCCAACCTACTAGCAGCAGTGGCCTCACTGCTGAGAAGTTTTGGTGGTATGCTTTAATGGGCGGTTGACCGGTAATCTCTCTGGGTTCTCTGGCTTCTTTATTTTTGTTTGATCTTGTATCTTCTGTGTAACATCTCTTACAGCGGCCGATAGAAGCAAGTTGCTCAAAACTATTTCAGTATGATTATCTACCGCCTCGTTAACCGCCTTTGCCCTAAAGGCCTATACACCCATCCCTGTTAGGCAATGTAGGCTAATTCGAAATGGCTGCATGATCAAGCAATCTCGCCCCTGGCAATCTCTCTCTGCCAATTTCTCTGCACCCATCACCGGCGCAGGACCTTCGCCCTTGCAAGATGAGACCTCAAATCCCTCTCGATTGATTCAAGGGGGAGATTGCAGCCCTAACGCTGAGGGAAAATCGGTCCAGGCAATTTGTGCCTCTCTGGTCCACGTGACCAGGCCTATGCTTGACAGGCGTATAGTAAAAATCCAGGTCTGCAGTGGTTGGCCTTAGCTAAATATTCTGCCGGTCTTTCTGCCTAATAAAATGGGTTTTGAGCAACTTGCTTCTATCGTCCGCCGTACATCTCTGCCCTATTCGATTTATTTATTTTGACAATTTGAAGGTTTTAGATGGAAGCGACATCTTGTCGAAAATAAGGTACATACGATATCTCTATAGTCGTGTTATAGTTTCGTTATACATACGTCTTTCAATGCACTCCATACAGAATCTTCACATGATCCCCCGATCATTGAGGAGCTTTATTAAATGCTTTGCCATGGAGAGTAATATCAAATGACAAGCTTAGAGCAATTCATCAGTCGAATTGGTTTCCCAAGCTAATGGACAACACTGTCAACGTGGTCAGCGGTTCCCTGAAATAATTAAAAAATGGAATTGACTTTGCTAGCTAGGGAAAAGCAAAGGAGCTTCAGTTACCGGTTTGGTTTAGAACTGATGTTTCTGCAGCTCTTAACGGCGGTCGTGACGATTGTGGATTCTACCTGAGCCTTCACGATTAAAACTTACCAATTAGTGCTTATTTGAGAGACATGCTACGGTTCCAGAACACTCTGCAGCATAACGCAAGCCTATCGACCCACAAGCTGATATAACCACCAGCCGTGGTCACCAGACTGAAACGAGCCACTATCGATCGGGCTTGCCAATTTGTTGGAATTCCCAACGAATCTGTCAAGTCAGACAGGAAGCTAAAGGGTAGAGTCTAGTTAGCTTTCTATACTTTGTCCCGATCCGGCAGTTGCAGAAGAGATTTTTGTGGGGCCCTATAAGAGCTGAGCTCAGCTAAAGGGTGAAGTAGCCAGCAATCAACTACCAGAAATAGCCCGCGGGTGTTGTTTGGCATGTTGGCGCTGACGGATACATCTCACGCCTGACGAACACAGTGGGACTCGTGCCGTGGTAGGTTATTCTCTTCTATTGATTAAGAAGCAAGGATATATGCTCATGACTCATTCTCACTGTCCGTTTCCCTTGGCGGCTGCAGGCTAACCTTAGCGAATGTCGTTCTACACAAAGAGTAGTGGGGCACGTTGAGTGCCGGTCACCCCACTATAACAATTTTGAACGCTAGGCCCGATCTGTTGTAAGAGGCGGGAAAGTCCTGCGATCTGATTTCATCGTCTCTGTGTACCTTTTTTTTTGACCATTCCGCCTGATCTCTCTCATTCTTTCCGATGCCACACTCACACTAGCCATCTTGTCTCATGGCGGAATTCAAGATCAAATGATTCTCCAACAGCAGAGAGATGCTCTCGCTACCGATTATTTACGGCCTATCGGTAATAGGATGGTATAATATTATCCCCTGCATATCATGGCCATAATTGGCACTAGCCGGAAAATAATCTGGCGCTATATTCGCCTGCCTCCTTTGGTTACTTTCTAGGACTTGGATTTTGTTAATCAGATTATCACATTTTGACAGGCTCCAAGGTTGAATTCAATGCTTGATAAGATTAAGTCGGCACCCGGCCCGCTTACCTGTGGGTCTACATACTAACATCCTAGGGTGTTGCCCTTGGGACTGTACATGAATGATCCCCGTCGAAGAATTTCGCACCTGATGTAGTTTAGCCCCGGATGTAGTACCTTTCCCGCAATTTTACGTTTAAGAGAAAAGACATCAAACTTAACAACCACGCTTTTCCCCCTTTTGAGACATAAACCTTCGACCTATGATATGTCACTAGTATTTCCTCCAGTAGAAAAAATGTGTCGGTCACTTTTTAACATGTCAGCCGAGTCTTTGAGAAATGAAAATATTAAAGTTTTTCACAGATAAGCTTGTCAGATTATAGACCCATCGATCAAAATTCCACCACGCTTGCAGAAGAGGGGTAAATCAAGTGTAGCATACGTAAGTGTTTCATGTAGCTAGATCCTTGGTGGGATAGACTATTTCGATTCTGGCCTAGATAGTAGCTGACACATGCTTGACACATGATGACTGTAATACACAATCACGAGGCGAGGAGTCTGATATATCGTCTGATTACGGCAGCATTCAAATTATGAGAAAAGTATATAAATGAGAACGCTCGCTTCAAAATAATGGGAGTTTCAATCACAATATCCCAGGCACTTCACAGAATTATCGGTCAGAAGATAATCCTCCCTTTGCCAAAATGATGAACAAGGTGAGAATTAATCAATCCGAGTACCCTATGATCACACCCAACTAAAGATCCTAAATTAGATCACTGCCGTATTCTCTGCCCTTGCAGTCATGGCCGTCGCGAATCCTACTGTCGGCTATGCTGGATACTTCTACACCAATTGTACCGTGCCTAGCATCGACGCCGCAAACGCTTATGCTGGATCTTGTATCAACGTGGAGAACTTTCCGCTCAAATCATTCACCGCTTATGTCGAGGCTGGCTCCTGTTCAGACGGTACATCTGCTGTTCTCAACACCTACACGGCGTCCGGCTGCGATGATTCTACTCTTTTTGGGACTTATAGCGTCAGTGGCGAGAAGCAGTGCTTTGAAGCAGATGTGACACTGGTCAGTCTGAAGGCAGAGTGTGTCTAAGGGCACTGGAGAAGGCCAGAGACTCTCATTCCTCACCTTGTCAGCATCAACAAAGCTAAGCCCGTGGAATAAATGGATGGGACCAGTGGATGTATTTCATAGTATCAAGTCAATGTTCACTTGTTCCAGAGACAGTGAACTTTGAATTGCATCCATATGTCACCTGTGCTGTATGTGAAAAGCGGATAAGGTACAAGCAGAGAATATACAAGATATTTGGGATTGTAGATTGGTCTTGGCGTTCGCTACATCCACATGTATTCCAGTAGCGATGAAACCCATACTTTACCCGCTATATTTTTCTCATATTGATAAGCTCTACCATAGACTCTAATTATCTTTCCATGTTGTTTTCTATGATCCGTGATAAAAGCGCCAAGGCTAGATTTATATCTGAAGAACATGACTGGGATTTTTCGTAGATCGGGTGGCCTTTGTACCCGAAGGTTTCTTGGCGGCCTACAACTAAAAGCCTTCCAGCGTGGAAGATGGAACCTCCTCTTATTTTCTTCTCTAAAAACAGTTGCTTCGTTTGATGGCTTTGAATTAAACTTCTCTATTTGCCGGGCCTGTAATAAGCTCCATATGTTGCCAAATTAGTGTCATGCTAGCTGCACATTATGTCTTAGTTGATTCCCTATATTAATGATTTAGCTTTAATCGGGTAGCGAGTCATACTTCCCGCGTCACTACAATTCAGGACAGCTATCGTTCGAGATCTCCCGTTACACGCTCTTGGACCAAGAATATTTTCTTTGCCACTTTTTTTCCACGACAGTGCATTAACTAGTAACTTCTTTTGCGAATGTTTTTGCATTGACTGGATAACTTTCGAGAAAATGGCTGTTTGATACATACCGAAGAGGCAAAGTTCCCGCGAAGCAGCCTTTCCATGACGTTCAAAGCAGGTGTCAGAAAGACGTAAACAGCTAGCGGAACAGAGGCCAGCAAGGTAATTTCGGGCTCATACTACGGCCCCGGTTGCAGACGTAGAAGTCCGAGGAGCTAGCGAGCACAGAAAGCAATTCCAGTAGCGATAGAAGAGACCGAGCCTATCCGAGAACATTTTACCGTACCGGCAATAATGGCAAACGTCAACTGTCAAGTCATTTCCACCGAATATATTAGGACAGTCTGTACATATGTACATCACTGCGAAGACGGAACCACCACAGCATAGAATTGAGTTAGATCTTCACTGGTCTGTAATAGGACTTGGATCAACGTCGATTGGGCTTGACTGTAAGAAGTTTTTTTTCGGAGCGAACTATAGCCTCTTTATTACATTATATATTCATGATAAAGAGGGAGTTCAGTATGACCGATCTAAGGGCGAAACCGAGGCGTATGATACTGGCAGTTACGCGTTAGACATTCCTGATATCTTATTGATGCTGGGAGATCAGCGAAACAAATCTGGAGGTCTTAATCGGTTCCTGATCTATTATCACCGGTCGGCTACCAGCACTATTGAGATTGCCACGCCGTCATCTCCCTGCATTCCTTTTACAATTTGAAATCTTCACAAAGCAACACAACCACCAAGACGTAGTCAAATCTATGTCATATCTATTAAATATTTCCAAGGAGATTAGGGTATCATCATGGCTGTGGGGCTTATTAAAGATGAAATGATCTATTCATCTACTTGGCAGTAGCTCTGTCATTTGTGAACACGCCTTCCGACCTTTAAAGTGTATCGTGTATATTGCCGAAATGGGACTCTTTTCCATCAAGGTCATCTTTCTTATTACCTACGATAAATAGGTTACTCAAAATCTAAATGGAAAGTATAGTGTTGTGATGATTCGACGCAGGTGTTGATGCCTGAAATTGATGCCTACAGTAGCAGTCATATATCCCTTTTTGTCCCTCTCACTCTGCCGCACTATCCCCTTCTTTCTTTCCTCAAGCCAAATTGTTTTGTTGAATGCCACTGAATGGATTGATATTCTTCCTCTCGTACCTCAGCGTGAGAAGTCTAATACATTCCATACTACTCCATATACATAATGCATTCTAATTCAAACCTGCATGTTCACAAGAAAAGAAACGAGTCAATCTTAAAAAAATAAGACACCGTGTACCTATACGATCGATTAAATCCATTCATTCCGACTAATTATTTGATAAGTATATTGAAGAAAGCTTTTACCAGACGCGTGAAAAGGTGTTGAGATAAAAAGGAAAATCAGTACGATGGTACAATTATACTTGGTATGCAAGAAGAACCTATAAAACTCGAAGGGAAGCATGTATCAACGGTGCATCAAGAGAATTTATCTTTGATTTCGTAGCCCCTATGGCTTGTGCTAGCTCGGAGGTCTCACGGAGTATGGAGCAAAGAGTTTGTACCCCTCTGAACCTTAGTGAAACCTCGTTGTACTTTAACCCATTGACTTGCTTCTTAGTTTAGCGCCATGTGATTCTATGGAGCCTGGATTCCCCTTTCAAGCCTGTTCTCCCAGTTTCTTTCTCCGCCTTCTTGTGTATAGCCTGTTCGGATCAATCCTCCGACAGCCTGGCTTGTGTTTCAAGGAGAATCCTGCCTACAGTAGCAGGTAGTAGCAAATGAATACAGAAAGCCATTTCTTACCGTTAGCCGGGTCTGTTCCGGCTAGTCAAGTCATCGTGGATATGCAGGGTCCAACCACGCATGACGTGTGAATTGGTTGTTTACCCGATGCAGCATTTACCCCTGAATTCCCGGCCTTGGCCCAAACATGCGACCCTTTCAACGCTGCGCCCGTTCTGCAGGAATCGACACGGGGAGCTCACCGCAGGGGTAGAATTAGGATTAGATGCGGGGTACGGGGACATGACTTCTTCAGCGGCAATTAGGGATGATGCTCCTCCCGAATTCACCCCAGATTCGGCGCAGAGGCCCGCCACAGGCTTGGTTAGTGACATGGTCGCAGGGGTCTCTACATTGAAAGCGCCCCGGCAGGGATACCCTTCCACATAGGTACTAAATAGTTTTCCGGCACTTTTCGCCCGTGCTACAAAATGCCCTCTTCCAATCAGTCAGAGACCATTGCATCGTTGCAAAATGCGCCCAATTACGCTTTGTTTCCCGTGCCCCTTATAGCCCCTGTCCACAATGACGGAATCAATGGGATAAACGTATAAGTACTCTCTACCCATCACTCGTATTCCAGAACAACTTCCTGTTCCCTGTCTATGAGATCGTTATTGACCATTATGCCAGCGACCAGGGTAAGCATTGTTGCGGCTATATTGGCCCTCCTGCCTCTCAACCAGGCACAACAGCCTGCCACAACAGCCCCTGGGAACCCTGCGCTCACCACCTGGAAATGCTCTAGCACCGGAGGATGTGTGATACAGGATACCTCGGTCGTTCTGGACTGGGGGTATCACTGGATCCATGCTGCCGGTGGCTATGAATCTTGCACAACCTCCTCCGGCGTCAATAAAACCCTCTGTCCCGACGAGGCGACTTGTGCCAAGAATTGTGTTATCGAAGCCGCCAACTATACCTCTGCTGGTGTATCAGTATCCGGGGACTCTCTGACAATGCACCAGTATGTCGAAAGCAACGGTGTATACAGCAATGCCTCTCCACGGCTCTACCTCCTTGGAGAGGATGGAAACTACGTGATGCTGCAGCTCCTTGGCGGTGAGCTCAGCTTCGACGTTGATATGTCCTCTCTTCCTTGCGGTGAAAATGGGGCCCTTTATCTGTCTGAGATGAGTGCCACCGGTGGAAGAAATGAATACAATACAGGCGGTGCTGAGTACGGCTCGGGATACTGCGATGCACAGTGTCCGGTCCAAACCTGGAAGAATGGCACGCTCAACTCCGGTGGCCAGGGCTATTGCTGCAATGAAATGGATATTCTCGAAGCCAACTCAATGGCTAACGCATACACTCCACATCCATGCAGCTCTACCGACTGCGATAAGGGCGGGTGTGGCTTCAACCCCTACGCACAGGGTATCACTAACTACTGGGGACCCGGTGATACCGTCGACACCTCCAAACCCTTCACGATCACCACCCAATTCCTCACAGATGATGGCACCAAGACTGGCACGCTGACTGAGATCCGGAGACAATACATCCAGAACGGGAAGATCATCGCGAACGCGAAGTCGTCAGCGGGCCTTGATTCCATCACTCAATCGTGGTGCGAGTCTTCCGATGGTTCTGCGGCGACATTCGGCGGCTTGACCACTATGGGCCAGGCACTTGGTCGTGGAATGGTTTTGATTTTTAGTATCTGGAATGACGGAAGCCAGTACATGAATTGGCTTGACAGCGGAAGTAACGGACCGTGCAGCAGTGCCGCAGGCAACCCAGCGACCATCCTTGCCCAAAATGCTACTACTCACGTTGTCTTTTCCAACATTCGCTATGGAGATATTGATTCGACCTACACCAACCCCGAGGGCTCCGGCTCCGGTACTACTACCTCAAGCTCAACGTCCCTCACGACCAGCACGGCTACCAAGACCACCACAACCAAGGCAACGACCAAGGCGACTACGACGACGACTACCACCACCGCTATAGGGGCAATCCAAACTCACTGGGGTCAGTGTGGAGGTCAAGGATGGACTGGCCCGACGGCTTGTGTATCAGGAACTACCTGCAAGGTTCAGAATCCTTATTACTCACAATGCTTGTAGATGGTGTAGTTAGTTTAGCGAGAATCTAGGTGGCAGAAATCCTTGAGCGGGCCAATCTTTGGATTGAAATCCGATATATCACTCTTGGGTCTGTGAGACGATCAACTCTTTTGCTTGCAAAACAAGACAGAGTATCTGAGTAACTACTTGTGGATCCATAAAACCTGACCAATTTTGACCTTTCTTCATCCTCGGACAGACTAATCGATAAACTGTATTGGAAGGCAGCGCATAAGTACGCCATGAGTCCCTCTCCGACTATTAGAACACACGACTACCGGATCGTATTTGAAGGTTATCACCTCCGCAAGAACAAGGGTTTACCCCCCTTAAACCGCAACCACGTCGCATCAAAGTTTCTTAACATCTGAGAAGGCATCTGCCAGCGTTTGCAAGTTTCGAAATGGAAAAAAAAAGATCATTACACCGTGCCCTAACTGGAATAGATTCACGGGTAATAGCCCGTCACAAAAATGACAAATGTCAACACTAACATTGAATCTAATTCCTAATTTAGCCAACAAGACCACAGTCAGCCACTCTCGGACACTGCCCCGTTACAAAAAGGACTACTTATAGCTAGGGTATATAGCCTGAAACACTTTTACACTGCTATCTCTTTCTAGAATACGGAAGTTTAAGAACACATACCTCTAGACCCCGCTTCTTCACACTTAATTAAGGATGAATGTTCCGGACCGTCGGGCCGACCCCGAGCACTATCTTTTTTCTGGCGACTACATACATGAATCCACTCCGATACACTGAGTAGATCTTCAAGCGATTGACCTCATACTGAATATAATAACCTTCTCGTTGAACCCTATCTGGTCCCATTCCATCTACAGTGTCATTTTCAAATCAATTCAAGAATATTATGCGGGGCGAACTTATACTTGTTACTTTGGATCTGCTCGCTGGGGCCATTGCGTACCAGGCTACTACTACTGTTCGCTTATCTCTGTTCAGTGCCGGCTATCTAGATGTTGAAGCGATTTCGAGCTAATGAGCGTCTCTCACAGAGGTACTATGATGGCCAGGAAGGTGCTTGCGGCTGTGGATCCAGCTCTGGCCTTTTCCCTTGGCAGGTAAACACCAGCCAATGCTCAAGGAGCTACTTGCACTTTTGAGAAAGCGAAACTTTACTAACATATGCAAATCTTCAGCTTGGAATCACCAACGGCGTTTACACGGCAGCTGGGTCGCAAGCATTCTTCGACACGGGCGGTGCTTCCTGGTGTGGCGCTGGTTGTGGTAAATGCTACAATCTGACCTCGACCGGCGAACCGCCTTGCAGTAGTTGCGGTACCGGTGGAGTCGTGGGCCAGAGTATCATTGTCATGATAACCAATCTCTGCCCTTACAACGGTAACCAACAATGGTGCCCTAATGTTGGTTCCACAAATCAATATGGGTACAGCTACCATTTCGACATCATGGCTCAGAGTGAGATATTTGGTGACAATGTGGTCGTTAATTTTGAACCCGTCACTTGCCCAGGTCAAGCGATTACGGACTGGGAATCTTGTGTCTGTTATGGAAATACTGAGACAGATACCACACCTGTTGGAATCACATCTGGCAGTTCTGGCTCCTCCTCGTCTTCTTCTTCGACCAAGACGCAAAGTAGTACCACTACATCCACAACGGTAACGACGACAACTACCACGGCAACCGGCACTCAAACTATTTACGGGCAATGTGGTGGCAGTGGGTGGACCGGGCCAACAGCCTGCGCATCTGGTTCAACTTGTAAAGCCCAGAATCAGTGGTATTCCCAGTGTCTTTAGTAGAAAAGTACGAGGGTGGAAGGATACTGAATGACGGCGCTGAGATGCCGTTCTTTGTAAGCAATTGGGTCCTGATCTCAGTCAGTTCTGGCTCAGGAATCTGGAGAAATCACAAAACAACGCTCCCAATTTCTCTGAATCGGACTATACTGAATAATCCCTTCTATAACCAGGCAATTTGCCCCTTTTCCATGTTATAAATGCGGTTATAGGTCCAGTGAGTGACTTTATGGTGAAGATAAAGACACACCACGTTTCTACCGCAATAAATGTTCCTGAACGGTTGAGCATGCTTCCTCCGTATAATATTCACGCATCAACGAGTAGTGGATATAATTGCTCCCGACTCACATCAACCATTGTAATATGTCAAGATAGTTTTCTCTCTATTGGGTCCTTTACTGGGTATCCAGTTAACATATAGAAAAAGCCGTAGATTATACTGGGGCCCCCAGATATATTTCAGCTGTACTGCTTCCCCGTGCTTGCGGCTGCTTGGGTACGACTATCTGGCGTGCTACAACCTGCAAATAGTCCTGATATACTACGCTTGCCAGGGCTTTGTTGGTCTTATTTTCTTCCTTTCAGGCTTAGAAGATTTGAAGCCACCAGGGTAGATTTAGGTGGACCAATGGGATATCTTCACCCGTGGCCTTGTTCTACGGATTAAAGATTGCAGTAATCAAGGTAGACCATTGATTATTAGCCGTTAATGACAGCTGAACAAACTCAATGCTAACATTCTTGACTTCTTTGAGGACCTCGCCTATAACCTCCTCTTCAATTTTGTAGTGGAGATTTGACCGATTCCCACGTATTCATGGTATATGCAATTTAGGCTTGGGGGGCGAAGCCAAGCCGGGGGCCCACTGAATCAAAAACAACGTACTGACTCTTCAAGAAAATGTCACCGAAGATCGAGAACCCTATGCCGGAGTTTGACTGAATACCACCAAGACAGGTGGATCCAACACCAGATGGGCCATAGTTGATCAACGAGCCAGGAACAGTGGCTGTGTAGCTGCCGATTTTGACGCTGAAGTCAGGCAGACTGGCAGAGCAGTCGAAGACATAGCCACCAGCAGAATTGCTATTCTTTGCACCCTTAACTTGTGAGTAGTATGCCGACACGATTGAGCTATCAAGGAGCAGCAGAGTGGTGCCTGTATCTGCGATTCCACTGAAGCCGCCACCAGAACGGGTTCCCGCTTTGTAGCTATCCACGTTGAAGCTCCAGAAGCCCTGCGAACTGTCCACATCAGTGTAGACAATGGAACCGGTGTGCTTGGATGAATCAATGAAGCCAAAGTCATAGACACCAGGCTTGTTATGCTTCAAGGCAACGGCAAAGAGCGGTTGGTCCAGAGAGTCTTTGACACTATCAAAGAAAGTCTCCTGAGCCTGGGGCTGCACAGTGTTGATGCTGCTGAATGCAAGACCGAGGAGGCCGTCGTTATTGGTATCCTGTTGGAATTCGGAGCTGATAGTTTGAGCAGCCTCGACAGCCTGGCTAGACGCAGTAATGCCACCGACAGTAACGGAATCCGTGTATACGTTGCCGCTGGCGCTGCTTCCGTCACCGTAAGAGATGGACCACGAATAGCCGCTTAGCTCATTTCCGCTAGTGCTCGGATTATACACGGAGTGGCCCGATCTCTCGGAGGCGGACAGCTCCGTTGAGAAGACCCAACTGCATACTGATAAGCGTGCGTCGTAGGCGGCCAGCGAAATAGAGGTCACTTACAGATCTGCGGATCCAGTATCAAAGTCGAGATTCAGGGTGGTGCCACCGATGGTTACAGGCGTCAGGTATTCCTCGTCATTGTTCACAGGCGTGTTGGTCGCAACGCCACTTGCGGCCGCCGCAGCCTCGACATGAGAGGGTACATTGGCACCATACTTCGAAAGTGCACGACCATAAGCTGCAGCAAAGTTGGATGTTTTCGTAGCAGTACGCGAAACCTGTTTCACGGAGAACTTGTCGTTGGTCTTCGCTGTGGGCGCAGCCGAGGCGATGGAGGCAAGGCCTGCGAGGCTGACGGTGATCTTGCTGAAGACAACCATGATGAATATTGAGAAAGCTCCTTGGATGGGAATGTTTGTGTCCTGGCTACTTAACAAAACAATACCTTAATAGCGGACTGACCAACGACTCTTTATACTTCGAAGCATCCCTTGCCATTTTCGACAAACAAACACAATCAGAGGCCTTTCAGTAGCCCATATCGCATCGTTCGGCAAGGTGAAGACACGATGTTACTCTTCTAGAAACAAGCAGTGAAGATCTACACGCCACTGAGATTTACGCCGTCGGGCTCCAAGAAACCCGGTTCTAGTGGTGAGGCAGTATGCAGGTATTCAGGGTCGCATCCGCTAGCCGCCGGCCAGCGACGTTTCTGAACGAGATATCCAGCTAGCCCTTCGCGAGAAGAAAGTCTTCAGATGGGAGACTCAATAATGAAGACACGTGGATACATACAGTGGTCATCAGAAGGCCACACGGGCAATAGCGGCTCTCCTCATGAAGCCCACTCCATTGATGTAAAGGATTAATCAAAGAGCGTAGGTGTCCAACTCCAGGGATCACGCAATGGTGAAGACACTTTGATCCAAGCTTTTTAGGTATCTAGCGTTATCCTTCGGGAAAGCTCAAAGTTCGGCGATACTAATGAAGGTGACATCGTGCCCCGCCCCAGAGCTGACCAAGGGTCGTGTGGCTTCTAACTAGCTCGATTCCAAGACCCTAAACCCCGTTACAATTATGCAATTTGGGCCTGAGCACATCGTGAAATATCGATCCTATTCAATTCAGGTGCCTAGAAACTATGACTTAGTAGCCCGTTTTGCAGCTGGACGTTCACTCAATTCACGGATGCTAATTACACCGTGGTCTTATGGTCTAAGTTCGGGTTGGATCTCAATGATGAACAATTCGTCTCGGAAGTTCACCCCGCTGCAGAGCATCAGTGTACAACCTAAATTGAGTTCAATCCCTGGTGAGCTGAAGAAAAAACCGCCGGGAGTCCGCGACCCATCCGGCTTTCGGCATTGGTCAGGTGGACTATATTATTGTTTTTACCGTTGCGGGGAGTGGCAGTTGCTTCTCCATTGGTAGAAGAAAGCCCGATAAGGTGACCCACATCCAGTGTGACCATTGACGGGCTCGATTCCACTCCCGGACATTGACTATATCAGTGAGTGGTATATGAGAACGGAATTTGATTTTTTCGTGATGATCGCGCCGTTAAATTCCTCCGTGTGCTTCGGCTTACCTCCGAGCCCTATCAAGCATCAACAGTGGGGGCAGCTATATTACGAAGAGACATGCCAAGCCAGACCGTAAGCCTGCAGAAGCGCCAACCGATCGGATTACCATGGGGACTCCGTCGCTCTAGCTTAGCTTTGGGATGGTAGAGAGACTCGGATTGGCAACGGTGGAGACGGCTGCTGTATGAAATCTCAAAGGTACGCCATGTATGATGCCAAGTGAGCTTATTCCTCTCCATCAGAGGTGGATTGACCTAGTCCCTTGAACGGCTTACCCATCTTCTTTCCCCCTTTCTCCGGATACAGATGGTTTCTTGCCCCTCCTTTGATGTCAACGCCGTAAACCCGATCCTAGGAAAACTTCGCACATGACGAAGTTTTTGGAGAGTAATCATCTAGGCTTAGTCTCCGCAGGGGCACGAATTCATAACGTTCATGCGCGTTCCAACAATAGTCGCTCAAGGTTTCGGCCAACTCCCTCTCTCAAAACCAAGGATAGGCATCGAGAGAATCGCATCCTTTTTTTGCTCCTGGTCCCAGAAAGAGACGGTCTACTGCATCGTCTCCCGCCAACAGACACGTCGCTCGATTTTCCGGCTCATCCACCGGACCTAAAGGTCAAATGTGATTCATGCGGATCTAAATATTATCGCTGTCTTGCTAGTTACCAAATGGACACACGTCAACGTGAAGTTAGAATGATTACGACTCCGTGGATGTTGGAAGCAGTCCTAGGCAACGATTCCTTGTTAGAGGACGGTGTGAGACCTCCTAGTCCTACGATCCTTCGAAATGGTAATATAGCCACCCATAAAGTTTGATTCAAAATTTGCGGTGGTTGGGATTCCTGGTATAGTACAGCCTGGGTCGGGGTTAGTATGAAGAAGCTGTCTCGGAGTTAGTCGTTAAGATGGAAGGACCATCAGGGGCCCTGTCAAGCCCGGCAACCTGGCCAGTATTGCCATATGACTAGGTGGTTGCCACATTTCATTGGCGCATTCTGGGTTCCTCTTCTTGACCGTACGACAGCGCTCGAGAGAGGCTCATACCTCGTCCTCTTCGTCTTCAGCAGCTTCCTGGTCCTCCCACTCTCCAGGTTCGTCCCCCAATAAACTGACCAGCTGCAACAACGCTGCCTGTGACTGCCACATCTGATCTGTGGGTTGACCTGGGCCGGATCGCGCTTTCGGGATCGAACCGAGTTCACCTGCCTCGGCTGATTTTGTACTGGAGATCTCAGGGGCCAGGCTCACGATGCGAATGGCTTTGGTGGGGAAAATCCGTGCGGGGATCTCGTGTGGCGGGGTTGGATTACTACCGGGGACGTTGGAGCTCGATTGGCGCCAACCAAGAGTCTGTGATTTCCGAGGTTAGCCCGGGACGGTTGATGCGAGAAAGCGATGGGGTGAAGGAGACACGGACCGTATACGTTGTCATAATCGCATCATCGCATAATACCATGTAGCTGACGGGAACTGCCAGCTGGGGGGCGGAGCTGGTCAATATGGAAAACGAACCGCGCTCGGGATGGTGGACGTCTTGAATGCGATCATTGTTATCCAAGGCAACGACATAGGCCCGATCTTGGATTTCAAACAGCAGGCGGTGACCACGAACAGACAGCCAGCCGCCCAGATCGAAGTTAGACCCATCCGATTCACATTCTAAAAGAGAGCTGTGTGTCGCAGAGTGATCGTGCAAGGCTTTGCGCCATTCAGAGCTTATAAAAACACGGCCGGCTCGGGAAAAGCCCACAAACAGCTCGCCGTCCAACATTCCTGCTCCCCATTCGTCCTCTCCATTCCGTACGTGCTCTGGGTCGCTCGGGGGTGGGAGCGGACCCTTTGCAATGTCGATAGGGGCAATCACGTTTCGCCGACTTCCACCGGGCGGAGGAGAGCAGATGTGATATTTCTGGGTACAGTGAGAGGGCCGTAGGACACCCAGAAAGGCGCCAGACTTTTTATCATAGGCATAGTAGCCTTTGGTTCCGATCGAATAAATCACGGCATCCTCGCACTGGTCCAAATGTCCTACGGCGCCCGGCTCAATCTCGAGTTGGGTAGTTAATACCGGAGGTCTCTGGGTCATGTCATAGACAAATCCGTGCCCTTCATTCGACACCACGCAAAGCGTCCAGTAAGACAATTGAAAGCCCCTAGTCTGGCAATCATGATTCAAGATGGCAACGCGTCGAAACTCCCCGCGAGCAGCGCCATCCAATCCGGCCTGCCAGACCTCGACGGCATCTCCCTCCCGGTCAAAGACTGCCATTCCATCCTGATACTCTAAATGGGCGTATGGGCGAACGGCATCCTCGTCATGGTCGTCGGTAGAGGGAAGGCGCCACAGAATACGACCCGAGTCCATATCGGTGACATTCAATCCACCGGCATGAGAGGTGGAGATGAAGAAGCGCCGCTTAAAGTCGGCCCGAAAGCGCCAGACCGGGTCGTTGCCAACCTGAAGCACCGATTCCTGACTGACAGGATGCCGCGCAGCCCAGTTGCGAGCAAGCAAGGTCTGGCGCTTGCATAGATCCTTCCATGATGACGTGCCATTGAAGAAATTTGAGATACTGCAGCTATTCGAAAGGAAGGCCAAATCACGGGTGCCGCCGGGTGGTTGTTTGGTCTTGGATTCGGCACCGTAAATAGCGTGTTGATGGGTGACGTCGATGAATTGGTGCCAAGCCTTCGAGACTGCGAGGAGAGAGGCGACCGCCGATACGGAGGAGAATTCCAGGATGCGAAGAATAATCTCCGGTGGAAGAGTGGCCAGAGGATCTGCTATGGACGGCTCAATAGTCATGGTCTTCGTATCAATGCGGTTGGTTGCGAGAGAATCGAAGTCCAGAATTGTGGATTGGAACAGAGCTCGTTGGTGTTGTTGTTAGCGAAGCTTCCGAAGGTGAAAAGTCACGGGTCAAGTCTCACGGTCTCACCGCCTCCCTGTGAGGGTCTTCGATGATCATCGCTCGTCGGTCATGATGTTCAGGCTTTTAAAGATCTTGAGCTCTACAATCTATCCACTCCATCGAGCTATTGGGCAACAGAAAGCGGCCACGGCTTGTGCTTGAGAATGGGTTGTTTGGATTTCAGCCCTCCTTAACAGCTCCTGCGCGATCCTCCCCATGGTCCATGCGTGCGAGATTATTCTACAAAGGGTTCATTCGATGAGCGAATCAATCACGGTCGGAGGCTCCGTGAAGCTTTGGTCAATGGGCCACATGGGTCGGTGGATACGACAATGTCCAAGACGTTTCAAATCTTGATCGACGCCAGCGGGAATCCGGGCCAGCCTCCAGTCTGCCGCCATCCCGTACGGTTCAGGCTCCAGGTACCCGATCTTCACAATCACAATATCCGCCGCTCGTGGTCAAATAATGAGCTCGGTAAAAGTCAGACTCGTCGTGGTCAGGCTTTCGTAGCTCCATTGGTGGTGATGACGAATACTAGCTGGAAACGAACGGGAAATCTCTCGAGGAAAATGACGCGTTGTTGGAAGGCGAATACCACCTTTGATACCGTCTATTTTGATCAATCCCGCTATAGTATAGATCACTGGTTATCCACACATATTGAACAATGGTGGATGCGGCACCCGTAATGTCAGTCTTAAGTTTCAAGGGTGGGTTGTTGATGTGTGTCCCGATCGTTCTGACCCAACATCGCCCCTGAGAATGGGAATATATTCCTAGAGGTGGACTCGCCTAATTCTCAAGAAGCACGGAATCATTTTGATGGGGATTGAGGTTAACTTTACGAAACGAGAGGAATGAATTTCCAGAACTACAGACATCATACTACACTCACGGCTCTATTATCAGAGCAGCTTGGGGGCGTAAGTCCGGGGTAAACTTATTAGGAAGCACGAGTCCAAAAGAAATCATCGGCCAAAGCCGCCTAGACCCGGAGAGATTCCGGGTTTCCGGGTTTCCGGGCACGAATCAGGTCGATCAAACTGGATGACTAACATGGCCCCGGCTTCCTCCCCGGCCCCACGCTAGAATTCCCCATTCCGTCTTTGATCCCCAAGGACATGAGCATGTCTATTGAAACCCAAAGAAACGTGCCAAAGACGGGGCTAAATCGAAGTCTTACACTGGCCCGCCAGAATTGAGATTGTTTTCGAAATCATACGACAATTCCATAATGGGACCCTTACTGGAAATCGCCTGTTTCAATGAAGAGTCGGCAGTCAATGCTGCTGGCGGGGGTGCTGATCGGATTGAGTAAGTGGCCCTCATAAGTCCGGCCTAGAACCTGGGGAACTCGCCTCGTCCCTACGCCGACCGTTGCTACCTGCATTTCGGCGACCGTGTTGCCCAACCATTGTTCTAATGAGATGACAGGCTAGGCCAAGATTACCAGTCCGGTGGCCTCTCACCTCAGCCTGCGGTCCTACAAGCGGTGAAGTCTCGGGTGTCAATCCCGGTGTATGTCATGATTCGACCACATTCCAAGGACTTTTGCTATGATCATGATGATTTCGAAGATATGAAAGCTACTCTCCAGCTCTTGAACAGCCTCGGGGCGGATGGATTTGTTTTTGGAATTCTCCACCAGCCACCAGATCACAGGACGGCCGACCGGCACTCCTGGATCGATATCGCCAGGAATCGGGAGCTCGTAAAACTAGCAGATGGAAAACCTTGTACCTTTCATCGTGCATTCGATCGTATTCCGGAATCCGACTGGGATTCTGCCCTAGAGGACATCATCGAATGTGGCTTCGCTGCAATTCTCACCAGTGGCGGTCCTTCCAGCGTGGACGCCGTTGACTGCATGGATGGGTTAGCTGATCTGGTGAATCGCCTCAGCCTGGACACTCAGGCGGGCCGCCGAGCGCTGGACGTGATCGTTGGCGGAGGTGTGAGACCGAGTAACATTGGCACGTTGAGGGTCAAAACCCTGGCGACCAATTTTCATTCTAGTGGACTTTCTCCTTCGAGTGAGATTGTTTCTCTATCCCAAGTCCAAGATCTACAACGTGCTCTTCGGTCTTGAACCGGGCGACCACTCTGCTAAGAACGCCGGCTCGCAAGCCCGAGGACTCGGCAAGGCGGTCGCCACGAACCCCCGACGCGGTCATCCACAGGGTACTGCACATGGTGTACACGTGGGCATCGGATCGTGTAAGACATCAATGCAGAACACGCTCATTGTCGCTTGCCGTTTCCAACTTGGTCCGGACTATGGTGACTCGAGTCCTAGAGTACTTAGGCCTCCTTCCTCTTGACTATCAAATAGAACACGAGAATCATGAGACATACAACCGGTGGCGTCGTTGGACTGCGCATCCCGCTTCGAGCTCAGCCTTACATGCTACTTTTCAAGATCCAATATCCGATCCCTATTGCATTCGAGCGGTCGTTCCTAACCATCTACCAACGTGCGAGGGGAAAAATTGGTGAAACCGAACTACCACTACGATAAGTGGGACTCCTTGTATGTAGGCTGGAACCGATAATAGACATGATGTGGGTCATGGAGTTTGCATTTAAAATCTCCCGATTCATACACTTGCATCCAATACAATGTAATGCACGGTTGACTGAGGCTCAGCCAACCCCGCTCTTGGCATCCGATTTCCAACCCACCGATCGAGGTTGCTAACTCATTATGTAAAAATAGCGTTGCCGCGCTTGCCAAATTTACCTGCGCTCGTTCTTTGGTTGACTCTTGCTTGTAGAACGGTACAGCATGTAATCGGCGGTCTGGGCTCTTTCACTTTCTCCAAAAAAACGACCGCAGTCGTGATATTGTGATATTGAACCATGGGTGCAGACACGAGCTATCCGTGGCACCGAGGAGATCGACGAACTAGCCTCAATACTCTAGTCTGACCAAAGAATATCTCTGAATAATTAATTTTGCTGTGGCAAGTAAGGTAGCAAACCTCGGATTGTAAGACATCAAGAATCAATACGAGATTCGGCAGATGGCTCATAGCCTGCCTGCCCGCGGGGCTCGATGTCTTACTTTTTACAGTTTCGTGCTCGGCAACATTGTCAACTTCGGTACACACCGTACAGTTGCTCGAACCCTGAAGTCTCCCATCATAAATGTTGAACCAAATCGACCCCACATCACCGGCAGAAGTCATCCGTTCTTCTTTTCTCCGCGAAGCGAACCCCACATCTTACTACATGGCATGTCTCATCATGATGACCTGATGGGTTTCGATTTCCCGATAAAGCCAATTCGGGACGAACGTAGAACTACTAACGGTGATTCGTCTTACATCGCACTTGCGGAGATCGTCTAGCTCTGAAATGCTACATTCCTTTTCTGTATAGGACCATACAAAAGCGCAAACTAGAAGTTCGAAGCTGAATGAGAGCTCAATAAGATGACGGATTGGGTGTGATATCTCGCTAATCAATGAAAGTAAAATATGAAAATATGAAAACACTAGTTGATCCGTTTCCGTCGATGTCCCTATATATATGCCAAATGATATAACACGGTGTCCACCTCGATTTATTTGTAAATGTAGCGTTTATAATCGGTACTGATTCGGTTAGAATAAATGTGAACAAAAACAGCAGACATGACATGTCTGATATGATCATACCCACCGCCCACACTCTCAAGTTACTTGTGGTGGCTGAGGCGTTCGGAAGCCTAAATAATATCGAAAAAAAAAATAGACTTTCATCCCGCATCCATGTCTCTAGTATAGGACACTGAGGCTGAGACTTGCTCTCTCACTTGGACGCCGTATGAATGTATGCATGTATTCTAATAATAGAGCTCTATGGTCAGGTTTGACGAGCTCCATTCATATTTCTTCTTGAGCAAACTGCGAGCGGCCAGAATATAAATTCCAGCCCTCTCCCCTCGACTTTTTAGTATCCAAACCAGCCTTCAGTTCCTCAGTTTGAACTACGCATATCAACAGAACTCCATCACTCTCTCCAATATTTCAGTGAACTCTTCTCTCTTACCAATACCAAACATGAAGTCCATCATTGCTATCAGCTCACTTTTGGTCGCATCCGTTGCTGCCGTGCCACTTGAAGCTCGATCGCCCTCTGTCACCTTTGCACTCTCCAACGACTACTCGGGTGCCTATGCAGGTGCCACTTTTGCTGCCGATGGCACAGACAAGTCGATCAAATCCCTCTTCGGTACATCATCTGTGGCCTCGGGCGGCGTCGTGCGGGCTTCATCTGGCCAATTGACGGCGTTCCCCCAATCAATTAGCTGTGTTCTTAAGAACGGTGGAACTACTTTCCCCACTCTGACTGCCCAGCGCACCTACATCGATCTTGACGGGAATCCGAGTGCTGTTAATCCAGTCGATCTCACCACCGCGGTCATCACCTGCTGGGCTTAGTTCAATCAAGCGAATAGAGCGGGTTCTGGCCGACAACAGCCAAACTCTTGTTGAGAGCCAACTTCCAACCACAGGCTTTCTGGGCATCTTAATGTATCTAGTCTTATGATTACGAATTGAATCTTTATGGAAACTTTCAACTGAAACTTCCAAGATTGAAACATGCTAAATAAGTTAGCTGATTGCTTCTACTACAGTTCCTTATTAGCCAATGGCCCGGTGTTGACTAGAGAAGACTTAGGTGGGAAACTTGATGCTTTCTATCTAGAGCTAGATAATTTTGATGCAAAATCAGGCAGTATATACATACCGTTACATGGTCTTGAATGCTTCAGATAGGCCGCTTTGAGACTCGGCGCAATGTCGCTCGTTCTACTTAGCATGAGATCAAGGTATACCAGTTACCCTTAAGGTCATCCTTTGTCTTCGTTTATGCCCTACCACCTCCCTTTCTAGCACGCTTTGAACTCATCATAACCTCAAATTTTTTGTTCCCAAATATCAAAATGCAGATGAAATGCAATCGTGGTCATCTTCCGCCTATCCATTGAGCGCCATTGAAATCGAAACTCTTTCCCACCGATATTTAGGGCTCTTTTTCAAAGTCAATAGAGATATCAGTCCCTCCTAAGCAGTCCGAAGATCTTCCGTCTTGCATGGCAATACCTAGAAGACCTAAATTAGGCATATTTCTCTGAAAGATGGGGGCAGAAGACCTTGCGATTGCGCACTGGACGCCGCAGCCTGGCACAGATCCAATTAGTATGCCAGCCATTTGGTCTTCTGCAATTGATAGAATTTGAAGCCTGATTACGGGTTGTTTCCTTTGTAGCCTATACGTGTCATAAGACAATATGTATCTTTGAATCCATTTGACTGACGGTCACTAAGCTTTTCCTCTCAATTGCACTGTTTTGTCGCGCTGTTTAGTTCTATCTTCCTAGATCAATACCCCCTAGATCAATATTTTGAATGGGGTTCTCTCCTCTTTTGGGTAATTATCTATATTGCGTCACACCAATATACCGTCGATTCGAGTCTGTCATTTACTTTCGTTCCTCTGATCAAGCAAATGTTGGAAAAAATGATCCAGAATCTTCCCCCTACTACTTATACTGTGCACGCAATATCGTTTACAAGTATGTGGCTATCCCCAACCTCGACTCTGTCCACAGACACCACTCTAATGCTGGTCAATATAACGCGAACCATTGCTATGCGACTTGGGTTAAAGGTTAGACCAGCCCGAGTTCACCCGGACGTTTCTTGTACTAAAAGGCAATTGTCATTGGTGGAACTTTCTGAGGCCGTGGGAATCTGATACTCATACGTGTATCTGCTTTATCGCATCCCAGAGGTACGTCAGCTCTGGTCTAATAATCCAAACTCCACCTTCTGGGTTACTGGGTTCTGCCTTTCTGCCTGAGGCGGCAACATCCTTGACGAAACTCAACGGACGACTTCGGTACCTCTTTCTCCTCACGAATTCCTCGCCATTCTGGCCTCGGCCTCGTGCATTGACCCTATTCCCTGCTTTGCAGATTTCCAGATGCGTGCGTGATCGCCATTCTGTCCACAAGCAAATCCAGACTCCGCATGACACGGTCCACCTGTGGGCTAACCAGGGCACCGCTTGAGCATCCGTCAACATTCTCCCGCAGGGCGGCTGGTGACTTGGGCGCGGGGCTTCGGATGGAATTTCCAACCAAGTTAGCGTGGGTGGGCTTGGACCACACTAATTATCCCGTGGCGCCCAATCTGAGCGCTGCGCGGGGATGACTTCCCCTGACTTTCTTCATGGCGCTGCAATAGTACGGAATACTTGTTGTGAATGGGCCAAAGAGGAGAGGGAGGGGTCAACAAGACGAGGAACCACAGCCAGCATACGCCAGTCGGCAAGGCTTCTTCATACTCACGTTTTCGTATCGTCGGGCGCACAGCTGTCCACTGTCGACAGAAATGACAAAATTCAAACACTTTCTCATATCAAGCATACTGCAGATGCCCTCGGCAGTGTTGCTTGTCCAAAGCTTGGCCTTCACATCTTTCCCGTGGCTTTCCAAGGCGTTTTTAGACCCGGCGCCACAGTAACATTGCATCGGCATTGCTTATCAGACACCTCTTGCGTTACTTTATTCTAAAAATCTCAGTCGATCGTTGCCCGGTTAGTGCCGGTTCATTTGAACCTGGTCATCTCCGCTCGATAGTGCCACTTCGCGCTGTCTGTTGTGGTGATGCTCAAATTGAGGACTACCTAATCGCAGTTATACGCCTGGAAGTACCGTCGGACATCCGCGATATCTTCAAGCCAGGTCCCACCCGTGGATAGAATCGTGGCGCTAACGAACCCGTTTGGCTCGCCCAACGCGCCTTGACGAATATGGGGCTACCCTTCTCGGCACTAGGCGAACTTCCAGCGACTTGGTGATTGGTAGGTTCTGTCCGATAACTGCCTTGCATGAGGTGGGGTATGCATCGCCAATGGAGGTCCTGAGTCTATTCATCTTCCTCAACATTCCTGATAGACACGCATGGCAGTGTTCACGGGATGTTCATTTCACCCACCTTCTACCGCGTTACCCTTCGACGCATGGCCTGACCAAGGTATTCTCTGATCATTTGATCGTTGGACAACATGCAATCTACAGTTTCTGGCTTTCTCTGATTGATCGAGGGTGGTCTAAACTGGCGCTATCGCAGTGACCCCTCCATGTGAACTAGTGTCGACCGATACAATTTGCATCAAGCTCTGCAGACTACTCTACGATATAGTACACAGGCCTTTTTGCCAGAACCATCGGTCTCCGACGGCGTGACGGTACTCGTCACGTAGGCCTGGGTCTTGCATCTCCCGCTAACCCATTGTCTGGCTCTACAGTTGATAATGTTGCATCGAGCTGATAGTCGCGCGGTGCCAGCATTGCCAACAGTGCGGTCGAAATGAACATCACGCTGAATACTGTCCAGCCAATCTATCCTGTGTCCGTGTTATCAAAGCAAGTGCTGGCATGAAGGCTATATAAATTCGAGATCCTCCTCCTCTTCTTCCTCTTCTTTCTTTTCTTCATCATCTCACAGCTTTCCTCTCCTTGTCTTTGATCCCCAGACACTGCTTTTCTCCATCTGATCCGTCTACTTTACTGGCAACTTTCCAACATGAAGTTCTCTACTGGCATTCTCAGCACCTCACTCCTTGCGACTGCCGCCATTGCGGCGCCGCTGACTGCTAAGCGCCAGGCAAGACACGAGGCTCGTCGCCTTGCTCGCGCCAGCGGCCGGGAAAGCCACCCGCCGTATAAGCCCGGTACCAATGAGGTTCTTCACCTGAACACGACCTCGCATGAGGAGTACAGCTCTAACTGGGCCGGTGCTGTTCTCATCGGCACTGGCTACACTGCTGTGACGGCGGAATTCACCGTTCCCACTCCCAAGAAGCCGACTGGAGGTTCCTCAAGCACTGAATATTGTGCGTCCGCATGGGTTGGCATTGATGGAGATACTTGCGATACTGCCATCCTGCAGACCGGAGTGGACTTCTGCGTGCAGGGTAGCACCGTCTCCTATGACGCTTGGTATGAGTGGTATCCCGATTATGCCTATGATTTCAGCGGCATCACCATCGCCGCCGGAAACGTGATCAAGGTGACCGTGGATGCTACTTCTACAACTGCCGGCACCGCTACTGTTGAGAATGTCTCTACCGGAAAGTCTGTGACCCACACTTTCAGCGGTGGTGTCGACGGTTCTCTCTGCGAGTATAATGCCGAGTGGATTGTCGAGGACTTCGAGTCCAATAACTCCCTTGTTCCATTTGCCAACTTTGGAACCGTGACTTTCTCCAGTGCTGAGGCTACCGATGGCAGCTCTACTGTTGGCCCATCCGGTGCTACCCTCATCGATATAAAACAAAGCAACAAGGTCCTCACTTCCAGCTCTGTTACCTCCAGCAGTGTGACTGTGGAATACGTCTAGGTTTGGACGTCTGTCGGATTTAACAAAGGCAGGAAGCTGATGAGCGAGGCACTACACTATGAACTGCTATGTTGGTGAAGGTGGAGAATATGTTGGCGAGAAGAGGCATTTCGGATAGATACAACTGGGTCATTTTCAAGTTTTCCCATCTGCTAGTCGAAGGTTGTACATAGGGTCTAAATGCATATACTATTTGAGTGGCATTTCCGTATTCCTGTCTTGGTTTACACAAGTTCGTCAAGCTCATCAAGCTCATCAAGCTCATCACGAAGAGAAATCCAAACCTCGAGTAGGGAATACTAACTACCACATGACTACTCTTTTGGCTGCAGCTGAGAATAGCAACAACAACATTCGGACCAAAGGCCGGGAATGTAGCCGCTGGCATAAGATTGTGGTATAGGCAATGGTTACTCTCATTTACCGTCATTTAATGCTTTGGTGTTTAAAATCTCTCTCGGCTAGTTGGCCTGGGTCTTCATGAAATTCACCAAACCAGAAGGGTATATGTTTTTTTGATTCTGTTATGACGACACATGGGGATATCCTTCGAGTCAAACCCTTAATCTTTTATTGGCCATCTTGATCCAAACATAATTTTACATGCCCTTTTCGGGAGGTACAGATTCGCAGACTGTGCGACAATATCTTTCCAAGAAATGGATGGTTGTGACACGGTGTTGTCCTTGCTCTTCTATGATCTCTCGAGTGCTCTTTTTTAAAACCATGCGGGCAAGGTCCCCCGGTCGCTTAAAACCAGTCGGAAGATGGCAATTAACGGAGAGTGCAGACTCGTCGGAAATTTTGAACTCACTTAGCATCTCAACCTCTCTCTTCTCCCGAACGATGTTCAAATTATCATTCTCCCGGTTCTTTAGCTACGCAACCCTCTTGCCCGCATGGTCGGTATATGTTGCTCTTTATCTATCGGACCTATCATCAGCTATCAAGTTCAGATTTGATCCTGTCGACGTTATTGTCCGAGATGTTGCTGTTGTGGGTGGAGGCGCAAGTGGTACTTATGCTGCCATGCGTTTGCAACAAGATTTCAATAAATCCGTCGTGGTTGTGGAGAAAGAACAGACTTTGGGAGGGCATACGCACACATACTACGATCCCGTCTCTTCATCAACCATCGAACTGGGTGTCGTGGCGTTTAACGACCTACCTCTGGTACATAACTTCTTCTCTCGCTTTAATATACCTTTGACAAGGTTGTTTTTCAATTCAAGCCTCCCAAGCATTGACTTCCGGACTGGTCAGCCAGTCTACGCCCCTGCTAGCCTAAACGCAACAGAAGGAACATTCGAAAGATGGAATCAGAACTTAATGCGATTTCCCAACCTCGATAAGGGCTACAACTTTCCATTGCTAGTACCAGATGACATCTGGCGTCCATTTGGTCAGTTTGTAAAAACTCATAACCTGACTGCCATCGTCCCATATATATGGACAATCGATCAAGGCATCGGAGATATTCTGAATCTACCCACAATCTATGTTGTGAAAAGCTTCGGGCCGCAGATGCTGCGCAGTTTGTCAACAGGCTTTCTAGCAACTGTTCGGCAGAATAATCAGGAAGTTTACGACAGAGCACTAGCGCATCTGCAGCGCACCGAAAGCGTGCTCCTCAACAGCTCAGTTGTGGGCATGAACCGGGATGCTGTCGGACCGTCTGGACACGCCGTCGTTGCCACGCCCTCTGGCCACAAGCTCCTCCAGGTTAAACGATTTCTTTTTACCATTCCTCCAAAACTGGATGTCTTGACTGGTTTTGACCTAAGTCACCAAGAAACGTCACTATTTTCTGGTTTCGAAAATATGGCCTATTTTAGTGGTCTTCTTCGAAATATGTCTATCCCTCAAGATACAACTCTTTCTAACAGAGCTACAAACCCTTTCACATATTATCTTCCACGTTTACCGACCACATATACCCTGGGTCCAATACATGCTCGTTCCTCTCTTACAAGTGTTAAATTCGGCAGTAATATCTCCATGTCCGTTGAGCAAGTTCGAAGTCAGGTCATGGATGAGACCGGTCAAGTTGCTCCTGGGAAGCCTGTACGATTCGAAAAGGTCGTCAATCACGGACGGTACGCACTACGTGTCTCGCCAGAATTGATTCGCAGCGGTTTCTACCGAAGACTCAACAACCTTCAAGGCCGTCGTCGCTCTTTTTGGACCGGTGCGGCCTGGCATACTCATGATAGCAGTCTGCTGTGGAACTTCACAGAAATAATAATCTCTAAGATGCAGCAAGATTGGGCTTGAGTAATGTGGTCCTTGAAAGAAATATCTGTGGAAGTGGAAGCGATGAATTTCAATCAATTTCACAGAGTCCAAATTTCACTGCCCGTTATGTCTTAAATTATGATTAGGGCTCCTACCGCATTCCGTTACAACTGGTCCTTTGAATCCTACACAATTGGAATATTTGAATCTGTGGCTGTGGATCGTGCAATTTCCCATTGAAAAGTATGATACACAGGCTGAATTCTCCGTTAATTTACATCGCGACTGCGTGTAAGATGTCCCGAGAACAAAACATCTCGGCCTGGATCATCCGGCAGATGGATACCGTAGAAACGAGAAAACACGTCCTGTATCACTTCGTAACAGGCTCCAAAGCGAAGCACTCTCAGATCGTTGAAATTGATCATTGTCGAGGAAGAGCGCGGGTGAGAATATTTCTGTCGTCCATAGTCGATGATTATATCTGCCGCAGCTTTGATCTCAGGCTCGATTTCTTCTACGGTTACTTTCGTCGCCGTGCCCGTGAGGTTAGCAGAAGACCCGAGCAGTGGAAGCTCTGCATTGGTTGCCAGCTTAGATAACTCCTCTTGGAGTTTTCCTCCATTCACAAGCATAGCCATAGTTCCTTCGACGGAACTCTGCTCGAGTAAATCTTGTGGAATTTTCTTGATTACTGAATGGTCGGGATGATAAGAGGCGACAACTCCAACGGTTAGGTCAAGGTCGAATGTCAACCGTGAAACCATCTCTGCCTCTCGTGCAGAAATATGATGAATAGCTTTATGAAGATTGTGACTACCAATCATAGCGTGGCGTTTATGCGGTTGGCGGTTTTTTGCATTAAAGATGCGACGAAGCGCCTTCGGATCAGTGGCAACAATTCCATATCCAACATTGCTCGGAATGATAGCGATGCCCCCGTTTTTCAGAACTTGGAAAACCTTTTGTGCATCATCCTTGGGTGATATGTCTTGATTGGAATATTTCTTGATGCTCATGATGCACAGTTTCACGATAAATCTCCAGAGGTAACTTTATCTACTGTGATAAGCAGAAGCAGCGATCGGTATTCCTCGTGCATGAGACGGGCAACCCAGTATTGAACAAGACAGTTGAATCCGTTGGAGCAGATAAGCCTTGGCAGAGAACATAATCGGGAAAAGAACAAATCTAGCTCTCCAGATCATACACGAGTGATGTGCTGTGGGATATAGACCCAAGCTCAGGTCCACGAGGTGTCCAGCCAGATTGAATAGACACGGACCCCCATGCATCGGCATCTAATCGCAAAATAGCCCGATTATCCAATCTTCACAAGTGCAACATTTGACTGAAACTCCCCGCGGTCTGCCCCTGAGAGGTCCGCTAATTGGGACTCCGTCACGCCTGCCAGTGGCTCCTTCCAAAGAGCATGCCAGATGCCCTTTGTAACAATAGAGTAGTCATGGCCCTCTTGGAAATGTATCCCAGGTAGCTCGACCATATTATCCAGGACTTGGCCTCCAGCAACCTCAATCAAGTCTTCTGCAGAAGCCGGAAGTTTTCGGGACATTTTGAGCACATCCAAGGGGAGAACCGTCCCGTCAGCTGTATCACAGACTTCAAAGACTCCCGAGACTGCGGCATTGGCATCAAACGGAGTTCCCCATTTCAGAAATGTCACAGGGTCACTCCCAGTGTTATAGATAGAAACCTTGACTGGAACTGTAAAAGAAGATTGTTCTTGGAGAATCGGCAATTGGGATGCCAGGGTGACTTGAAGCCCGAGATTCGGTTGCATCTCATCAAGAAGGACAAATGAATGGGGTGTGATTGATTTTCTGAAGTAATTGTTCTCGCTCGTTGTGTTGAGAAGACGGATTGGCATGCCGGTCTTTTATAGGCAAAGCAGCTTTCTTCCAGCCACAAATACTTCATAGTTTGATAATCTTGGTTCTGGGGTCTGGGCATTTTGGCTGAGAGGGACATGCCTCTCTTTCGGGTGTTTCCAAACCCGTCGATTTCCCCGGGACTCCATCACGACCTTCCCGGTACTTCCATCATTTCATCCAATGAGAGACAAATGGTGTATGCCAAGCTCTGCAGGAGGGTGCAATTTCACCTTGGTTGCCGGAGCTGCGTGTAACCCTCCCCTCCGGACTTGGCATGCTTTCTTATCAGGCAGCAAGTCCATGTGTACAGATCCAACTGCAGGGCAGAATGTCGAGGAAATTTCTCGGAGAACACCTCCAGCGAGCACTTCGGAATGGCGAAAACTAGGTGGGTTGTCTGTAATCAAGACTTGAGAAAGTCTTGGGCGAGTCTTGGGTGGTATCTTGGCGTCGGAGTCCGGAGATGATGCAGGGTCCGGCGGCTTGGCAAGCCTCCCACCGGAGGCAACGAGGCTATTGGGTAGCCTCCGTCTGATATTAGAGGATTGGAGGCCAATCAGCAATCAAAACTCCCTTTTGTCGATCTTGCAGAGTCGATCTATTATGCATAATGTGGGCTCGGGTATAACCCCATCTTTGTTTCGGCCTACTTCAAATTGATCACGGGCTGTTACATCGTGGATTTTGGTTCTCACGAGGCTAGATATCACACCAATCAAATGAACAGACACCTATTCCCCCTCAAGACTCAAGGATCTTCAGGGTCCAAGATAAACAACCCGCGACTGCCAGCGAATGGTGACGGAAACGGGCCTCCGCCGGGCCAAGGCAATGCAGCGGCCGTCAACACGAAGCGATCTTCATAGAATGAACCGATATCGTGATATATCGATGGCGAGTGACGAGATACCGTGGAGGGCTTTCACCATCATGTATGCAAGTTGAACAATGTGATCAAGTCTGGGAAGATACTACCTTCTTTCTTCAGATAATCTCGCCGACGATCACTCTCGAGAGCAAATTGGCATGAGGGTTTCAGGAGAGCGGGGCCTATTTCATTGAGAAGTCCTGATAGAAGGCTTTCAGAAATCTATAAATCACAGCATCTTGCCCGCCATAAGGTGACATTACAATATCAACAGCACGACAATCAAGGTAGACGAAGCCGAGGCCAATCTCTCGAAAAGAAGACAAAGTCAAATACTTGCATTTCGCAGTATCTAAGCATCCGATATGCGTTTCACCGTGTTCTCCACCGCTGTATTGGCACTCGCGCAACATGCCCGCGCCTTGCCGGTCGAGGCCGAGCAAGCATCGGGTTTGGACGTTACCTTGAGCCAAGTCAGCGACACTCGCATCAAGGCAGTGGTCAAGAACAGTGGTAACGAAGATGTGACCTTTGTGCACCTCAACTTCTTCCGCGACAGTGCCCCAGTGAAGAAGGTTGCGGTCTATAAAGACGGTAACACTTATTGACATCCCATATTCCGGTTTCTCGGTAGGCTAATGGCATTTTAGACGACGAGGTCACTTTCGAAGGCATCAAGCGCAGATTCAAGCTTCAGGGTCTGACTTCCGAAGCTCTCACGACATTGGCTGCCGGAGAGACTCTGGAGGACGAGTTTGACATTGCGGCAACCAGCGATCTGTCGCAGGGTGGCCTAGTGGTGTTGCGTTCCAGCGGCCTGGTGCCTTTGGTGAACGAGGGAGCCGTCTCCGGCTACCTGCCGTACCGCTCGAACGACCTGAAGATTGACGTGGATGCAGTGAAGGCTGCCCGTGTGAACAAAGCTGTGAAGCCGCTGAATCGTCGCACTCAGGAGAGCTGCAGCAATGCGAGCCGCAAGTCAGCTCTCGAAAAAGCCCTTCGTAACGCTGCCTCCTTGGCAACGGCAGCAGCTAAGGCAGCCCAATCTGGGTCCGCATCCAAGTTTTCTGAATATTTCAAGACGACCGATAGTTCGACCCGTCAACTCGTGGCGGCTCGGTTGAATGCTGTCGCCAAGGAGGCTCAGTCGACCACCTCGGGGGGCACCAAGTACTATTGCACTGATGTGCTGGGGTACTGTGAGACCAACGTGCTCGCCTACACGCTCCCCTCTCAGAATGTCATTGCCAACTGTGACATCTACTATTCCGAGCTGCCGGCGTTGGCGAGTAGCTGTCACCGCCAGGACCAGGCGACCACCAGCCTGCACGAGTTCACTCACGCCCCGGCCGTTTACAGCCCCGGCACTGACGACCTGGGTTACGGATACTCTGCGGCGACGGCCCTCAGCACCAATGATGCCATTAACAATGCCGACACTTATGCCTTGTACGCCAACGGTAGGTTCATTCTCCATACTCTCTTGTCCCCTTATATCCCAAAAGTGTCAGACACTGATTCAAGAAATAGCGATCAACTTGGGCTGCTAGGCTGGGCTCGCTGATCAGGTAGCGGATGACTGACGGGAGATTTCAGAGATGGTGGGATATCGGGGACGTGGAAGGTCCAGAGCCGCACGATGGGGAATTGATTCAGGATCATTTGAGGATCATTAGCTTGGCTTGTTGAACACGACGCTTAAGCATTCAAGTATATAAATCCTTTCTTCCGCAGTACTGTCAATATGAAGAGAGATGGCAATTGATCCTACTATTTCAGCTGTAATCCATTTTGAGAATTCCTCGACCGAATTACTTCCGGTCCAAGATGTATAGCCAATGGAAGACCTCGGGGGTATAAGCAGAGGTCGACACGGGCCCAGCGGGTGCTTTCACAGGGATGCGCGATCGCAGCGACCAATATTTGTCGAGAAATGGGCGATTATCAAATCGGACGCCCGAGTATGACATTACAATCCATGTAGTGTCTTTCCGGCTCAATGGCACAAGATGCAAAGCAAGTAAATCCACCGGTGACAGAGCGATGGAGGAATTTTGAGAGAGAATGTCTCTCACTGGTGGGCATACACGCGACATGTCATCGGTCGCGGTAAGCACTTGATCGTCAGAAGTCGCGATCGCGTCGCTCGTACTTTTGTCGACAATCACGTCAAACGGGGCAAATTGAGACACGCCGGAAACATCATCCCATGAGAGCAGGTCAGCACGGTGCCAAGCCATGGCCTGGTCGCCAGCTAACTGGTTCTCGGCATCTTGACCAAGACGAACAGCTTCGGCGGAAAAATCCACATTCTGTATAGAATAAGAATCCGTCAATACAGGAGTCGTGGATAGCAAATTTTTGGGGGGGGATTGTCCACTTGTTTCAACTAACCACGATACCACTCCCTTTCCACTGGCGCTGGACACAAGCATCTCGTAATTTCGAGCCTAGCCTCGACACTCCCGGCCCGAGATGCAAGACCCGTGGCGTCTGAGCATCAAAGTCAGAACGGTTCTCCAAGTCCGCCAAGACAGCCTCAATCAAAGCTTCGCCGGAATTGAGCCATTCGCCGACATCCTGGCCGGTCGCGAATCTGACATCCCAAAAGTCGGGACGATCATAGTCCGGGGCGCCAGTAACCCTAGCGCGAGTTCGGTGGCTTGCCATTACTCGGGCGAGGAGAGCAAAGGGGAAAGGTCTCCCGTGCGCCCACGAATTTCCCCCGATTTGCTTCACGTCATGTGACGCAGTGGATCAGCCATTTAATCAACTGAATGCTCAACAGCACAGTCCACCAATTCTGGGTGGATAATTTATTGAATGCTTTTCGTAACAGGGATCCATTCCGTTTTTTCATAGAGATATTTGTAACTAATTTGTGTCATAAATGAGGCTTCGGGTGCTTCATACTCCATTGACCGCTGAACAGGTGGACTATATAAAGCAAACCTGGCGAAGCATGAGCATCCGAGCTGTGAAAGTGTTGATAGCTATTCCATCCACCTTGGAACATGGGAGATGACCGTTGAAACAATCCGGAACCAGAAAACGGATCGACCCTACGCATGAAAAATGCGCCACGGTTCTTTTCGATCCGTCCCTGACTTTGAAACATCTACGCCTTCACCGTACCACATATCAGGTGGGCAATATATGACCATTTATTGATACGCGTCATCGCGAGATCTCACGGAATAGCGTGTCTGCGACGTGGGTTTCCATTGGGTGGAATAGATAACCCCTTTATTATCATTAATTTGTAAAGAACCTTTGGCGTCTTCTAGGCCTGTCGGGTATGCATCCATGGAGTATATCATAAAGCATCAGGCTCCTAGAACATTCCAAGGAAGTATTCTAGTTGAGATCAAGGGCAGAAATAGGTCAGTTTTAGTAATTTACTCTTACCCAGCTTCCATACATGAGAGGATTTAATTCTCGCACCAGGCAGGGATGTGAAACATGAGCGTCCCGGAACCCACAGCGTTCTATGGAGTACTGTCTACCATAATTTATCTAGAATCTTACTGATTGGCGGCAAAACCTCGGGCTTGAGACTGTTGGCCTATCATATCAGGTTTCAGGGGTCAATCTCGTGCGCTCACTTTCGTCGGCCGTCAGAGGTTGATGGAGCCTGGCCCCACTGCGACAAGCCTATCTAGTAGTTCTTCGAGGCCGGCCCGTATATTCGATGTCCACTTTTCAAACCCCTGGAATGTTATATGGAAATGACCCGAAATATTTTATAGCAGAATGAGCCTGAGAGACGCAATTGGCCAGCGGACACTTTCTTCTGGTCTTTTAGCTGACCCACTCAAAGCTTCGCATAGCTTGTCAACAATTAGCTAGTCCATATTGTGTGCTCATGTCAGACAAGCCCGACCGATATAAGAGAGGTCCGAACCCTCCTTTACAATAGGATCTGCTGTCTACTACTCGATCAGTCCTCTCATTTCCAATATCCTTTTCTGTTGATCAGAATCGGCTCATTCATTCGTTTTGGTCTTTTAGTTCCATTCCTTCGTTGATTTTCCTCTAAACTACTTCTTAAGTTTACATTCTGTTGAACAGAAAAGTCCATCGCTCGCACCATGCCATCCTTCCTTCAACGTTTGCTCTTGGCCACCCTGGCTGCCGGCCTCGTCTCTGCGGCTCCTACGCCGTCGCGCGTCTCGGACCTGACCAAGAGGTCGTCCGCTACCTGTACATTCACCTCGGCAGCCAGTGCTAGTGCAAGCAAATCCTCCTGCAGTACCATCGTGCTAAAGGACATTGCGGTGCCTGCGGGCAAGACCCTGGATTTGAGCAACCTGAAGGACGGAACCAAGGTAAGCCCAACTTTCACAGGACATCAGTATCGGATGGCATCACTCTAGATCGTCATTTATACCGATCATGAACGTTTCCTGATGGCCAAATTAGGTCATCTTCGAGGGCACCACTACTTTCGGCTACAAAGAGTGGAGCGGCCCACTTATCAAGGTCTCCGGATCTGATATCACCGTCAAGGCTGCCTCTGGTGCCGTCATCAACGCCGACGGCTCTCGCTGGTGGGATGGAAAGGGTACCAACGGCGGCAAGACCAAGCCCAAGTTCTTCTATGCTCACTCTTTGGACGACTCGACTATCACTGGCCTCTCAATCAAGAACACTCCTGTACAGGGCTTCAGCATCCAGTCGGACAACCTTGTCATTGATGGAGTTACCATTGATAACTCGGACGGTGACGATAATGGTGGCCACAACACCGACGGCTTCGATATCAGTGAGTCCACTGGCGTGACCATCAAGAACGCGGTCGTCAAGAACCAGGATGACTGCATTGCGATCAACTCTGGAGAGGTATGACTTATCGAACTCCGGTGATACCTATATAAGAGAATCCGGCACTAAAAAAGTACCACAGAACATCTACTTCACCGGAGGAACCTGCTCTGGCGGCCACGGTCTTTCGATCGGCTCTGTGGGTGGACGCGACGATAATACTGTCAAGAACGTGACCATCACCGCCTCCACCGTGACTGATTCCGCCAACGGTGTCCGCATCAAGACTGTTTACGATGCTACCGGCTCCGTCAGCGACGTGACCTTCTCCGACATTACACTCTCTGGTATCACCTCCTATGGTATCGTGATTGAACAGGATTACGAGAACGGCTCCCCGACTGGCACTCCCACCGACGGTGTCCCCATCACGGACTTGACTGTTGATGGAATTACTGGCTCCGTCGAGTCCGATGCGGTGGAAGTGTATATCCTCTGTGGGGACGACAGCTGCAGCGACTGGACCTGGAGTGGAGTGGACATCACGGGCGGAAAGACCAGCAGCAAGTGCGAGAACGTTCCCTCTGGCGCGTCGTGCACTTGATAAATAGGGGTGACTGGCGAGGATCGCAGCGTGTCTCTTGGGAGGGGGGGGGGGGGGTTGGTTTCCTGGTGCACTTGCTGCCGTATGTCATTCATAGACTGCATAGACTTGGCCGATAATAAGAATCATTCTTCCTCGTGCTTGAAGCTTCGATCAGAATGACCATGTAATCTAGAACGTAAAAGCTCTAAATCTGTGGCACTCAAAACCTGTACATAGCCTTTAAGGAAAACCGATCGACAGAGCCAGGGTTAAAGATCGAGCAAACTCTCACGGATGGCTGATCGATCGACACCAAGGTCAAGCTTGTTTCCACGCTAGCGATTTGAGTTTGGGGAACGACGGGGGCTTGATTGCTGGTTCCTGAGCTGCTGATTGGCTCATCGTATGGAATGCTTGGGCGTGACATCACCAACGTGATCGATAAATGAACACATCCCATCAAGATTTAGCCAGGGATGCTGCACGCTAGATATGTACCTCGAGCTGCCTGGTCTTAGTCGCATCTCTTATTGCGACTGCAAGAGTCGTCCAAATTTCCAGTTCTTACGATATTACTTCCATTTTCTCTTTGTTACCACCTGTACGGAGTACACAATATGACTGACGACCGAAAGAAGAAGATCGCCATTATTGGAGCGGGCGCAGCTGGCATGGTAGAACGCTCTTCCACGAGATGGATGGCCTATGGTAGAAACCAGCTAATGACGATATCTGTTCACAGTCCTGCGCTGCTACATTGGCAAATCATCCAGAAAAGTTCGAGGTGACGATGATCGACATCGATTCCCACACGGGTGGTCAAGCGACGTCGGTCTCTTTGGACGAACAGAAATACGGCGCAAGCTGGCTGAATGATGGAGTCCAGGGTGGCTCTGCAATCTTTCGACATACGTTCCGGTTCTTTCGCCGTTACGGCTATGAGCCACAGCAAGTCAAACTTCAGGTCTCCTTCGGCAAAGGACCGGAAAACTTTTGGACAAATGTGTTCCCCAGTCCCCTGGTGGATCAACACTCTCGGGAAATCAAGAAGCTCGGCCGCGTTTTGAAGTGCATCAAATATCTTATGCCGATTCTCGGGGTTCTACCAGTCAAGGTTATCCTTCGACTGTTCCGATTCAGTAACGACTTCAACAATAAGATGGTCTTGCCGCTTCTAGCACTCTTCCTCGGCACCGGAAATCAGACTCCGAATGTATCAAGTGTCTTGCTGGAGCGCTTATTTGACGATCCGCAAATGAAGCTATGGGAGTACGACCCTGACACGCTGTTGCCAAATCTCCCCGAGATGTACACCTTTCCCAATCTGGGGAACTTCTATCGAGATTGGTCCAAAGACCTTCAGAGCAAAGGGGTGGATATACGCCTGAACTCTTCGGTCGCAATTCTGGAGCGAGGCAGAAAAGGTGTCGTTCTGCAAATTCAACGACAAACCAGTGGTGGAGAGCAGGCAGAATCTGTATACCCACCAGAATCTTTTGATGAGCTCGTTCTCTGCTGTCCCGCAGACGAAGCAAAGAAGATGCTCGATCGAAATGCTACCTGGCGAGAGAAGTATGTACTTGGGGGCGTGAAATTTTTCAATGATATCACCATCACCCATTCAGACTCCGATTACTTCCAGAAGATATTTGAAGCTCAGTACGATCCGGCCTTGTGTGCGCAAGCAACGACTAAAGATCGGAAAGAGCAAATCGAATTTGCCGAACAGCAGCCCCGGTGTGAAAAGGACGGCTGGGTGGGGTTCCGGCCAATGTATTTCACCCACTCGTTTGAATCCGATCCAGACAAGATCGAAATGGGCTTCGATTGCTCAAACTATCAGCATCAATTCCGGGAACGCCTCGGCCCGGGAAGCGACCCTCTGCCTTTGAATGAGCATGTCTTCCAAACAATCTTTTTGAATGATCAAGAAAAGGAGATGTGGACATGGAATGACATCGATCCTTCTAAGATCATTGCCCGTAAATGGTGGCATCAATTTGGCCATCGATGGCAGCATTACCTACGTGTCGTACCAGGCATGATGTTCATCAATGGTAAGAATAGAACTTTGTACGCGGGAAGCTGGACTATGGTGGTAAGTACATCCTAGATTCATACAGGAAAGACGGTTTGAAACTGACTCTCGTCACAGAATATGCATGAGATTGCCTGTATCTCCGGTATCGCTGCGGCTTATCAGCTGGGTGCCGACTACGACCCTTTTGACGATTTTGCAGAAGATTTCTTTGCCAAGTATCTACTTGTTTGCCATGGTACCCGCTACAAGAGAGGAAAGAATAAGCAGGCTTGAGGGAGGCATGAGGGTCAATATTCATAGATACTATTTAATTACAGGATTCCTTTACAGGAGATATCTGAAGCTTTCAATCTCACCGTCCGTCTTGTTGGACAGCTCGTCTTGCAGTTCCTCTGCCTCGGTCAACTGCCTTGGGGACCCGTACAACTGGTCTCGGCGACGGTTCTCCCACGCGTAATATACGTAGAGACAGATCAAAAAGAAGATTCCCAGGACCAAACCAGACATGGCGGCCTTGATACCAGTCTAGAGAGTCGTTAGAAGGTTGGATAAAACGGGATGACGGCATGCTGAAATACTCACAGGGTATCCGGGTTTCTCCGAAGGAATAAAAAACTGAGGGCCCACGATGTTACCCACACAGTAGGCGACGAACATCAAGGCACTAACAGTACTCTTTTTGGTAAAGCCGGCCACGTTTGAACTGATCAGACTCAGTGACAGAGGAATGTTAGCAGCAAAAACTGCGCCCAAGCAAAGGCCGGTCATCCTGCCGGCACGGTCATTGCTATCGAGTTTCCAGATCAGAATCATGCCGATCATGGAAACGACCGCATTCAGCATCATCATGAAAATTCGGCTTTGTTTGACATATGTTGCAAAGCCAGATGTGAGAAGCAGGAAAACGAGTTGGGCAGCACCGATGGGCATTTGGATCAAGAGGGCCTTGAGGTTCGAGAACCCAAACCCGGCGATGATGATCGAGGAGAAACTGGTGATGCCACCGTTGCAGAAGTTGACACATAACGTGTACAGAACAAGGAACCAAGTCTGAGGATCCTTGATGGCCATGAGGACCTGACCCCATCGGAATTTACCGGTATCCATCACACCAGTCTTGTTCTGCAGGGTGCGCTGCACCGCAACGGACTGCTCGGTTTTTTTGAGGAACATCGCCTTGGCGGGTGAGTCGGGGAGGAAGACGAAGAGAATCAATCCATATCCAGAGGTAATAGCGCCCAGCACCAGGAAAAGGAGCTGCCAGCTGTTCACCGAGTGATTATGGATCAACCCAATTCCGTATGCGACCAGGCCACCAATCACGGTTGCGATAGAGTTTCCGATAAACCACGCAGCCTGTCGGGCGGGCTGCTCCTCTCGTTTATAGAACATGCCAGTGATCAGGGCAAAGCCGGGGGCCACCGAGGCCTCTCCCACGCCCAGGAAGAATCGTGCTGCCATCAGGCCACTGAAAGACTTGCATGCGGCATGGCACATGAGAATGCCACCCCACAGAAACACCGCCGCAGCCAAGTATTTTCCGAGGGGGAGACGAACGACCAGGTAGGAGCTGGGCCAACTCCAGGCGAAATATCCAAAGTAAAAGACTGCAGACGCCCAGTTGTATTCTTTGCCTTTGAGGTGCTAGATACGGAAGACGAGACGTTAGAGCAGATCCTTCGCAAACACGGACGGCAAGAGGGACGGAAGCATACGAGGTCTTCTGTCAGATTGAACAAGGTAGCCTGGCTCAGGGCCAACTTATCCATATATTGAAGCATGTAACAAACTCCCATCAGGGGAATGAGACTAGGGGGCGCTTGCGTCAGAGACCATTGCAACTGTACAGGGAATTGGGGAGCGCATACTAGAGATCCAGTTTCCACAGGACTTTCCTTTCCATCTCCGGAGTCGTGTGCATTTCCAGCACTTGACCAAGGTCCACATCACGAGGATCCAGGTGAGGTCGGGCCTTGACCATGTCGAGGTCCACGGTGCCCCCTGGGGGAGGCGGATCCTGTTTTTCCATTGTGGTAGTTTCTCCAACGAGCACAATGAGACAAAACAGATTGACCGTTCACGAGAATGGATGTCACAGGAGATCAGAGATTGAAATAACGGTTGAGTGTGTGACAAGACCAGTTGGTTGATTTCTCTGGCCATCGAGGGGCGTTTGTATTTAAATCTAACGAAGGATCTCTTCGCTCCGCCCAATCGCCCCGGGGAGGGGACGAGGATAAAGCCACCGTGCGGATCCCCAGGAAGTCAAAAGGCGCGACTTGTTATCATCGACTATCGCCCCCTCGAGATCCACGTAGATACTGCAGCAATCACCGACGATTCCTTTAGTCAAAGGACGGTATCTGGGGTCGAGTCTGCGCGCCCTGGACAGTGATCGGATCTCGTACGGATGAGGAAATCGGCAATGAGGCAGTGTGCGCAGTACCGCACTCAAATCTAGCTGCCGAAGTCGCATAATATTCGTCGTGGAGGAGGTTAAAATTTCTTGGCTTGGATGTTAGTATCAACGTGCCTGATGCGAGATCCGAGATTCGAGCCCCGGCATCGGCAATTGGGCCAATCTGAATGGCCCGTCGGCAATCAGCCCCGTCGCCGGGTTCGCCTCCTGGTCGGCAAATCTCCACTAGGCCGACTTCCACGACACATCAGTCGCCAATTCGCAAGACTGGATAACGCGGGGAAAAAGGCGACGGACCAAACATGATTAGCAACTGCCTCACCATCACGGGATCACTACGCTTGTATCTCGTTCTCCGCCGTACATGGTGTCCCACGGACAGTGTACAACCCTCGTTACCCCACAGACTGCGACAATCCGGGGAGGAGAAGACCCACCACGTCCGTTGTCTATACTTGTCATCACTGTACACTTTGCCGACGGCGCTTGGAGGATCAATCTGCTCGCCAAACCGGGAAACTTCAGCTTGAGCTCCGTTATCTATCGGCAAACTCCCGTAGGGCAGATCCAGGGTCTGCCCCATCCCCCCCCCCCCCCCGCTATGGGGGTGAAAAACCGATAGGAGACCTCGGATGTGACGTGACGCAAGGAAGGGCCTCTCTTGGAAGAGGGGGGCACTCGTTCTTAAATATAGCTGGGCCTCCGCGGAGAGGACGAGACTCGTAGTGATAAGATAATTTAACAATTCTCGCCCCTTGAATATCAAACATGACCATCTCAAGCGTGGGAATGGAAGAGGTTCGAGCGGCCGTTGACGTTGCTCTTGATCAGCTACGGGACTCATTACGCACGGTAAACCAGGAGGTCAGTAAGCCAATCTTTTTTTTTTCTTTCATTGCACGAGATTATTCTCGTCGGTCCATCGAGTTGAAGATTTCTGACGGGCTCTCCGGGAGGCAAACTATAGATCTGGTCAAACCCCGAGCTCGCGTACGAAGAACACCATGCCCACGATACGATCTGTACGTTTCTCGAAAGCCAGGGTCTCACCGTTACTCGCCATGCGTACGGTCTCGCCACCTCTTTCGAAGCAGTGAGCGGATCGGGCGGGCGTCAGATCAATTTCAATGCCGAGTACGATGCTTTACCGGGCATTGGACATGCCTGCGGGCATAATCTCATCGCCACCAGTAGTATCGCAGCCTTTCTGGCTCTTTCCTTCGCGTTGAAGAAGTTCGGTCTCCCCGGGCGCACCCAATTACTGGGCACTCCAGCGGAAGAGAATGGTGGAGGCAAGGCCGTGCTCATTGAGGCCGGAGCGTACAAGAACGTGGACATCTCTCTCATGGCGTACGTTTACCCATTCTCCCCTTATTTGTCATCGTTTTACTCAATCCGGTACTTAGTCACTCTGGGCCCAAGAAGCTGTTCCCTGATCAAGAGCCAGCCGACGGAATTGCAGGTACTCTTATGAACGCACGCAAGAATATCCACTGCGAGTTTAGTGGCAAGAGTGCTCACGCGGGCGGTAACCCATGGGACGGCATCAATGCCTTGGATGCCCTAGTCACCTCGTACAATAACGTCGCGGTATTGCGCCAGCAGCTTTTGCCAGAGCAGCGAATTCATTGCGCCTTCATGGATACTCCAAAGGTAGCGAATGTCATCCCGGCATATACAAAGGCCTTCTGGCAAGTGCGGAGTCCCTCACTCAAGGGGCTTAACGGCCTGGTGAGCAAAGTGCGCAACTGTATCGAGGCGGCCGCACTAGCGACCGGATGCACCGTAAAGATCACAGAGTGAGTACCGCCATTGATAATCATTGACACTCAGAATTGGTGCTGATGCCAGGTCTCCGTGTAGAGAGGAGCTGTACACCGATGTGCGGCTAAACGACATTCTCTGTGAACGGTATCAAGTTCACATGGGCCAGTGGGATCGGAAGGTGCTCAAGCGACACGACAAAGTTTTGACTGCGTCGTCCGATATTGGTATGTCATCCTCGGTATTAGTTCAGAGGTCACCTGTGCGAGAGGTGCAAGAGCTAAGCGCTAATATCGTCATCCTCAATACAGGCAATGTCAGCTACGAGATACCTACTTTGCATACTATGTTCGGAATTCCCACGCCTCACAACACGTTTCCCCATCATCCCGAATACACCGCCTCCGCGGGCACCGACGAGGCACATGCCGAGGCATTGATCGTAGGCAAGGCCCTGGCCATGACGGGATGGGATATGATTACGAATGACGAGTTGTTCGAGACGGCGCACCGGCAATGGAAAGAGGAGATTGAGCGGGATGGTTGAGGATGGGATCCGTATACCGTATACCGTATACCGTATACGGTGTGAGACTCTATAAGTCTTGAGGTATTAAAGTATTTTTGAGTGGACCAATTGTAGGATATCCCGTATAGTATAGAGTAATCCCTCAAATCTGTCTGCTACACCACTCCCACCATGAAGCTACTGTCAACCATAAGTTTGACCTCTCCACGACGGATAGAAAAGCGAACGAGAGCCCAAGGATGATATTGCTGGTCTGAATCAATATCCCCCATTCTTACCTATAGATCGTCGACTCCGTGTCACTTGATAGTCCTGCCTCAGGCTGTCCATCGGCACCACTTCGGCAAAGGCTTCCTGATTTCCGTGGCTCCCCGCGTTATCGGCCTTAGAACGAAATTCACGGCCGCCCGGCCCGCGCCCTCCTCCTTCGATCTTCCGATCTTTTGATCATTCGATGCTTCATCTTCTCTACGCCACACCTCCCTCTGCCCTCCCCCGGGTCACGCTCATCAACCCCCTGATGCCTGCCCATTTGGTCCCTCGAGATCTACTGACACGCGACGGAGGGGTTTGATTTCTCATGTCCGGACGGAACGCTCCGCGCTCGAAGAATGGTTGGTCTTGCCCTCCCCCCCGCTCGATTCTGTTTCCCCAAATTTTTCAAATGCCGTTCCGAGTCCACAAGTGCCGAACTGACGGGGAATCGCGCTGCGTTTTGGTCGATATTCAGGCTGCAGCACCTGCCGCCGTCGCAAAGTAAAATGCGGCGAAGAGCGCCCTATTTGCACACGATGTCTAAACCTCAACCTCAGCTGCGAGTGGGGGGTACCAGTCAAGCGCGGGCGCAGCACGCAGATTCGACATCTCCAACCGGCCCCGACGAGCACACCCGACCAAATCGCCTGGTCTACGTCCGAGCTCAGTGATGCGATAGCTCTGACGCCGGATGCCCTGCTCAGTGGCCTCTCTCCGATTTCCTGGCCAGGCGACTCGCCGATTGTAGAAGCCCCCCACTCGACCTCATTCTTCCCACCCGTCGCGCCGGCTCCATTCTCGACTCCCCTATACCCACCACTGAGCGTCAACGAGGTCGCCTGTGCCAATTCCCTCACCCTCACCGAACATGACCAAAAGTACTTTCAATATTTCCCTTCTTCCTCGATCATCTACTACTACATGAAAGGATGGCAATGGAGCAGCTTCTGCTACCTCTATCAAGGCCCCGCTGCCACCAACAAGGTGATCATGCGAATGATACTCGCCATGGCTGCCAGTGACATGCATCGACAAGGACTAGTCGTGAGATCCCCCGGTCGGCCTACGGCGGAAGATCATGGACGTTATCATTACAGCCTGGCTGTCAAGGAATTTCGACAGCTCCTGGAGACTCCTCGGCGAAGCGTCTCGATCGAGGAGCTAGAGATCATCTTTGCGACCATGTTTCTCATGGTCACGTATGAATGGCAGTTTGGACATTCTGTCCGCCATCTCCAGTTACACCTTCATGGGGTGCGATCACTCTTGGAGTCGCACCCACAGCTCTTTCGTCTCAAAAATATCAATGACGTGTTACTCTCTCCAGAGGCCGAAAGTCCATCCTCGGAGGATGCCGCGGCCTCCAAAGTGTCTTTTATCCCGGAGCAATTTTTGTTGTGGACAGTGTGAGTACATACGATTTCAATTCGGTTTCTCTAGGCCTTGCAAATCCGCTTACCCAAAAGTACAGATACATTGATGCATCTTGCCAACTGATGGGGTTGACCGAGTCGTTATATGACTATGTCGTCCAATCGAAAAATCCAGCACTTCATCCAGATCACTTGCATCGCTGTGCACGTCTATGGGGTCGCTGTTTCTGGGGGGAGCAGTACCCGGATCAGCAAGTTCTGGATGATATTGAAAACTACCGAGCCTTGGAGCTTTTGCATGCCGGGTTCTGTTTTCGCCATCGAATCTGGAGTGTTCTCGTTGACTCTGCGGGAAGCTCCGATACCAGAGACTCCCTTTTTAGCGAAATCACCTCGACTCGCGATGTACGTTGTCCCTTGCTTGCTCCAACGAGTTCCGCTCATTTCCGAACTAACGTTGCTTTTTTCTTCTTCTCTTTCCGTTCAGAAATACTCCGACCTCTTCATCACCGCCAAATTTGCCGGCGCTGTTTCGGCACGACGCACACTCAACACGATATACATGGCCGTGTGCACTCTTTACGCACAAATCCTTCTGCATCGCCGACTCCTCTGCGTCGACAGCCTCCCCGCACCCCTGCACAGGCAAGCCACAGCCGGCATCGTGGACATTATCCGAAAGCAATATGCATCCGACCCCCGACTACTACGCCGCCTACATTGGCCCCTTCTAATGGCTATCATTGAAACGGACGACGCTGGTCACCGTGTTTGGCTTCGGCAAAGGTTATTCGAGCTACGTGATACCAACTCGGAAACCATATGGGCCAATGAATTGGTCGATCAGATCCTGGCTCAGCAGGACGTGAGTCAGGGATGCTATGCCAACCTCGCCGAGCTGCTTCTCCAACGGCTCCAAGTACAATGAGCCATTTAAAACATAAGAAAAGAAGAAACCAAATTTGTATATCTAGCTGTAATGTCTATAAAGATTTAATAGGTGCCGGCCGCAACGGCCGACAATGATGACGTGACAAGAACTGTATATTGCAATCCCACTCGCCTGCTGATCTGTATATCGTGTCAAAACGTTCCCAACTCCTGCAATTGATCCCGTTCAATCAAAATCCTAGCACCTGGCCAGCTGGCCAGTCGCCCAAACCACTCTAGAACGGAAAATTCACGATCTCTATGTTCATGGGTCATTCTCCAGGAAGTACGCATCGTAAGCCACTTCACCCTTGGCTCTCGTAGCTCGCCCAATAATCACTCGGTCATTCATCCACTTGTACTTCTCGTGGCCCGTCTCGATCTTCACATGGAGATGGAACCAATATTTGCTGGGGTCAACGGGACCCCCTTCCATCAGCGCTTTCAATACCTCTGGGGGTCCGGCTCGAGTGCCTTCAGTTCTATCCCGACATCAATACTTAGTCCGGACGATCAATCAAGTACTTTACGCACCGAATATACAACAATGCACCGTCATCGCTTTTGATCACATAGTTGGTGTTCACATGTGTCGTCTGATTATCCTCCACGAGCCTACATCATGTCAGACGCGAAGCTGACAATCTCGAGGCTCTCGAACTTACATGAAATCCGCTCCGCCAGGGACAACCTCTCCATTAAAGTACGGTCCTCTTACTGACCCCGACGTAATCGGTACGCATCTTCGCCGACCGTACGGGCCATTCCCAATCTCCATGGGCGGGTCTACCCCACACCGCAGGGTGAAGAGATGGGTCAGCTTTGGTGGAGGGGCGAGGGTTTCCATTGTCGATATATGTCAAGTTCAGATATTTTGAAAACATGCGCGTATGCGAGAGAAGAAGGAAAGGAATGCGGGGGGACGAGATGGATATAGGCAGGCGAACGTCTCCACATCGCGGGGACTTTTCCGGTGGGAGACTATGAATTGCCGGTTTTCCCGCTGCTAAAATGAATCTCACTCTGATCCTGTTAGGTTGGTTTGAACCTTGCTAGGTTGCAGGTTGTCAATTGATATGCTTCGGTATTTGGTAATAGGATGATCTTCGTCGACAGGATTCGTCTCGAGCTGGCCCATTTTTGACCTCTCAGCTTGCCCTGCGCGAGGCATAATGGAAAATTAAAACCAGAGCTATCTGCTTATTGGATGATAGAAGACCTCGGTCCCGACGAGATTGCCGAGATGGATGCTTGACATCATGTCCAAAACAAGCTCCGATGCTCCACCGTCCCGCCGTTTGCAGCCGTTGAGAACGACACTGGTTAACTATACCCACTTTGGACAATTTGTGCAAGATATGAACTTTCTATACAAAACAGAATAGATCAATCCAATGATTTATTTGTAGATCACATGCCTGGAGGATTATAGGATTGGAAGTTGCCGACATGCGCATGAGGTCCACTTCCGTACGTCGTGCGTCGTGCGTCTTGCATAAGGAGGATGTCAAGTGGTGCAGAAATCAAGCAGGTTACTTGTAGGACAATATGAGTAGCCTTGGCACTCAGGCAGGACTGGAGGATCGTTGTATTATCCCATGTTCAAGCCATGCCCAATTTTCTCATGGACATGGCATCGAAAACTAGATTTATTTCTTCTTCCTTGATTCTTTTTGTCGTGACCGTCTATATACTTTTTTGTATAGGTAAAACACAAACTCTCCACGCTGTACAGAATCGCGGGATCGATGCTCGACCGCCAATCCCCAAATTGTTCGGATCTTGAATCAATAAAGTCATTTAGTTGAACACAACAGTCTTGTGTCCGTTGAGCAGCACACGGCGCTCGGTGACATACTTCACGGCAGCGGCGAGCACGTTGCTCTCGACGTTGCTGCCGGCGTGGGTGAGCTCCTTGGGGCTCATGCCGTGGTTCACGCGCACGACGTTCTGCTCGATTATGGGACCCTCATCGAGGTCGCTGGTGACAAAGTGGGCAGTCGCGCCAATAATCTTCACACCACGGTCGTAGGCCTGGTGGTAGGGCTTGGCGCCCTTGAAGGAAGGCAAGAAGCTGTGGTGGATGTTGATGATGCGTCCCGACATGGCCTCGCACAGCTTCGGCGACAGGACCTGCATATAGCGGGCCAGCACGATCAAATCAATCTTGTATTCCTTGACCAGCTCCAAGATACGAGCCTCCTGCTCGGCCTTGGTGGCGGCAGTGACGGGAAGGTGCATGAAGGGGATGTTGTAGGTGGCGGCCAGGGCGGCATAATCGGGGTGGTTGGAGATGATCAGAGGGACCTCAATGTTAAGCTGGCCGGTGGATTGGCGGAAGAGCAGGTCGTTCAGGCAGTGACCAATCTTGGAGACCATGATCATCACGCGGGGCTTCTGGGTGGTGGGGTGGATCTCGAAGTCCATGGAGAAGGACTGTGCGGTGGACTCGAAGGCAGAGCACAGCTTCTCGAGCTCGGGGACCTCATCGGTCTCGGAGGCGGGCACAAATTGCACGCGCATAAAGAAGCGCTTCGAAGTTAGGTCGCCGAATTGGGAGGAATCGACGATGTTCAGATTATGCTGGACGAGGAAGGCCGTGACGGCATGGACGATGCCCGGGCGATCGGGGCCCGAGAGGGTGAGAATGAAGCTAGGGGCCATGATGATGTTGAAATGGTCTAGAGGCAACGGTGTTGAATCCGCGAGGCAAGCCACACAGCAGGAATTGAATATTCGTTGTGATCACCAGAAGGCCAAAAATTCCCACTTTCATCCCACCTGGACCGATCACGGCGCTGACTCATCTGCGGCCGATCGGCCCCACCACCTCAGAAAGGTTAACCGTTTTTAAAATCTGCGCTAGTTCCAATACGGTGATATTGACAAAGTATTGACTCGGAGTACACCAAATGACTAGTTAGTTGGTCGGTGAGCTGGTGATATTCCAATGATAAGGAATAACTCATCAGTTATAGCAGAACTCATACCCATTCAACACTGCCTCAAGAGCGACTGTGCACTCCAAAGTCCAAGCCCAATTTGTACCGTAGTGAATAGATGTAGAGACATTACTCCGTGTTGTGCTATGTAGTATGTGATCAATTGTTAGCTATGAAGATAAGTCGACCAGCGTTTCCGATCATTCTTTGGCCGATAACCTCCTCCCATACTTACCCCAGAGACACATGTGCCCCTACCCAGAATAATAGAGTGTTTCATCTCCTCATCACTCATAGTCCCTGAACTCCCCCGCTTCGATACTAGACTAATCTCCCCCGACCACGCTAATGTGCCTCGCACCCCTGCAGGCCAAGGATACATCCGGGGTGGAATTGCCGACTTTAGCCTGCAGAACACGAATGCGACCAAAATACCAGCTCGTCACGGACAATCTTGCCCTCGCTTAGTCCGGTCATACTATTACAGTTTCTCTATAACATATCGTGACCCCCGGATGTCTGTCACGTTCGAAACGGATCATTTAGCCGCCTAAGCTCCCCTCACCAAAAGAGGATAGTCTACTGTACCCAACAGGTACTACGAGACCTAGAGTCACACTCGTCCCAGCTTGGGAGACAGGCTTCTTCACGGGGCGCCTCCCGAGACATGGGGAGATTAGGTCGCCCTGCAGGAGGTGACCTCATTTCGTCCAAGGCAATGCCCGCAAAATCTGGGGAGCTTCCTCCGTGTCCGCGGAGTGTATGCACTCCTCTGTTCCCTTTTCGTACGACTATCAATCTAGTCTGTTAGACTGTCGGCGGTGGTACGGACCGTGACGCCGTGGAGTTCAATCCATTTTGTAAAGTTGAAAGGCTTCAGGATCCACACCTTTGAAGGTATATAAGAAGCCCTATTTTGAACCAAATCCATTCATCTTCATTCCTCTCAATCACAATTCTCCTTCCCTACGACAAACTGGTCATTTGATCTACAATCCTGCCTCAAAATGAAGGGATCAATCTCCTATCAAATCTACAAGGGTGCCCTCCTCCTGTCGGCACTCTTGAACTCAGTCCAGGCGCAGCAGGCTGGTACTCTGGCGACTGAGACCCACCCATCCCTGACCTGGTCCAAGTGCTCTGCCGGGGGTAGCTGCACTTCCGTGACTGGCAGCGTGGTCATCGATGCCAACTGGCGCTGGGTTCACTCTACCAGTGGCTCGACCAATTGCTATACCGGCAACACCTGGGATGCCACCCTCTGCCCCGACGATGTGACCTGCGCGGCCAACTGTGCTGTGGACGGTGCTAGCTACTCAAGCACCTATGGTGTTACTACCAGCGGCAACTCTCTGCGCCTGAACTTTGTCACTACGGCTTCGCAGAAGAATATCGGTTCTCGTCTGTACTTGCTTGAGAACGACACTACCTACCAGAAGTTCAACCTGCTGAACCAGGAGTTCACCTTTGATGTGGATGTGTCGAACTTGCCCTGCGGTCTTAACGGTGCCCTCTACTTTGTGGACATGGATGCCGATGGTGGCAAGGCCAAGTACTCCGCCAACAAGGCCGGTGCCAAGTATGGAACTGGTTACTGTGACAGCCAGTGCCCGCGGGATCTCAAGTTCATTAACGGCGAGGCCAACGTCGAAGGCTGGACCCCCTCCAGCAATGATGTCAACTCTGGTATTGGTGACCATGGCTCTTGCTGCGCGGAGATGGACGTCTGGGAGGCCAACTCGATCTCCAATGCGCTCACTCCTCACCCCTGCGACACTCCTTCGCAAACCATGTGCGAGGGAGATGCCTGCGGTGGAACCTACAGCTCTGAACGCTATGCTGGTACTTGCGATCCCGATGGCTGTGATTTCAACCCCTACCGTATGGGTGTCACCAACTTCTACGGCCCTGGCTTGACCGTTGACACCAAGTCTCCCTTCACCGTGGTGACTCAATTCATCACCAACGACGGCACCTCCTCTGGTACTCTCTCTGAGATCAAGCGATTCTACGTGCAGAACGGCAAGGTCATCGGCCAGCCCAATTCCGCCGTCAGCGGTGTTACCGGTAACTCGATCACCGACACTTTCTGCAATGCGCAAAAGGCTGCTTTTGGTGACACCAACGACTTCAGCAAGCACGGTAGTCTGGCCGGCATGGGCGCCGGTCTCGCCGACGGCATGGTTCTGGTCATGAGTCTCTGGGATGACCATTCTGCCAACATGCTCTGGCTCGACAGCACCTACCCCACCAACGCCACGTCCACCACCCCCGGTGCCAAGCGTGGCACTTGTGATATCTCCTCTGGTGACCCTACCACCGTCGAGTCCGCCAATGCCAACGCCTACGTGATCTACTCGAACATCAAGGTCGGTCCTCTCAACTCCACCTACACCGGTAGCACCTCTGGTGGATCTAGCTCTTCCACCACGACCACTACTACCAGCAAGACCAGCACCTCTACCACCAGCAAGACCAGTACTACCACTACTACCAGCAAGACCAGTACTACTACCACTACTACCTCCAGTGGCTCGAGCACCACCGGCGCTGCCCACTATGCCCAGTGTGGTGGAAATGGCTGGACCGGCGCCACCACCTGTGTGAGCCCCTACACTTGCACCAAGCAGAACGACTGGTACTCCCAGTGCCTGTAAAGGATCGTGACTGGCCTTTAGATTTGGGAGAAAATCGGTGCTGGGGAGAGAAAGAGCAAATACGATGAAGGGGCGAGGCAGCAGAAACATGTTCATCAAATCTTTCGCTCGTTGTACTTTTTGATCTTTGTTGTCTTCTTAGTTTTTAGTTTCCTTTGTGTTAGAGGATATGAGAATACAATCGCTTTCTGCATCATTTCATCTATTCAAGACTAGTACTGAACTACATCTCCACTTCGCTTAGGCACTTAATATCGGTTGCTTGGCAAATTTGCCATTTACCATCGACGGTCTTTTAATCTACAATTGCAGAACAGAAATGGAAACTTGCGAGAAAATAACGAATAGTATTCTGAGAATCGCGAAATACAGATCAAGAGTATCCCCTGCAACATTATCTCTCCCGGAAAGTTTTTTGATCCCTCTTCAGGCACACTGCAATTCTTCATCAAATTGTTCACAATGACCAGCCAATCACGATGACAGCTCCGACAGCCACAGTCAGCACTAACACCATCGAGGCAGCGGTCCTCACATGAGCCTGCTCGGAGTAAGTAGTCTAAAATACTCTTCCCCCGGATTACGCGGGGTAGGGGGGAAAGTCCCTGTGGCGTTGACCTGCGAGATCTCCGACTCGTGCAAAATCAGGGAGAACGCCACCCATGCGGAGAGACCTCCGCCAGCGCGTACGTTTTCGCTGTTTCAAAGAGAGTTCACAAGACGCTGAAGCACCCGCTGCAATCATCCGCTGCATTTCCTTGAGACTTTGAGAAGAATGCAAGTGTCAAGCCAATGAACGGCAAGCCAGGACTGCAAAATCGGCACTGACCCCTGCGGGGTTGCTGAAGAATTACTTTGTGCCCTTACGGGGTCGTGCCGTATTGTATCGACATCTGGAGAATATTTGAAAGTCGCGAGCGCTGGTCTGCTCGTGTTAATGACTTTTTTAAAAAGCAATGGCTAAGCATCAAGTAATGCTGGCTTGTGAAACGCGAACCTGTTGATCATCACCGTACTTGTATTGAGCTCTGTCGTTCTTCCGATCAGGGATAATTGTGTAATGATCGTGGACGAACCTACTGTATGTAAGACCGAGGAACTCCAATCACACGCCAGCACCCCTGTCAAGATGCATATCGTGTTCAGGCTGTTCGGCAAAGTTGGCACTTTTCCCAAGATGGATGACCTCGGGGCCATGGGTTGAGAACATGAGGAGAGGCAATCCCCTCTTTCGCGAGGATTTCCCCTCATGATCGATCTAGTGCCTTGACATTCTCTGCCAGACTAATGTTTCATCAAGATGCTAATCTACTTAAGCGCCGGCCCTTGTAAGAGTGGTGCCTGCTGTAGATATCTTTCTAGCTCCATTAGCCTCTACCTAGCAATATATCTCGAGCCCGTGTCTAATCCGGCTATGGGTCAATCTATTCTGTTGGTTCCACTTGTATTTCCATAGCCCCATCATTACCCCCGTGTTACTGGAAGCGCCCAAATTAAATAGACCGATAACGGGACATATACATTGCGAGACACGGCTTGCCATCGCATCTGACAAAGATGTCGATCAGAGCAGGTTTATGCACAGCGAAACATATTTCCTGACTAATATGCTCAGCTTATGAACACATGGAGATCGATCGTCTCGACTAAGTATGGAGAGCTTTGTGGGGATGATGTAGTCTCCCCACCTCTCCACCTTGACCAGGGCAGCCTCTTATAAAAGGCGGATTGTCTCCCTCTCCAGGACCAATGGATCGAGAAGGGATGGTTTCATAAACGCTCTCCAAACCATCGCAGCAACGCTGGTCAACTTCGTGGAATTCAGTCAGTGATGCGTATTGAAGCTATTTTATCCCACGCGATCGGCTAGCTAAGAAGCCACGCAACATACGTGGCAGATGACTAGTCTCATCTCACCAAAGCCGAAGGCTTAAGGTCAGGAATCAGGAACATCCAGAACTCCCGAACACCTGCACGTTGGCTCTCTCGGTCGCATGAACGATCCTCCCAACCCGGCATCGTCCCATCGCCACAACCGACCGGGTAGTAGTGGCAACCGAGGGTGCCGTTGGGGCGGCAATGATTTTATCCGCTCCGAGTGGGGGAAATACTGACTCGGGGACGGACAAATGCCGCCACTGCCGTGTCTCCAAAGCGAGAGATGGGGATGGTAGATGCTTACCGCTTGGAGAGTTTCGGTGAAGACTGATAACAACAGAGAGCGTGTTGCCTTGGGCATGATGGTGTTTGTTCATGACGACAGTAAAATTGACCAGCTCACGCGACCAGATAAAGTAACTTGAGAAAATAAAGACAAAACTTAGTCAGCAGCGAATAGTTGCACATGATTCAAGTTAGTTCAGATAGTCGAGTTCATGATGGCCCATTTTGATACTATCGAGAATTGGATTTATACAACTCATTCGGGTTATATGTTTTTTACCTGAAAAAATACAGGTTCAAAGATGCAACGACAGAAACGACGAGAATTTGGTTCACAAGGAATTAATATGACTATCAAGGTTTGTTCATTCGAGAATTGATACCATCAAATATCGGAAAACAAGCATTTATTCGGGACTCCTGATTGGTCCAACTCTAAAAAATGATGTGCAGGGTGCCATCTGCAGGCGAGTTCCTGAATGCAGTTAATCGCCCGGCCCACGGACGCCCCCCTGGACTACGACCGACCTGGTTAACGCAGATCTCATGAGGCTGGGTTGGTCGATGGTATGATCCTTACAATCTAGATGGATACTAGGGTTTATCAAACCAAGGTTGTTACGAAGAATGGTTTGAAGAGAAGATATAATTCTTTGGTATATATATCATTCAAATTTTAATCTCATCTGATTCTTTTTTGACGTACAGTACATGAGAATTGATGAACCTCAAATGACAATGGAGGTGGGGAAAATCACAAAATCAAAAGCCAAAAATAGATCGCTAAGTCCACAAATGCAATGCTAGATCAGATCGTCTCAGGGACACATGGAAGGGTGGGGAAGCAGGAAGATTTCTCCACTTCCCAATTCTCATCAGCCATTCTTTCATAATGACCGCTTTACAGCTTGTTGCCGCCCATCGCACGCTCGAAGGAAGACTTGGGGGGAGCAGAGTTGGGGTTACGGTGGTGCTTCTTGTGGGCCATGAGGACGTTGTACTCAAGGTCGAGCTCGGCCTTGGGGTCATCGGTCTTGGGCTTGAAGTCGACAACCAGATCGTCCTTGACGGCGAAGACAGAGTCGATCTTCAAGTGGGGGTCGGTGCTGGGGTAGATCTGGTTGATGACGGTGGCATAGTCGGGGTGGGTGATCATCAGGTGGATGTGAGCGGGGCGCATGGGGGAACGGTCCATGATGTTCAGCAGGACACCGGCGGGGCCGTCGGTGGGCAGCGAGTAGGCCGTCGGGTGGTAGCAATACCAGTTGAACTCGCCGTTGGCGTCGGAGCGGAACTTGCCACGGAGGTTGTTCTCGCTCTGGTTGGGGTCCTGGAAGTCGTACTGGGCGTTGGCGGAAGCCTGCCAGATGTCGAGGACGGCGCCCTCGATGGGCTTGCCGGTCTCCATGTCGGTCAGACGACCGTGCATGTAAGTCACGCGACCGTTGGGAAGAGGGTCCTGGATGATGCTATCACCCAGCTCGCGGAAGGGAGCGTTGGGAGACCAGAAGGGGCCGAGAATCACGTTGGAGGTGGGGGAGAGACCCTGCTCGGTGACGATCTTGTTGGCGATCTCATCGACGAGGGACTCGAGACCGATCACATCACAGCAGCGGTGACCCTCGTTACGGATGGGGGTGCTGATGGCGCCGATGGAGTTGATGAACTCGACACCGGTCATCCACTCGGCGGGGGTCAGCTCGACCTCGCGGGCAAAGTCGTGGATGTGACGGATGAGAGAACCGAGAATGACGCGCGCACGCTCGGGGGTCTTAGGACCCATGGCGTTGACCACCTGGTCAGTGAAGGTAGGGTCGAAACGGTGGGGGGCAGCCATTGTGAGATGGAAGGAGGACGTCCAAAAGAGTGGAGTAGAGGTATATAGATCGTAGAGGTATAGATCTGAGGAAAGTAGATCACACAAGACAAGGGTTTGTGGAATGAGGTGGATGAGGATGAGAAGAAAAAAAAAAAAAGAAGGTTGGCACGAGACGAGAAGGCATTTATAAGAACGTTTTTTTCTCTCGAACCCCACGGTATTCTCGAACCTCGACCTTACCCCAGTCCCGAACGGAGTGGTGCGGCGGCAACTTTGGCACGTCTGGCGCCTCCGCCGGTCGGGCGACTCGGCAGCAGCCCACCGCCCAACAGCCGAATGCCCCGGGATTGTGTTTTGCGCAGTGCCGGTTGGTTCTGCTGACCTTCTCGACTGCTGCACTTGGCGGAGTCGCCACGAAACGGGGTTTGAACTATGGATGAACACGGGGTCCAGCCATTCACAGTTCACCTTGGGCCCGTTCAGAAGTCGAATCATGAAGTCCAATTCGTTTTTCCACTCCCCCCCCCGCCCCGAAACGGTCAATCGCATCGGGCGGGCTCCTCGACTCCTATCGCGTGCCGCCCCTCGCTGCCGGACCCCTCGAGCTCCCCGCAATTCATCCAGCGCCGTGAGCAATTCCCGGGTCAACGCTAATATTGCACGGATATATTCTGTATCCTTCGCACGGGATTGAGCAACATCGTATGATCCGATCATTGTACTCCTGGGCACCCGCCATTGTCACCTCCGCCCCCGTCACTCTTCCCCGTTCGCGATCCTTTAGCACTTCGCCCATCGCAGCCATGAAGCACCATTTGATGGTCGGAACGTGGGTCGCCCCCGGGCGCATCTACACCGTCCAATTCGACGACGAGGCCCTGACCTTGGACTTGATCAAGAAGACCGAGATTCCAGAGGCCGAGCCTATCTCCTGGATGACCTTTTCACACGACAAAAAGACCATCTATGGCGCTGCGATGAAGAAGTGGAACAGCTTTGCGGTCAACAGCCCTACCGACATTGTTCACCAAGTGTCGCACCCGGTCGCGGGTCACCGTACGTACTTGATCTCCGAGATTGCGAATTCTAGAAGCACCATTGAATATGCATGAATTTCTTCTTCTTGATTCCCAAAAAAAGGAAGAGAAGAGAGACTGTGCTGGAAGCTTCATCTTGATCAAATTGTCTCTGCAGTTACTAATCTCATTGTTTTTTTGTGTCGCAATTCAGCTCTCGCTCCCAGCGCCGAAACCAACACGCGCGCCATCTTCGTGCTCGCCGCGCACCAGCCTCCCTTCAATGTTTACGGCAACCCCTTCTACAAATACGCCGGCTATGGCAATGTCTTCTCCGTCAAGTCCGACGGTGCCCTGGACACCAATGTCCAAAACTACGAGTACGATCCCAACACCGGCATCCACGGCATGGTCTTTGACCCTACCGAGACCTACCTCTACTCGGCCGATCTGCAGGCCAACAAGATCTGGACGCACATCAAGGACGCCGAGACGGGCCAATTGACCCTGCTGGACTGCCTCGAGGCTCCCGCCCCCGGGGACCACCCGCGCTGGGTCGAGATGCACCCCAGCGGCAAGTATCTGTATGCCCTCATGGAGGCCGGCAACCGTTTGGCCGTCTACGTGATCGACGAGCGCACCCACAAGCCCGTCTTCACGCACATCACCTACCCCCTGCTCCCTCCCGGTCTTCCCCCGCGCAACAAGTACCGCGGCGACGTCACCTTCACCACCCGCAGCGGCGAGTACCTCTTCGCAACCACCCGGTCCAACCACTTTGACGTGACCGGCTACATTACCGCCTTCAAGCTGGGCCCCTCGGGGGAGATCGAGCGCCAGCTCTTCATCAACCCGACGTCCACCAGCGGTGGTCACTCCAACGCGGTCAGCCCCTGCGACTTCAGCGACGAATGGGTGGCCCTGTGCGACGACCAGCTGGGCTTTGTCGAGATGTACCGCTGGCGCGACGAGAAGCTCGCCCGTGTGGCACGCGTCGACATTCCCGAGCAAGGCTTTGGCATGAACGCCATCTGGTACGATTAAACGAAACGAATCAAAAACGACTGTTTATATATTTTAAGAAAGCAATGTATATAGAGTCCATCAAGAGCGGTGTTTCGGTTGGAGCTCTACGTCTGAAAAGCCGGGCGCATCAGACTGGTAGTATGGGAACCATGATAGCACTATCCCAGAAGTTCAGGAAGACATCACGATGCAATTATAGAGCTATAATTTAAGGGTGCCAGCCAATAAAATCGGGGTTTGGTTCCAACCTCGAGGATAAGCCTTCAAGAAAAAGTCGCGGGGCAATCGGCAGTTTCCATCGGGTGCGTGTTGCTTTCTTCCGGCTGAGGGGCACTGCCGGCCACTCCACGAAAACTGCGCTGGACCATGACGATGGGCTCCGGAACCGGGGGGATTTCAAAGATGCTAAAGTGATTGGAGATCTAGAAAATAATAATTGACAAGTCTGCTTCCATCTTCTCCTCCTCCTCCCCCTCCCCCGTTATCCTCATTGCCCGCATCTCGGTATTACTTTTTTGTATACTTCGAGATCTTCCCCCGCCACCATGCCGACCCCCGGCCTTCTTTACGTGACGATGCAGCCCAAGGGCTCCTTGCCCGAGGCCCAGTTCCACGACTGGTACAACACCGAGCATGGCCCTCTGCGTCTGCGTCTGCCTTTCGTCACCAATGGTTTCCGTTTCCGCGCGACCGACGGCGAGAAGCCCGAGTATGTGGCTCTCTACGATATCACCGACATGGACGAGTTGACCCGGAAGACCTACCTGGATCTGCGCACCGACCTGATCAAAACCGAGCGCGAGAAGAAGACCATGGCCCAGATCGACGTCGGTCGGTTGTTGTATGATCTGGTCGATGAGCGCAGCTCGCCCAACTTCCGCCCGCTGGAGGACCAAGCCGATACCGATCCCGAGACCCACGGGAGCGTTCTCGTTGCTGTCACCACGGCCACTCACCCCGACCCCGAGAAGCAGGCCGAGCATGACCGCTGGTATCGCGAGGAACACTTTGAGATGCTCTCGCGCGTGCCGGGCTGGCGCCGCAGCCGTCTGTTCGTGACTTCGTCGATTGACCCCAAGGCTCCGCGCGAGTCGCTCGCGCTTCACGAGTACGCCCCCGTGAACGGGCTGGGTGGCGATGTGCACAAGGCCGCCATGAACACCCCGTGGCGCCAGAAGCTGCAGGAGACCGTGGTTACCTCGAAGAAGCGCCGCGTCTATCAGTGGTACTACACGTTCGGTCCCGCCCCGCGTGAGTTGTCGTCTCTGACTTCTCCGGACTGCGTGGGACCCTGGTCCTCCAACGACGGCAAGACCCGTACTTTGCCTTCCGCAACTCGCCCGGCCGTCGAGTCCTTCATCACCACCAAGGATGGTGTCGAGATCCCTTACCGTTTGGAAGGTAGCACCGACCCGAACGCCCCCGTCGTCGTGCTCAGCAACTCCATCCTTGTCAACTGGAACATCTGGGACCGCTTTGTGGATGCCTTCTTGGCCCGCAAGGAGAACCAGCGCTATCGTGTCGTGCGCTACTTGACCCGTGGCCGCCGTTCGGCCGCGGGGGAGCAGCCCGTCACCGTGGACCTGCTGGCCTCCGACGTGGCCGATCTCCTCGAGGCTCTTCGCGTGTCTCCCAAGGCAGCCCGCTTGATCGGTGTCAGCCTGGGCGGTGTCACCGTCCTCAACACCTCCCTCCTGTACCCCGAGCGCATTGCCGCGTTCATCTCCTGCGACACCAACTCTTCCGCTCCCGAGTCCAACCGCAAAGCCTGGAGTGACCGTGTCGCCATGGCCGAGCAAGAAGGTTCGACCGACTCGGAGACCAACGAGCCTATCGTCGGTGAGCAGTTGGCCGAGATTACGACCCGACGCTGGTTCGTCCCGGAGTCGTACGAGACCCAGCCCGAGGTGCTGGCCCCGGTCAAGGAGGCCGTGCGTACCAACAGCTTGAAGGGTTTCGCGCACAGCGTGAATGCCCTCTGCGCTTATGATATCCGTGAGCGTATGGCCTCGGCCACCGTGCCCGGTCTGTTCGTGGCTGGTGCCAATGACGGTGTGTTGCCCCAGACCATGAAAAAGATGGCTGAGGATTTGAAGGGTGATGCTGAGCTGAAGATCATTGACAAGGCGGGTCACTTGCCTATGGTTGAGCAGCCCGAGGCCTTTGCGGATGTTGTGACCGAGTTCTTGAGCAAGATTGACGGTTGAACGGTATATATCATGGATGAATATGTAGATAGAAGAGGGATATGGAAAAGAGAGACCATAACGAATGATGGGGGGTTATGACCTATAACATGAATTATCAAACAATGAAATCCTTAGAATCTCCCTTAATTTCCTTTCCTTTTTCCTGTTTCCTTCTGTTGTCGTCGGATGATCTTCCAAATGTCAACTGGACTGTCAGATGGCCAGTCACTCGCCAGTCGGCTCGCTGCGGCGCCCGACGACCGCCAGCCGCGCAGTTCCTCTTTCCTCCTCCCCCGCCTTCCACTCCTGCACACCCACTCTCCCTCCGCTAAATCGCCTCGCCATGACCGACAGTAAGGTCCCTCAACCGGGACCCGCCAAACTCAAGCGCAATGCAGGCCCTGATGAATGGCTCGAGGCCGCCAAGGACTGCAAATACCTCTCCGAGGCCCACATGAAGCAGCTGTGCGAGATGGTCAAGGAGTATATGATGGAGGGTAAGCCACGAGATGAACATACATCCACTGTGGGCTACCAAATCTCACACAATCCCCTTGCATAGAATCCAATATCCAACCTGTATCCACACCCGTCACCATCTGCGGCGACATCCACGGCCAATTCTACGACCTGCTGGAGCTCTTCCGTGTCTCTGGCGGCATGCCCGATGGCTCCAAGCTCGACGCTCCCAAAACCTCTCCCTCCGTCATCACCTCTGCGGACATTGAACCCCCTTCTACCATTACCGATCCCAAACTCCGCAAGAAACTCCGCGGACCCAGTGCAAATACCCAGGCCGACGGCGATGAGGAAGCGGAGGAAGAGACGGAGCCAACCCCCACCCCACACACCCGATCGAACAGTGAGACGTCGGAGAGCCTTCAGCTCAAGAGCAATTTTGTGTTTTTGGGAGATTACGTCGATCGAGGATATTTCAGTTTGGAGACGTTGACGCTATTGTTATGTCTCAAGGCCAAGTAAGTCCCGTCGGGAGTTCTCCATCTCGGACAAAAACTCAGATGACAAATGCTGATGGACGGGGTGATCCAGATATCCAGACCGAGTTACGTTGGTACGCGGTAACCACGAATCCCGCCAGATTACTCAAGTCTACGGGTTCTACGAGGAATGTTTCCAAAAGTACGGCAGTGCCTCGGTGTGGAAGGCTTGCTGCCAGGTCTTCGATTTCATGACGCTGGGCGCCATCATCGACGGCAAGGTGCTGTGTGTACACGGTGGACTGAGTCCGGAGATTCGAACGCTCGATCAGGTGCGGGTGGTGGCTCGTGCCCAGGAGATTCCCCATGAGGGTGCGTTCTGTGATTTGGTCTGGTCGGATCCCGACGATGTGGAAACGTGGGCAGTCAGCCCTCGTGGAGCAGGTAAGAAACTATGCCTTAGTTGGTTTGATCGGAAGTCCACTAACATTTCCTTTCCCAGGTTGGTTATTCGGTGATCGTGTCGCAGATGAATTCTGCCATGTCAACGATCTCTCCCTGATCGCTCGCGCGCATCAATTGGTCAACGAAGGTTACAAGTACCACTTTACCAACCAAAACGTCGTCACCGTGTGGAGTGCACCCAACTACTGCTATCGATGCGGTAACCTGGCTTCGGTCTGTGAGATTGGCGAAGACCTCAAGCCCACCTTTAAGCTGTTCAGCGCTGTCAGCGACGATCAACGACATATGCCCACCTCGCGGCCGGGCCGCAGCGAATATTTCCTGTAAGATGATTGCCAGATTTTGCACGGGCGCCGGCGTTTTGTTTATTTTTTGGGGATTGGGAATCATCTCTCCGTTTGCAGGGGGAATTTCATGAGCATTTATATAATGATCTTAGAGACGAATTGAATGTCTGAGCCTTTGGCTCATGAATGATCGATCAGAATGGTTCAAAGGAACATTGACAGGTAGCCAGTATCATGTCCGTTTCTCCGTAGCGTATACGGAGTAGTGGAATCTGCAAGGATCCCTCGGCCGATCTCCATTCCCGTACGACCTCAAATCCCCGACGTCCTAGTATCCCCCGAAATTGTCCCCCGGGGACGGATAGCCGGAGTGACCCACGGCACAGGATGTCGTTCTCTTTCTGCGAGCCGATTTATCCACATGCGACCAGATGCCGAGACGACCTCCGCAAAGTCCCCATACCTCCCAGTGCCCAAGGGTGGCGGGCCAGATCCCCGGAACACATCCCGAAGAGGCGCTCGGGATGAATCCCGGACTGCCTTCAAAAGTAGTTGCCCGGGGGGGATTTCTGCATACTAATCGAGCTGGACGTTCTATTCTGGATAGATTCCATTCCTTGCATATTACCCGTCACCTCCAGCATGGAAAAAGTCGACGTGCTTATTTGCGGCAGTGGTTCAGCCGGACTATGCGCCGCAACCTGGCTCGCACGATACGGCGTCCGCTGTAAAGTGCTCGAACGCCGCGACGGACCTATGAAAATGGGCCAAGCCGACGGAGTCCAATGTCGCACGGTGGAAATCTTTGAGAGTTTCGGTATCGGCGAGGAGTTGTTGCGAGAGGCGTATCACGTCCTCGAGGTCAACTTTTGGGCTGATGAGGGGACGGGCGTGATCAAGCGGACTGGTCGGACGGCGGATACGCAGCCGGGTCTTTCGCATCAGCCGCATGTGATCTTGAACCAGGCGCGGATCAACGGGTTGCTGATTGAGTTGATGCAGAAGTATAACGATCAGCAGATTGATTATGGGTACAATGTCACCTCCGTTCAGGTTGATAGTGCTGCGGCTGCGGATTCGGAGGCTTATCCGGTCACGGTGACTGCGGAGAAGGATGGAAGGACGACGACGTTTGCTGCGAAATATGCATTGGTATGTTCTTATGCCTTATTGAATGGGTGTTATATCGAGAATGGGAGCTGGAGTGTCGAAGTGAGCCACCAAACTAATACATGGTCTAGGCCTGCGACGGCGCCCACAGTATCGTCCGCAAAGCGCTGGGTTACAAGATGATCGGCGACAGCAGCGATGCCGTCTGGGGTGTGATGGACATGGTCCCACGTACCAACTTTCCCGACTTCCGCAAGAAATCCACCATTCGGTCCAAGGCAGGAAACATCCTGATCATCCCCCGCGAGGGCGACAACAATAATTTGACCCGGTTCTATATCGAGCTGGCTCCCGGCACCAATCCCAAGGACGTCACCCTGGAGAACTTACAGCGCCAGGCACAAGCTATCCTACAACCGTATCAGATTGAATTTGTCGAAACGGTTTGGTGGTCCGCCTATTCAATCGGTCAGCGCCACGCCGACTTCTTCCACAAGGATCACCGCGTTTTCCTGGCCGGTGACGCGTGTCACACGCACTCTCCCAAGGCCGGTCAGGGTATGAACGTCAGTCTACAGGACGGCTATAACATTGGCTGGAAACTCGGTGAGATTCTCACCGGGTTAGCGGACCCTTCTCTTCTCGAGACTTATGTCTTGGAGCGAAAGAAGACGGCTATCGATCTTATTACCTTTGATCGTTACTTCTCCAAGCTCTTTTCCTCTGGAGCGAACACGTCTCCTGCGGAGTTCCAAGACGGTTTCATCCAGTCCGGCAAATATACTGCTGGATTGACGGCTAAATATGACGTTTCCCCGATCACAACTGCCTTGGAGGGCAAGCAACTTGCCTCGAATGTCGTGGTGGGCATGCGTCTACCCAGTGCTCAGGTGGTCCGATTCTGTGATTCCAAGCCCTTGCAGTTGATGAAGGCACTTAAGTCGGATGGCCGGTGGCGCATCATGGCTTTCATAGGAGATTTGACTGTTGCAGAGAATCGAGAAAAGTTGAATCAGGTATGCCCGCTTTTTCCTTTCAACTATATTGATCTTGATACTGATCGATGGTTTACTAGCTCGGAGAATACCTGTCATCACCCGAAAGCCCCGTTTATACATTCACTCCCAAGTCCCAGGACGTGGACAGTCTGATCGAGACTATCGTAATCGGCCACGGAAAGCGGCACGATGTCGAGCTGGAGCAGATTCCAGCAGTATTCTACCCAGTCGCAGGCAAGAACCAGACCCGAGGTGAGTACAAGATTCTACCATACTACACTCGATACGCGGTATTCATGTCCTTCATCAGATCTCCACAAAATCTACTATGATGATGAGAGCCATAATAAGGGCCACGGCCATGCATACGAATACCTGGGCATCGATCCGCAACAAGGAGCCCTAATCATCGTCCGACCCGATCAATGTACGTTCCCCCATTTTGATCCCCTCGCTTCCTTGGACACCTGACTCACACATTGATTCAGATGTATCCGCCGTGCTGGACATCACCGACTATACCCAAATCGGCAAGTTCTTCGCCGGCTTCCTGAAAACACAAGCGTAGGTTTGTTACTTCTCCGGTCAAGCATCGCGTAAGCACGCTAAAATGGCACCATTTTGCAGAACTCCGGAGACTACGGAGCATAGCTATCGCACCACCAGTCCGCTTGATAGCAGATTGTAGTGATTCGAATACCCCCTCTTTTCTACATTGTACATATTACTATTTTAAGAGATTTCTGCATAAAAGGATTTATGGGATTGGCTTTTTTAGTCTTTGTCAACGGCTTTGCGGAAGTATAAGCTTGACAGGATTCGCCGCTTACAAAATGTAAATTTGCACTAAATGCGTATGATTCAATTGCATCATTAGCGTAATTGATCAGATAAGATTGAAAACATACTCGGGCTTGGAGAGGGGATACTGCAGATTACGAATCTGCTTTCTAATCCCATATCTAATCCTTACCACAAGATCGCGCCATCGGCATGTAGAGGTTGCCGCTTAGTCCGATGGCTCATAGCGATCAAACGGGAAATGGCGTAATCGATGCACATTTCGACTGTTTTAGTCTCGACGCGGTAATATTTCCCAGCACACCAGTCACCAAGTTGTATAATTTGCATTTTCTCTTGGTTGGCTGCTATCCGCCGTTCTAATCACCTCCTCTTTTGTTTAGTCAGCCCACGGTCTACTCCACGGGACACTTCCGCGCCGCTCAATAATCTTTGTAGATGAGGTGATACAACGCAGGTTTGGTGACATGCGCACGATTGTTGCAATGGAGCATTGTAGAACATACTCTGCCAGGGTAGATGGATATAAGTAGTCGACGAGACCTGCAATGTGGCCCGAATCCATTCAACTATCCCTCCAGCTCTCAAACAACCCTTGAAGTGCCAAACTTTTAAGCTTATTCCAGCGCCGATCATCGTTTACCTCGTCCATCTTATAATTCATCATGGCGATTACTCGTGTAGCTGTGGCCGGTGTACGTTTGAGACAACTCTCTTTCTACATCATCCAGCCTTTTCTAAACTAATCCCAAATTCGAACAGGGCACCGGTAACCTCGGACCAGCCATTATCACTCAACTACTCGATGCCGGCTTCGAAGTCACCATCCTCAGTCGCTCGGATTCGCATCAAGTCGATTCACGCGCTCGCATCCAAGTAGTCGACTACAACTCCCTCGACTCTCTCGTGGCCGCGCTCAAGACCCAAGACGCCGTAGTCAACGCCCTCAGCGCTGGCCTCGTCCCCCGCGAGGTCCACCTCCGCCTGGTGGAAGCAGCCCAAACCGCCGGCATCCAGCGCTTCATCCCCTCCGAGTTCGGCTCCGACACCAGCAACCCGTTAACGGCTCAGCTGCCCGTCTTCGGCGACAAGGTCGCCGTTCTCCAGAAACTGGAGGAAGTCGCCAAGCAGGATGCCGCGTTTAGCTGGACGGGCGTGATCAACGGCCCGTTCTTCGACTGGGGTCTTGAACAAAGGTTTGTTGTCAATCTCAAGGGGCCGTCCACGCGTATCTATGACGGCGGCGACGTTCCCGTTAGCAGTACCACGCTGGCGGGTGTTGGACGAGCCGTGGTCGGGGTTTTGAAGCATCTCGACGAAACTAAGAATCGACATGTCTTTGTCTCCGATGTGCAGTTCACTCAGAATCAGCTGCTGGATCTGTCGGGTAATGGCGACAAGATTCAGCGAGAGAATGTCAAGACTGAGGATGTCGAGAAGGAGGCTTACGAAGCTCTGAAACAGTCTCCGCCCGATGGGAGGACGTTTGCGACTAATCTGATCCTGCGGGCTATTTATGGTGGGAAGTATGGAGCTCTGTTTACCAAGACTGATAATGAGCTTCTGGGCGTTCAGAAATTGTCGGATTCCGAGGTGGCGGATCTGGTGAAGAAGTATGCTTGAATAGGCAGATAGTCTCATAGTGGATAATTGATCAATTGTGAAGATAAGAAAGGCTCGAGGAACTTTTTGTGCCGTAGCAGAGGTTGCGTATTTTTTAATGGCAATGGTATGCACATGTAGCTAACTGTCGAAGGAGACAGCGCCAAGGTTTTGAATCAGTTTTCTGTGCGCAGCGTGACCCTTTTTTGTTGCCTCCATGTACCGCAAAAGTACTTCAAGATGGGAGGCTATATAGAGAAAGCGTTTCAAAACGTAATGGCCGTCCCTAGGATCTCACGAGCTTTACGAGCCCGAGAGTCGGCGTCACGGCCCTTGCGGAAGACCCGTTCGTCATCGGGGTTGAAGCCACCACGGCCCCAGAGAGCCCACTCTTCCGTTTCACGCATGTAATCCTCGGGAGCGAATGAGGTACCATCCTGCTTCTCCCTCTCCAATAATTCAAAGAACCGGTCATAATCAATACGGGTGTGCCACTTTCCATTCACATGGAAACGCTCCGATGCAAGCAAGACGCAGCAGCTGTGGGCGTGCTCGGCAGCAATTCCGTACTTGAGACCGCGTCGCTGCAGCTCCTCATTCAGTGCGACGACAAAGGCAGACACTTCTTCGTAGAAAGGCACGTTTTTCATCGTCAGGCCGGCGCCCGCACTAGTGCTGGTTCCGCAGAAGGTGACACCCTTGATCTCGACCAAGCCCGGCAATGCCTTTTCAACTAAATTAGCATATCCAACGACTTCATCCTCGACATTGAAGCCTTTCACAAGAGTCAATCGGAATACGGTCCGCTGGATGTGACGTTTCTCTCGCAGAATGTCTAGACAGCGCTGGAATCGCTCCCAGAAATCACGGTGAAGAGGGCGATCAATCTTTCGCAGACTCTCGCGGTTGCTAGCGTCGATGGAAACGTAGAGCTGGGTCACACGATGCAGCGCCTCCAACTGGTCGGGATGCTGAGCATTGCAGACCAAAAAGCTGGAGATGCGCTCCTCGTGCAACATGTCCAGGAAGCGGTTGATATGGGGGTAGAAGATCGGCTCGCCGACCAAGCTCAAGGCGCAATGCCTAATTCGCATAGCTTCGGCAAATCTCTCGGCTCGCACTCCAGGCACGCCCTTTAACATCTTAATCTTCTTGTAGTGACCTTCCTTCACACCATCGAATATCAACTCAGGCGAGTCGACTTTCCATCGCCAGGTGGTCCCAACGGGGTTGGTACCGTGACGCCAGCAAAAGATACACTTGTTACTGCACGACAGCGAAGGCGTCGCCTCCATGCAGAGATGAGACTTGATGCCGTAGAAAGAATATTTGTAGCACGAGCCACGACCACGGAGCGCGGACTTGGTCCATCGACAGATCTTGACGCCAGAGTGGGAGCCAACAATGGTATAACCCTGCTTCGTCAGAGCGGCATATGTCGGGGACGTCTTGGGAACCATCTCCTTCGCGGTGGCCTCCGCAGATACAGCCTTGCCCGTGGTCGTAAAGTCAATGGGAATGGGACCAGCCGAGTCCCCATTCATCTTGATATCCTCCAGATCGACCATGGTCGAAGTATCCTTCTTTTTGCTCCTGGACTCGTCGCCATCCTCCAAGTCCTCCAATTCTTCATCGTCACTCTCCACGGCGTCACCGCTGCCCGGAACACCCTCTCCCAGACCGCCACTCTCCAGGATATCGAAAATGGTATCCTGAAGTCCTTGAGACCACTCTTTCAACGAGATCTCTGCATCAGTCTTGACATCACCCATTCCCAACGGATACGCCCGCTTTCGGCCGGTCAGTTTCGCCATCCAGCGATCGACTTCTTTCGCCTGAGAACAGAAACCCTCCTCCTCGGTGGGCCACTCCTCCTTGTCACCAAAGCCAAAGACCGAATAGCCCGCCAATTGGGAGAGGGGCGCAGTGTCGATACGGAAATCATTATGAATCTCATCCAAGTGACCCAATAACGTGTTCAAGACCGTGTCAATGTTATATGTGGGGATCAGAATGCAGTACAAGTAGCGAGTGCCGGGGGAGGTCGACGGCGGTTTGGGAGCCGCGGCGAAGAAGTCGTCAAAGTCGATGTACGAGATATCGTGGATCTGCGGGGGTAACAGGCCACTTTCGCGGTTCTCCGGGTCGGCTCGTTCCTGTGCCACCGCACGCAGATCCTCCAGCAGCACGTTGGCGTAGCGTTCCGTCGTCGTCGTCAACGATGCAAAGAAGATCACGGGCTGAAGGGACAAAGGGTGTCTCTCCTCGCTAGTCGTACGGCGACCGGTGACGGTCTTAGCGGGTCTCTTGCCTTGGACGCGCTTGGGACCCGAGGTGGACTTGGGAGGCTGATCATTGTGGGTGAGCTTGCCATTGTTCGTGGGGATCAGTGGTGGGGGTTGTTTCTCGGTCGGCACGTGGAGAATTGGGGATTTTGCTGGGGATTGACTGCGGGGCGAGGACGGAATCGAGGAGGAGGTCGGGGTCTTGGATCGCGACTGGACTTTGCGATACGTATGAAGGGCCACGAACAGGGTGGAGAGAGCAATGAGGAGCGGTAGACGGTAGGTATGCCAGGCGGCCAGTAGGCCTGGAAGGAAAGGTCAGCATGTGGTCTGAGGGTCTATGCTGGACAGAAGATAGACGCGGGGATAGAGTCAATGGATCGGGAGAACTTACCGTCCGTCAATGTTGGCGAACTAGCCATCGTAGGTATCTTTCCAATAACACCGACGAGAGTCGCCGCACAGAAGATGTGGAGGAAAAAGATAAACGAGAGGGTCGAGGGTCGAAAGCCAAAAAGCGGAACGAGTGGGACTTCTTTGGGGAAATCCGCCATTAAGAAAACCGCGGAGAGAACGAGCAGGGAGAGACTGTATATCCTATTGTATAGAATGAAAAGCCGTGAGATGTAGAATGAGTGCAAATGAAAGAAGACCCAGTCACTTGATTTCTCAAATCTTCATTCATGATCGAGTTACTTGCTAGTGACTCGTCGATCGGACGATAAGTTAAGGATGCCCGTACACTATGCCACACGTTAGGTACTTCGTACTTAGACTGGAAACTTTCTAGGACTTCTGATTTGTATAGAATCTAGGGGAACTATAATGGTCAGATTTAAATTGCAATAAGCTTATCTAACAATCACCTTGTTCCGATGTTACAGCGAAACTGTGAATCCAGTTTGGATCTACTCCGTATCATTGCTGAGGCATACTTTGCACAACCCACCGCCGGGGAATAAGCGTGGACAGAGAACGACCTGAAGAGATGGTTGACACTCGAGAGTATAAGCCGAGTCTAGCCACCTTGAGCAAGTACACTTTGAACCCTTTCTTTGTTCATCTCCCCTCGTCTCCCCCCTCTGTCCCCCTAGTCGTCCAGCGTCTTATCGCCCGGAGGTGCTCGGCAGTCCGAAACTCCTCCTCTCCAACTCTCCTCTGCACTTGCATACGGCAGCGATGGACGAGAAGGCTTCACTACAGGATCTCCCTTGGGAGAAAGCAGCCCCAGAGAGTTCTCCCGCTTCTCCCAATCCTCCCAAATCCTCCATTCGAAGCTGGATTCTGCTCATCAGCACCCTCGTGGCCGGCGGCTGGTTCCTCTGGCCCCACTACTGTCGCCATACTCGCGTGCTCACCATCGAGGACCGGGTGCAGCACATTCTGTCCACCACCCCTTTGATCGGTATGATTTACCTAGCTTTAAGACTAAAGATTCATATTTGCTCTCGACTCATAATATCGGGCATTACTCTCGCGTCTTCAAAACTAACTACGACTGCTTAGATGGACATGATGATTTCCCCATCCAAATCCGAGCGCTGTTTCACAATCACATCAACACCCCCAACTTCACCGAGGCTTTCGTTTATGGGGACCTTCCGGGTCATGTGGATCTGCCTCGTCTGAAGAAAGGACATGTTGGAGGCACCTTTTGGAGTGTCTTCGTTCCATGCCCTAGGGATTGGGAGGATTTCTCCGATGAGAACTATGCTCCCAGTATGTGAAACGACCTACATCCGCAGCCAAACTCTGAGCCCTTCTTTTCTATTCACATAGAGCATCTCTTGCTGACATAGACCAGGTGTTCGAATGACCGTGGAACAGGTTGATCTCATGTCGCGCATCCAGAAGGCTTTCCCAGAGGTCTTCTCCACGCCCCCCAATGGCACCACGGCCTTGGACGCGTTCCGACAGGGCAAGATCATCTCCCCCTACGGTATTGAAGGCCTGCAGTCGATTGGCAACTCATTGGCACACCTGCGGATGTTCTATGATTTGGGCGTATCCTATGCCACACTGACCCATAATTGTCACAACAAGTATGCCGACGCGGCCATCGTCGAACAACCGGACGGCACTCTGAAGCTCGCCACTCCTCTCTGGCATGGCGTCAGTCCCGCAGGCCAGAAAGTGGTGGCTGAAATGAACCGGCTGGGCATGATCATCGATCTGGCTCATGTCAGCTTCGACACGATGCGGGACGTGCTGGGCGCGGGCAAGACTGAATGGACGGGCAGTCGTGCTCCCGTGATCTTCAGTCATAGCTCTGCCTACGCTTTGTGCCCACACCCCCGGAACGTGCCGGACGATATCCTGGAATTGGTCCGACAGCGCAATTCCATTGTCATGGTCAATTTCGCGCCCGATTTCATCTCCTGTCACGCATCCGGTCGGGACAGCGGCATGCCGAATGTGGACTATGCTCATGCCACCATCGAGCGGGTTGCCGATCATATCATCCATATCGGCACCGTGGCGGGCTTTGACCACGTTGGCTTGGGCAGTGACTTTGACGGCATTCCGACCGTGCCCAAGGGGCTGGAGGACGTGTCCAAGTTCCCAGATCTAATTGCGGAACTTCTACGCCGAGGTCTGACTGATGAACAGGCGGCCAAGGTGGCCGGTGGCAACCTGCTGCGTGTGTGGAAAGAAATCGACCGGGTGGCATTGAAGCTGCAAGCCGAGGGGGCTCTTCCTGAGGAGGATTAATTGGGGGAGGAATGTGAATTTGAGCGAGGATGTAAAGCATGATCTCCAGACTATCTATATACATCGATGGCTATATCGAATTGTTATGGCAAGGTGGCTACTCCCTGCTTGATAGATCATCCCAAACTCCCCTTTTGCAGCTCCGTAAACAAGCCAAAGGCTCTCAGAATATTCGGCCCCTGATGTGCCACCGCAGGCAAAGGCAGTTGATACTTGCCCTTCCCCGTCTGGAACGAATACTTCACATCTTCCTCAATCGCCCAGTCAAATGCCTGATGCTCCGTCGCCTCCAACCGGACGGGGATCTCATCCACAGGTACGGCCTGAGTAGTCCCATCAGCCAGCTGCCTCATGGCCTCATGCACCTCGACAATGAACGAATATTTCGCAATCCGAATTCGATCCCCATTCCGACGAGTATGCATCCACACGTCGACGGCGACCAACTCCAAGATGCGCGAGACGTGCAGACCCGTCTCCTCGGCGACTTCACGCACCACTCCATCCAACAACGTGCCGTCCTCGTCGGGCTCTGCGGCCCCGCCAGGACCCTCCCAGCAACCGGGCATGGAATCGGTCAGAGCTCGCTGGAGCAATAAAATGCGTGGGGGCGGGGACCCCGCGTTGGCGGTGGGAAGAGGAGTCGTTGCTCGTTCGAAAATGTAGCCCCCGACCCCGAACGCGTCGAATTCGGGCCGCGCTGCAATGAAGTCGGTGAAGGGGACATTGAAGTACTCCAGGTGAGGAGCGATGGTATAGCGGGGTATCATCTTGGTTTGACACGGTCTGTATTCAGATCTTTGTGGTTTTTAGATTTTCATTGAGGATGATAAGTTTTGGACGGAGTAAAACAGCGAGGCTCGTGGCTTTCCCCGTATTCTTGTCGAGGATGCGGCTCCTCGGTGCTTCGTGACACCAGTCTCATGACTCATCCGATACGAGATGAAGGCGAAGAATGGACGTCAAATGAGGAGGTCACTCGGTTCTCGTCTTGTGCCTTTCGAAATAGGCTGCCTAAACGCACTTTGGTCCCAGCAATCATTACTTACTGGATCTTCCGATCGGCCATGGTTCATCCGATGGGGGACACATAGTATACAGAGACGTTTGCTATCAGACGGCCAGTCCATGGAATACCCCCCGGAGATAAACATTTCGGACAACGTCCTCCCTTCCGAATCGGAAGTGTCTTCCAGCTACTGACTATGGCATAGCTAACGATTTGCCCGGGTGAATTGCGGGGAGCATTGGGGGGAAGGTTCGGGGATGGAAATTGATTGGCAGAAGAGGGTCTCTTCCCCCACAACATCTCCGACACCCACGGCGGGGTTTGCCCCTTCGGATTCGGGTTGCAACAGCCAGATCATGGTGTATATAAGTAGGCGAGAAAATGGCAGACCGGTTCAAATTGACGGACGGCCATCTCATCACATTACGCTCTTGCAGTAGTATCTAATTCCATCAAGATGCCCGGCACTCTACCACAAGCCGAAGACCATGTGGACGTCCTCATTGTCGGCGCTGGGCCTGCAGGTCTGATGCTGGCAAATTGGCTGAGTCGATGCGATGTCAAGACTCGCATTGTGGATAAGCGAGGTACAAAGGTAAGACCCTCATCCTGTCGTGGTCCATGCGTTGCAGTAATGCAAACCCATACTCACCTAATATATAGATCTTCAACGGCCAAGCGGACGGGCTACAGTGCCGAACCCTAGAAATCTTCGACTCGTTCGATTTTGCAGACCGAGCATGGCGCGAGTCCAACCACATGCTGGAGATTTGTCTCTGGAACCCTGATGAACAGGGTCGGATTCGACGCTCGGATCGAATCCCCGACACCATTCCCGGGATCAGTCGGTTCCAGCAAGTCGTATTGCATCAGGGCCGGATCGAGCGCTTCTTCCTCGACTCGATCAAGGAACACAGCGACATCGTAGTGGAACGAGGAGTGTTACCCACCGCATTTGAATTTGACGACGCCAAGGCGGACGATTTCAACGAGTATCCGATCAATGTCACGGTGCGCACCCTCTCCGATGAAGAGTCGACACCGCAGCAGCAGCAACAACATCATAAATCTGCAAAGGGAGAGGAGATTACCGTCAGTGACGGACTCTACCGGAGTAATCTGGCAGCCGATGATACGGATGATCTCATTCGTGCCGCAGAGACCAATTCCCGAGTCGACCAGGTCGAGTCCATCAAAGCCAAGTTCCTCGTCGGTTGTGACGGGGCCCACTCCTGGGTTCGTCGTCAACTAGGCTTCCAGCTCGAGGGTGACTCTACGGATTACATTTGGGGAGTCCTCGATATTGTGCCCATCACCGACTTCCCAGATATCCGACAGCGCTGCGCGATTCATTCGGCGACTGCAGGCAGTGTGATGGTGATTCCACGAGAGAACAAACTCGTCCGATTGTACATTCAGTTACAAACTACGGAACATGCACAGGCAGGGGGCAAGGCAGATCGATCCTGGATCACGCCGGAGATTATCCTGCAATCAGCCCAGCGAATCCTACACCCGTACAAGCTCGATTACTCCTACTGTGACTGGTGGACCGCTTACCAGATTGGCCAGCGCGTGGGTAACCAGTTCTCGCTGAAGGAGAGAGTCTTTTTGGCAGGTGATGCCGTCCACACTCACTCGCCCAAGGCCGGTCAGGGTATGAACGTGTCTATGCAGGATAGTAAGTTAACCCTCAACCCGATATTACCCGCCCGTGGTTGCTAACGACTCGTTTTCAGCATACAATCTGGGATGGAAGCTCGCTCATGTCGTGAAAGGCTACAGTGACCCATCCATTCTCAAGACGTATCAGTCCGAGAGGAAGAAGATTGCTCAGGATCTGATTGCCTTTGATCACCGCTTTTCCCGATTGTTCTCGGGTCGCCCCGCCAAAGATATCATGGACGAGGAAGGCGTGAGTATGGAGGAGTTCAAATCGGCGTTTGAGAAGGGGAATGAATTTGCCAGTGGTATTGGTGAGTACCGCGTAACGTTTCACGATCAAGAGAACGAAGCTTCTATAGTGCCTCAGACTAACATCTCCTTCAGCGGTCAACTACGGCGCCAGTCTCATCGTTGCCAAAGAAGGCGACCCAGTGACACAAGGCGACGGCACGATTGTCGCCCAAGACAAAACCACCCGCGTGGTCAGCAAGCCCCAGCTAGTAACAAAGATCGACATCGGCAAGCGGATGCCCAGTTTCAAAGTTCTGAACCAATCCGATGCCCGCCCCTGGCATCTCCAAGAACTACTCAAAAGCAACGGAAGATGGCGAATCATCGTATTCCCAGGCCAACTCAGCCTACCCACAAACATGCAACGAATGCAATCCCTCGGCGCCAAACTCGGAGCCAAAGATTCATTCATCCGTCACTACACACCCACCCCTCAACCAATTGACAGCGTGATCGAGGTATTAACCGTGCACGCCGGCCCCAGGGCGGATGTCGAGCTGCTAGATCTCCCCGAGGCATTCCATCCGTACAGTGAGACGCTGGGTTGGGATTATTGGAAGGTCTTTGTGGATGACCAGTCCTATCACGAGGGTCATGGTCAGGCTTATGCCAATTATGGGATTGATCCGGTGAAAGGAGCGAGTGTTATCTTGCGGCCGGATCAGTATGTGAGTTGGGTTGGGGAGGTTGATGATTATGAGGAGATGGAGAAATTCTTTGCGGGTTTCATGAAGGCGCAGAATTTGGAGAAGGAGTGAAGTGGTGGATATGACTACTTTTCTTGTATCCTCTTTGTGCCATGTTGAGGAATTCTGTCGGTTCTTGTTATACTTCAGGCGGGTAATTCCTTTTACCGCAAATTTCAAGTGAAGCCACTTGAAGTTAATCATGAAATAAGCCTTTCTCTATAATTTACACTACAAGAAGATACCATACTTTTAATTACGAGCCACATTTGAAGATAGAGCATCTGTTAAGCTGCTGGTTGGTCTAGATTAGGTGTATAGAGTCGGAAAATAGTCCACTTAGCCATATAGATGCATGCATAGAAATCGCAATGAGTCTCAAACACTATGAAACCCCTGGCTGGCAATTTGGATGGGCAATCTGCATGACTTATCTATGTATGCGTGGATCTATAAGATCCCCATTTTCCGGTTATCCACCAATCCTGTTGCTCCGACACAGGGTAACCGCCTCAGGAATCAGGCTGACTCAGCCCCTCCGTTCGGGCTCTTTCGTCAGGTCCTCGCTCCAAGACGATTCGATTACCGGCAAGCTTGACTTGCAGCGTATCGCAGTTTGCAAGCAGGACGACTAGCTCTCGCTCGGACTCTTCTTACGATAGCCCCCAATTCACATACCTTCTATTCAACTCACTCCGAAAATACCTCAGACGTACATCAAATCTATCAGATCAACGACATGACCCAGCCCGCAGCTGGCAAGGCCACTGCTGGCGTGCTTCAAATTCCAGTGGCAGCCACACAAAAGTCCTCTTCAACGCCTGCAAAGAAGGCTCCTAAGCCTCCTGCTCCACGACTGAAGCTACTGATTCGTCGCTTGCCCCCGGGGCTGACCCAAGCTGAGCTCGAAAGTGCGCTGGGAGCTGAATGGAAACTGGGTGCGGGCAAGGTTGACTGGCTTCAGTACAAGCCCGGCAAGGTTTCAAAAGAGTAAGAAATCTCATGTGGCAGATTCTGCTCACAATAGCAACTTGACTGGCGTTTTGCTTACCCTACTGTATTTCTGTCCAGCCCCGCGAAGCCCTCCCGTCCCTCTCGAGCCTACATTCATGTAGTTTCCAGTGAACACGTTAGCCCACTCTCAGATCAAGTACGCCAGTCCTCATTTCTAGATGCGAGTCACACCTCGAATGACCCAGTGCTTCTGGGCCCTCCTACGCTAGAGTTTGCGCCGTACGCAAAAACCCCCGGCAGTCGCGTGCGCAAAGATGCCCGTCAGGGTACCATTGACCAGGATCCGGAGTTCATTGCGTTCCTTGAGAGCCTGACACAACCAATTACCAAGCCTGCCACCGTGGACGCAATCGAACCCGACGAGAAGAAGGCCGCGGTGGTAACTACCCCGCTGGTGCAGTTTATCAAGGACAAAAAGGCGAGCAAGGCAAAGGAGACTGCGGCTTCCAGATCTTCTAAGCGATCAGAGAAAGAGTCCAAGCAGGAGAAGGTACAGGCGAAGAAGCTTCTACAACGACCAGAAAAGAAACTCGCGCCCGGTCCTTCCTCGGACGAGAAGCCAAAGGGGGAGAGGGGGGGCAAGGAGTCTGGCAAGGCAGCCAAGGCAGCGGCCGGTACATCTACAAAGAGAGACAAAGCGGGTGCCTCGAGTACTACAAAGGAGAACACGTCTACTGCCGCGTCTGAGCGGAAGAGGGAACGAGGGAATGTTGCGGCGGCGGCCAAGATCCTCCAGCGAGATCTGGGACTGTCACAAGCTCCAGCCCGACGACGGGGGAAGGCTGGAGCCAACGACACGGCCTCTACTAAGAACGAGAGCTCTCGAGAGTCATCAGTCCCGGCGTCCGAAGGCAGCAAGAAGGAGGCTCCATCCAAGCCCGCCAAGAGTGCTGCTAGCTCCACGAAAGCCAAGGATCGAGAGGGGGGTGTATCACCGTCTTCCCGAGCCTCTGGCACCGCGACCCCGCCGGCGAACTCGACTACCCCATCAACGAAATCGGCCAAGGGCGCCAAAGCCAAGGCGGCCGCGAACCCGACACCCACCGCAACCCAGGCCTTCCTCAAGCACGCTAATGCATCTCAAGGTGTGACCGAGGCCCTATTGGAGGCAGCCTTCTCACCGTTCGGTACGGTGACCAAGGTGGAGATTGACAAGAAGAAGGGCTTTGGGTACGTGGACTTTGCAGAGCCGGAGGGACTGCAGAAAGCCATGGCCGCCAGCCCCGTCTCCGTAGCGCAGAGTCAGGTCGTGGTCCTTGAGCGCAAGGCCAACCCTGGCGGTGAAAAGCCACGCAAGGGAGGAGGCAGCGGTGGTGGTCGGGGAGACACGACTCAGCAGGGCAAGGGCGAGAAGGCGAAGGCGAGTGCAAGCGCCAACGACGGGAACAGCGGGAATGGCGGAGGCGGCGCCGGAGGAGGAGGATCATCTCGGGGCTCACGAGGAGGACGTGGATCTCGAAACAAGGGTGCTAAAGGAGGTGATGGATCGAAGGGAGGGTCGAGCAGTGGCACGGGTGCTGGTGCTGGTGCTGGTGCTGGTGCATCGGCAGAGAAGAGCGGAGGTCCGGAGGCGAAGTGATGAGATGGGACATAGACACTGGATACCGGGCATTTTGTAGCAGCTTCGGGCTTAACGAGAGCATGATACCCTCCCATACAGTAGCTTTCGAAATCAGTTCGACCTCACACTCTTCGGACTTGATTCCCGGAAAATAAATCCTTGATATGCAAGACCTGATTGGTTGCTTTTTTGGGAACATTGATTAAGACCGCTTTCTATAATCCATATATTTTACAATACCCTCTCAGTACCGTAGGCTTTGTATTTTACGCGAAATCGGCAGACACGCAGTATCTCCTCTCCCATCTTTTCCTACACAACCTCTTCCTACTTACGATATTAATCCAGACGAGATGGCTCTAAGACTCTCGCCCTTAAAGCCTGTTCTTATTCGTGATATAATAGATGACGAGTCTTTTACCCTATCTAAGACAGCTGAACAGGCTAAATGCTGTAAGTAGACAATCATTAGTATCCGCAATAACTTACGATAATTTAGAAGTATATACGTACTATCTATAAACCCGAGGAGGACGAAAACGAACTGTGACACCCTTAATGATCGAAGCCCTCTATAATCACCTATTTAAGAAACCTAGCCTCTACCTCGAGGAGATAATCATATTTATATAGGATAAGTTTAGGCTATAGTTATAACCTCCAGCATCAGAAGAGCCCTTATCGCAGAAGGTTAATCTAAAAAGACTATATAAAGGCGTGCTAGAGAATAAAATACCGATTTACGAGACTATTTTCTTTATAATCTCTCGGATTTTAAGTCGTACTACCTAGTCTATATTAATAAATCTAAATATGATAGGCGTATTAAGTTTAGATAGATAGACTAGGCACTGCGTAGCATGTCTCCTCTATAAGTAACGTAATTTCATCGTCGTATTTATAGGATAGGATCATTCTATCGCGCGTCTTCCGTGGTTCTACGGATGTAACGGTGTTCGAAGGCTTTATAGCGTAGCTGCCCTAGCATAACGGATAATGGCCAGAACCTAAATCCGTTCTAGTTATAGATAACGTATCTTTTTACCGGTCTAAAGGACTTAAATATGTGCAGACGTCGGGGTGAAGCTGGTCTATTTACTACCGTATTCACTGGACCTAAACCAAATTGAAGAATTTTGCTGAGCTAAAGGCGTTCATTAAGCGTAACTAGGACTACTACGAGAAAGATCGGAGCGAGGATTTAGTACTTATAAATGGTATTTTCATGTGGTCGGTGCGAAAGAAGAGAGTGCCAGAGGCCATTTTCGTTCTGTTGTTCAATATCGTGAATAACTAAAGGCAAATCCAAATCCCTATCTTTCACGAGATCCTTGATGTCGGCTTTGTGAGATTCGATGACCTAGCTAAGACTAATTGAAGGTAATTGATAGATATCCAGGCTTCTGCTTTATCGGAAACCAGCTCCCATAGACCTTTAGAGTCTACATGCTTATTCAAGAGGAAGCCAAGTGCCAGGATGGTAGCTGTTGGCATATGTGGTTATGCATCTGAATTGCATATGCGAATGTTTTAACAATTGCAATGGCTGAGAGAAATATGAGTTCCTTAAGAATGTCACGAGGAACACCCTGATATGTCACGATCCACTGCGTCCTCTTCAACCATGAGTGAGTTCCCTGATAAGTAGCACTTGAAGCAAGCGTTCCTGTTGGTCTTATCCTATCAACGCATATTAGTCAAAACGGGAGTCTTTACTTTGCAAATGGCGGAGGTAGCTCTCAGATAATGCAATTAATCAGACAGGCGGTGTGGGTCGGCATGCCATAGAGCTGAGAAAGAAATGGGAATAGGTAGCAATGCATATGCTGTTTCTTACATGGAGCGAAAGATGTCCTTAAGAAAAGCAGACCCTTCAAGGATTTTTGGAGACTTATCTTACTGTACCGTCTTGCTCTCTGATCTGCTATCATAAAATTCTGGGTTATCAAGGCCATGGTGAAAACAAAAAAAAAAAAAAAAAAAAAAAAAAAAAGTTTATTCTCAAACCAGGATGTCGAGTCTGAATCCCAGGACAACGAGGAACAAAAATTCATTGTTAGCCTTGTTACCAGGTAAGAGATCAAAAAGTTCTACCTGAGTGCATCTAGTTATGATACCTCCTTACTAACGACTTGAAGCGGTTGACCGAAAAGTCGGTTGATTGACAAGCGTCCAGTATTTCCACACAGAACACCAAGAGTAGGATTTCTCAAGAATATGTTTTCCAATCGTTTATCAGCCGCATGTGCAAAAATGGCAACATCATAGAGCGCTGGCTCCCACTGTGACCTGGCTGTGGCTCTTGCTGCTGGTTGTAGATAGCTAGGTCCCGCATGCTAGTGCCTTGGCCGCTGATCCAAATTGGTACCATCTTGGTGTCGGTGACAAAAAACTTCGAGCCCGCTGTAGTAACATGATTTGTCTCTGGAGGAATGACAAGTGGTGTGCCCGCGCCGGCACCAGCGAGAATCACAGGAGTAGTAATATGGATCCCTCTATCCGAACGTGGGCCTGGAACAAGAAGATAAGTACCAGGAGAAAACCACACCATTCCGCCAGCGCTACCATGCTCCTGCACTACTTTGTCTATTGCTTTCTGAATACTTGGCGAATAATTGATTGTCCCAGAATATCACCTTAAAATCTGTATAAGATGTGCATGCCAAGTCAGATCACAAGACCTGGTGTGTTTGTACTGTTTTTGAATCCGCTGGATATCCACAGATATCTAACTTTTTGGAGCCTAAATCCGCATCCAATCCGCCCAGATTGGATGTCAGAATCGTATCCATAACCGCAATCTGCGAAGCGGATGCCGCGCAGATTTGGAGTTTCGCCGATACTGCCGCAGCCTAATGATAAGTCATATCATCATATGCATCTAGTCATATCATCATGTTGATGTATTACATTAATTCTGCGCATCGCCTATTGGTTCATCATAAAGTATTGATGGCGCGTATTGCCTATTCGTTAATCATATGTAAATAAGGTTTAGTGAATATTGTATCCTTATTATCAAGCGTAGTATTGTTGCCACAATAGTGATTATGATCAACTATGATATAATTGGCTTATAGGTATATGCTACCATAATATAAACGTAGTATAGATAAATAGTATGATCCTATATGCATTTTGATACTATCCTAGAATTTCATCTGATATTTAGGTAGAACTAGGCATTGACTAAGAAGATTGAAAGTCCGATCGAATATCTCCACTAATGCGGAGGAGGATGGGGGGGGGCTTTGGCTCAAACCCCCCCACCCGGCCAAGACTTTTTTAAACTCTGTCCTCACCCCCGCTCCAAAATCACGACCAGAATATCTTTAGGCTCTTGTTTATCAAAAAAGTATTCAGTCAACTTCGTACAAGTCATGCACTCACAATTTAGATGAACCAGCCCGAGAAGCCAAAGAAGAGGATGGGTTTCAAAAGACTCTCCGAGGTGTTGCTGGTCGTACAGGACCCTGAAGGATCTTATCTAAAGCTCTGTTCTGCTCTGGCCAGGCCAGCGAGATCTCCCCGACGGAGATCTTCGGCACCACACCACGCCACAGAGCAAACGAAGGCAATAGTTGCCGACGAAGGGCAGGCTCCGAGACGAGGACTATTAACGAATCATCTCCGAAGAAGTCTCCGCGGGCTGGGCGTCCAGTTTTCCGCTCTTGGCGAGGTCTTGGCTGATTGTTACAGGGTCAGATAAGCTGTAGGATACGAAGATGGGATGCGACCCGGTTGTGGTGCGGGTGACTGGGTGCATGGCGGATGTCAAATGCGGGGTCATAAAGAGTGGACAGTTCCCATATCCATCAATCCATACTGGTTCTGCAGTCTCAAGCAGTCATACCGAGCTATCATCACCATGTTTCTCCAACTCCCTCTTGCTCTCCTTTCCGGGGCCCTCGTAGGCTCTGTCTCTGCGGAGACAATTCTTGGCGTAACTGTGTACTCTCGCCATGGAGATCGTAAGTACCCTCTAACTCCTTTCGCCGCGTTACACGCTGACGATACTAGGCACCTCGAAACACTACAAGGGGTACATGCTCACAAACCTCGGCCTACAGCAGAACTTCCAAGTTGGCTCAGACTACCGAGACCTGTACGTTTCGTCAGACTCGGCAAAGCAGATTCTCGGAATCTCCGAGGAGAAATACGTCCCTGCTCAGGTCTTTGCATCTGCACCCGACGAAGCTGTGCTTCTCAACACGGCCACCGCATTCCTCCAGGGTCTCTATCCACCTCTCGAGAGTCTAGATGAGCAGACTGCCTCACAGACCCTGAACAATGGAAGCACGTACATCAACCCCCTGAACGGATATCAGTATGTTGTCCTTCACGGCGAGGAGGAAGAAAGCCCCGATACGATCTGGATCAAGGGCGACGACGAGTGTCCTGCTATTTCTGTTCTCGCCGAGAACTTCGCCGAAAGCGCCGTGTACCAGGACCGGGTTGAGTCGACGCGTTCGTTCTACCAGCAGTTCTGGCCGATCCTCCAGGACGTGTTCGACTATACCACCGAGGCAAACATGTCGTACAAGAACGCATTTGACATCTTCGATCTGATCAACACCGGCACAATCCACAATGCCTCGCTCGAAGATGCTGTTACCGAGGAAGAGATGTTCCAGCTCCGCACGCTGGCCGACAGCCACGAGTTTGACTCGAACTTTAACGCCTCTCAGCCTGAGATGGCCATTGGTGCACGGACCCTGTCGCAGGCAATTCTTTCGCACCTCAACGAGACGATAACCTCGCAGGGAAAGACCAAGTTCTCGTTCCTAGCTGGTAGCTACGACACCATGATGGCGTTTGCAGGTCTGCTGGACTTAACGGCGGCCTCGGCAGATTTCTTCGGTCTCCCGGTATATGCATCGACCATGGCGTTTGAGCTTCTCACCGAGGGCAATGTGACCGAGTTTCCTAGTGAGACCGACGACCTCAAAGTCCGCTTTCTGTTCAGGAATGGCTCGGATGGCGGTGCACCGCTTACGGCGTTCCCACTGTTCGGTGGGGAGCAGGTGACGCTCTCCTGGTCCGAGTTTGCCACGAAAATGCAGGATAGGGCGATCGCAACTGTTGCGGAATGGTGTGAAATCTGCGGGAGTGAGCAGGGCTTCTGCACTGCGGAAACAGCGAGCGAGGCTGACGCTTCTGCTAAAGGAAAGAGTGGAGGAGGAATGTCGAATGCCGTTGCCGGGGTGATTGGGGCATTCGTGACACTCGGCGTCGTTGGTATTGTAGCAGGATTGGCTTTTGTCATGCTCAAAAAGAGACGCACTGCTGCTCCAGTGCGGGAAATTGGGACTGCGGAGAAGGGCACTGGTAGCATCAGCAGCTGATTGCTTACGGTTCTGCAAGTTTGAAGGAATCCGACTGTAGTAAAAATCGAGTTAAGCCAATACATATTGTTCACAGCTCTCATTGATCGAGTCGTTCAGCTCACAGGCGGCATTAACTCCCCCGCTACTAGCTGCTTTTGGGATATGCAACTTGAACTTGAGAAAATATCAGCTTCACGCGGCACAGAAAGACGCGATGGAAGTTGTACCCACAAATGGCTCGTCGCCGTTAACAAGCACTACCAGAAATGGGTCACGATGATCGAAAAACAATCTCGATGCCGTCGCACAATAACAAGACAAAATGCAACTCGATGCTCCACAAAAGAGCCGGAGCAGCGGCCGATCTGGCGTGAAGCGCTCTTCCAGTCAGAATGGAGCTTCTTTAACTCCTAACAAGCGAACGTGCTCGGCATCTCCTACCAAGTCCTCCAATAGCCCACTACCAAACCGAGTCCCTCGACGGATCGTTCTGCGAGGCTTTGGCAGGCCAAGTTACAAGGCAAGCACTCGCTCGACCTTGCTTGCCGCATTAGAGGGATGTATTGCTGGATATTAGTCTTTGGAAAAGGAAGAGATTCTTCACCGAGACATTTCGGTCAATAATCTAATGATTAACGAGGACGAAGAGAACCCTTCGTGGCCGTCATTCTTAATTGATCTTGACCTAGCCATCAAAGAGCAGGGGGTGGGTGTCCATGAATACTTCCCGATTATTGACTGGCACTCGCCACTCTATACGATAGTGGATACAGACCGGGGGATCCTCATCGTAGGCCTTTCCCTCTTCCCACTCGTGCAACGGAGAATCGGAGAGGATGTAGGCCACGGTTACTCTTGGGGTCGACATCTTAAGTACACTGGACGGACATGGGCTAAGGGCAGACCGTAAGGCGTAGGGGCTGACATTAGCTAGGCGTTGGCACGTAATCCGAATTGTGTTCCCACGTTTCATGTTCGATAGATTGAGATTCATGATCAACATGATATAGGCTCATTCCAGAGGTATCATGATCCTTAGAACGTCTATATTAGCTTGCGGAATGAGCTATATTAGATTCGAGAGTTGCAACAAATGCACGAATGAGACGCCCTATAAGTGACAAGATCCATGGAGAAAAAGTAATTCCCTACTAGGATTAGCTCTCTACAGCGTAAGCACAGCCTTCTATGTGATGACTGGCGGGCGTATAGCGATACACGAAAGGCTGTACTGCATATGCGAAGAATGAAGGGAAAGTGGCAACCAGGTGGGAAGGTAGAAAGCGAGCGGGCGATCTTACTAGATCGCCAGATCTCCCAAGTAGTTCAAGGGAATTCGATGTATCAATACAATATGATTACAATACGTCCCTGGAAGAGTTATGAAATTACCGGCATAGTTCTGCTCCATTTATAGAGCGGTGAACCTCACGGATTTATTTTCCGGGAATCAGTTCGAAAGAGTGTTGTGGTATAACTGATTTCGAAAACTATTGTAGTGCAACGCAATGATACGCCATGACGAATGATCGAGCCAAATGTACTCTTACTCTGTAGGAAAATGCAGCGGTTTCAAAGCTTAAAACCCATGGTAAGTAGTTTGCCCGGCTTTACGGAGAGGGTGTAGAAAAATAATAACTGATTGAAAATTTGAAATATTCATTGACACTATGAAGCCAATCCAGACCAACTCAATTCACAACACCCCGATTCCCTTTCATCAATTCCCAACATCAAAGGAAAGAAGAGAAAATCAAGGCACCTTTCAGACCTCCTCGACACCCACCAGGACCAGCCGACCGAAGTCAGACGCCGAGACCAGGTCAAGATCATCACCACTCCCTAGACCAACATGCAGACGCCCGAGAGCACGCGTGTCAGTCGAGGCGGGAGTCCAAATGGCTTCACTTTAGGGCATCGAGGACATAGCAGTCATCAGCAAGGGTGAAGATTCTGTGGCTCGTTTAAAGAGCTTAGAAGTGGGACGTCTACTCTAAAGTGATTCTTTGAACTGTTGGAGAGAAGAGAGGTTAGTAAACGCTTCGGACTTGCAATGGAAGTCCACAGTGGAAGTGTTTTGCACTGTAGGGGGTGGGAGGCACATACGTAGAGTCGCTTGAAAAACAGAAATTGGATCGAGGGAAGGGCTGGCTTTATAGGCCTCGCGAGTGGGTCCGCTGGCCGCTAGCGACTAAGCGATTTTCTCGCCTGTGTTTGTACGGTTTGCTTGGATGGTGAGGGCGGTGTATCCTGATATCCAATCAGATCCGTACAGTTCCTGACGGGTGGGTCTCCTCACGAGACTTGCGGCAGAAAAATTTTTCTCCCTTCACTTACCCTTGTGTGATTGGCTGGGGGTCTTCCATGGAGAGTACAGTATGGAGCCTTGTCGACAAATTTTTATTATTTTCGCGGTCAGGAATCTACTTTCGATTATTTACACCGCTAGCATCTTTTGGAGTAATCAAAGTATCGGAACTTGCCCGGTACCGTGGACCCTCGGGGGTCGGCTTGCCGATACAGCTTTCGCGTACCGAGCAATGCTCCACTGCCTTGTCATTCACTAGCCTCGACTCTGATGTCTCATTCATGGGCACCGATTCGGATATATCTGCCCAAGATCGAAAGCATCATCTACGTATACGGTCAATCAATGGGAGAGGTAACGAGGAAATACCTAGGTACCTCATCAATGAAAGGTGAGACTAAGACATTGGACCTGGGAACATATCTGGTCAGAGAGACATGGACGAGTCGAGATATATATTTTCGACCATACAACAAATAGAAACAGGAAAATGTTTACAAATCGCAACCAAATATCCTAAATTTTGGTTGATATCCTATTAACCAACATCCGTAGACTTGAAATTATCTGAAATATCTATTCTTGCAAGTAATTTCAGTTTTGAGGCGGTTGAGATGGACATCCTTAAAAACAAAGTCACGTGCCTCCGCCATTGATCAATATGCCATGGCATTCGGACATCCGCCCCAGGAAGGGACGAGATACAAAGATAACAATCTCAAAGAAGAACGATAGATACGCCACTACAAAGACAGTCTCCAGTGATATCGATCTTGAATCTGATTGGAACATTTTGCGCCCGCCAACTTGCTGACACGGTATCATCCGAGGGTGTCGGGCCGAGCACCGCCCGATTCCCCCACCAGAGCTTGTTCGCGCCAATTTGCGGGGACTTGAACTGTCGTTGGACCCCGGATTTTTGTCCACACGTCTCCCATACCATCATGGGACGCCCAAAGGTCCTTCCAGCGAACCGCTTACGGGCCAACACCGCCTGCACGGCATGTCGGGCGTCTAAGAAACGATGCAGCGGCTCTTTCCCTTGCACCAATTGCATTAACAAGGGTCGTGGCCACACGTGTATCCCGTTTAAGTCTATATCAGCCGCGGACACTCGTAGCCGCCGTGAATCGACCCTCTCCCGACAGCCGCTAGAAAGTATTCCAACTGCATGGACCGAGATCAACGCCAATTTACAAAGTCCTCGATCCTTGCAGATTCAAGATGCCAGTCCCTCTGACCGACTCATTGGACGTCCGCTCGAAGCGGGTTCGCGATCGCCAGAGGCAACGCATCGCACCCATCCTCGCATGTTGCGGAACCTTCAAGGAGAGAGAGGTATGTATATGCCGCAAAGCAATTTGAACTAAATCAATCATAGCAAATCTAACCGGGTCTCTCAGTTTATGTTGGCAAGGCGGCCTCGCTGTCCTTTCTTCAACTGCTTCGTGAAACGGTGACTCAGCATATCGGGCCTTCGCAGTTCTCACACAACTACAAGAGTGAAGATATGCTAGAGACGGAGGCTCACCATGATCCACTAAATTTCTCGGAAGAACACTGTAGCATCGATGACAAGCGCCGCTTCATAAAAACATGCTTCATCGCGGTAAGACCGTGATCCGACCCGACCGGCCGTGGAAGCGGCTAAGGCACTACTGACACTTCACTATAGACCAGCGGATTCATTTACCTGGGAAGCGACATAGATGCGCTACTCTCCGATCAAAGAGAGCCGATGACTAGCCGTGAAGAGATTCATGCAGCCATCCGCGATCTGATGATCGCGATCGGAGCACAGTCATGTCCCGATGAACCTGAGAATGTTCGGGTGGAGCAATTCTTCGTTGAGCGTGGCCAACGCAGGGCGTTTGCCAGCATGCTCGAAGATCCCAGCTTAGATCTAGTGCGGGTGTTCTTACTGCTGTCGTTTTACATGTTCGGAGCATGTCGTCGAAATGCAGCTTTCATGTACCTGGGTGTGGCATCTCGGTCAGCGGTTGCACTAGGTCTTCATGTAGATTCGTCGGGATCTTTAAGTCCGATTGAACAGAAAGAAAGGTGAGTGGACTTTTGAAGATAGGTGATCTCTTTCACTAACATCGAACAGATGCAGAGTTTGGACGAGTCTTTGTGTAATCGATCTCCTGGCGAGCTCGATTCTCGGTCGACCGCCTGCTACCGCCGGGCTACTACCCGGAAGCCGCAGAGACCTCAGCTTGATAGAATCAACCCCCGTTGAAGTGGGATTGGTGGCTTCATACCAGCTATCATTGATTATCGATGAAATTACCAGCCGTCTATACAGTGAAAAGGCTGCTTCCGCCGAAACAGCAGACTTGCTCCTGACGAAGCTCAATCGCTGGAGCGATCAATTACCGGAATGTTTACGAACCCCATCTGAAAATGAGGATTCCGATGCTGCGCAGGAACGCATCATCGGGAATATGCACGTGGCATGCTCTTATCATTTTGCCGTGATTCTCGTCTCTCGACCTTTCCTTATCTCAACATTGAGCGTCCGACTGGCCCGGTTGCACCAGGCCTTTTCTACGGATGGAGCGAGCGAGACATTGGAGGAAGACCCGGCCCATTCACGACTCGCGGCGGCATGTATTGACTCGGCGGTCTACATGCTCCAGACATGTAAAGAAATCCATCAATCTGAACTGCTTCTTCGACAGATGTCTCTTCTCAAGTATGATTCCACTTAGCAGAATCTCATCTTACATCCAAAGTCGCCCAAAAACTGACACATCATTCTCCAGGGCGTTTGTATTTGCTGCAGCTCTAGTCCTCGGCTTCTCAATGTTCTCCCACCGTGATGTCGATACCGAAATCGACAGTGCATTTACTGGCGCCCTATCTATTCTGCAAATGCTTGCGCAGCAATCTGCACAAGCAGCCCACTATCTAGAAATCCTTACGTTACTCCAAGCAGCCGTCACACAGCAACGACAACGACTCTCAGCCCAAGCACGTCAACGACGAAGCCAGTATGTCAGTCGAATCTTCAGCCTGAGCGATACTCCGTCGACACCCCGGATGCAGGGCGCGGACAGCAGCCGAAGAGGTAGTACGACTCCACTCCTCGTCCAGGGAGGTCCATTTTATCCATGGATTCCAAATGACGAAGGAGCCGCTATTGCGACGCCGCCGATAATGGATGGGGCGTTTCTGGACTGGGAAGGGATGGAATTGCCGCTGTGGGATAGTTTTCCATTTACCGAGCCGGGATCATCGGTGCTATGAGTGTGAATGGACCAGGTGATGCTGTGAAGACAGAATCAACGCAAAATAACGAAAAATTGGGTAGACTGGCATCTACCGTAATACCAACGACTACGCCTTTTGTTTACCTCTAGTTTCAGGGAATGCTGAAATAAAAACCACCAGGTTCTTATAGTAGGGATACGAATTAACAGCATCCCCCCCTCCCCCTACCTCGTCTAAAAAACATCCCTCCGGGAGAACGGCAGTCCATCAGACGACAAATACCGAATCCACATGTAAACCATATTCAATGCAGCATTATACATATCTTCCGAGGTATAGAGCTCACCAGTCACCTTGATCGAATAGCAAAGACGACGCTCATGCATTACAGACCGACTTGTTATATCAACCCTTTCTCGCCTGATTTCATCCTGCATTAGTCGGACAAGGTCAATGTCGGACCGGTAGGCATCGCGAGGGTCAAAGTAGATGTTGACATACCGAGTTTGCATGCCCGGGGGTTGGCGATAGGTTGATGGCATGTTGATGAGTTAAGCTGGTATAGATGGATAAGTATGCTGGAGATATTGTAAGTTTGGTAAGAAAGATAAGGAATGGAGAAAAGGGCCGGTGACTGCGGTGATGGACGGGAGCATTAGAGGAGGGGCTTGAGGGATTGATATAATGATCTGTAGATGTGATACATTTATAGATAATTTATAGCTTTTTCTAGGTGCCAAAGGGCAGTAATCGCTGATCGAGGGTCTTTGTTCGATGCTTTGTTCGAGTTAGGAATTACAATGGCCTTTGCGGTTTCTTTGATCTACACAAAGCCATGGTACTTTGATTCTTCCACCGTGGTGCCGAGTTTGAAGTACGCGTAAAGGCTTCACCCCTGAGACAACCCATTTGAATCTTATCAAGGTTCTTATAATATACCAATATTGAAGAATTGCAATGTTCTCGGCCTTGAAGAAACAAGGACCAGGTATGCCCGTCACAGACATCTTGGACATTATCAGACTCCTGTCTCCACGACTCCTGTCTCCACGACTCCTGTCTCCATAGAGAACATACTTTTCGCTCATTCGTCTAACTTCACAACTGTTATCATCCGATCGTCTCTTATCTTCCATCCCGTCAATGTCCGATGAACATCGTTCTCCTCCCTCCCCTCCTCATCCCCTCGCGATCCGACGATAAGCGGTGCGCGGTCCGCAACCCCGCGATCCGCCCAGTGCAGCATCCGACCGATACTCATGACCAGATCAAACAAGATAAATGAAGTCAGAGAACCACCAGCTAATCGAACAATTTATTACACTGCAAGTACTTCAACCAAGCTCATTTAATAAATCTCCCACAAACCTCACCATCACAAATATCCCCCACTTCATACCAACCCTAGGAATGACCATCATGTCCGGCTGGAAACGTCTAAATGTAGGCGTCATTGGCGGCGGGATCGGTGGCATGTCCGTTGCCATCGCCCTCCGTCGCGCAGGCCACGACGTGACCATCTACGAGAAATCCGATTTCGCCGGTGAAGTGGGGGCATCCGTTTCCTGTGCTGCAAACGGTACCCGATGGCTGCATGAGTGGGGGGTTGATATTGCCAAGGGCGATCCGGTCGTTTTGAAAAAGCTGATTAATCGGGATTGGAAGACTGGGGAGCCCGTGAGTGTATATGATTTGGACGATTATGAGAAGCGATGGGGGTACGTGTACAACATGTTCCATCGGCAGTATATGCATTCCATGTTGAAGGATTCTGCTTTGGGAGAGGAAGGTGAAGGGTCGCCTGCGAAACTGGTCGTGAATCACCGGGTATGTTTTTATGCCTTGAATGATTCAATACGATTGACTAGGAAGCTATGCACGTACTAATTTGATTGTGTATAGTGCCGCGGTATTGATATGAAGACCAGCACGGTCTTCTTCGAAAATGGAGTCACTGCACACCACGATCTAATCGTTGGCGCTGATGGCATCGGCTCTGCCGTTCGAGGCATCCTTGGTATCAAGCCCGAGAAGCGTCCCTCCGAGTCTAGCTGCCTGCATGCCAACGTGGACACCGAGGAGGCCGTTCGACTAGGCCTGGTCGACTACTCCCAAGACAGCGCCCTGGAATACTGGGGCGGCCAAGAAGGCAAATGGGACAAGATCGTGCTCTCCCCTTGCAACGGCGGCAAACTTCTCTCCTATTACTGCTTCTTCCCCCGCGAACAAGGCGACTACTCGACCCAAGCCTGGGGCGCGGAGAGTCGACCGGTCGAGGAGCTCCTCAAGCCTTACCCGGAACTAGACCGTCAAGTCTTCAAGCATCTGTCCATCGGCAAGGAGATTCAGCCGTGGCGGTTGTGGGTGCACGATCCTTATCCGTACATTCAACGGGCGAATGTCTGTCTTTTGGGTGATGCGGGACACCCGATGATGCCTCATCAAAGTCAGGGTGCGTGCATGGCTATCGAGGATGCTGCCGCGCTGGGAATCCTTTTCAACAAGAAGTATTTCAACGGTGACGTCGCGCAGTCTCTAGCTGCTTATGAGAAGGTGCGCTTGCCTCGTGCTACGCGAGTGCAGGCTGCGGCTGCCAAGGCGGCGTATAACATTAATGAGAGAATCGGTGAGTATCGAGTATCAAGTGAAAACGGGATGAGACTAACGCGGGGCTTTATCGCAGGATTCTCCGTGAACAAGGATATTCCCACATACAAGGTCGAGGACCCGAAGAAAGTTCTAACGATCGAAGAGATGAACTCGTAAGTCCCCCACCTACCTTACCCTGGAGTGATTTGAGAACCTTGGCTAATGCAAGGTAGATATGACATGTACCGCGATATCGAGGAGAAACTCGCGACCATCCGCGGGGTCAACTACACGGACAAGTTTGTCTGCGGTCTGCCCGTGGGATTGGAACTCCCCAATGGGCTGGTAGTCGGAGCAGCAGCATGATCCGAATCAAGATTGACTAGCCTTTCTTGTATTTGCTTTTAGCCCGATTTAAAATTGTACATACATTTTGCATGAAAGATTAAGAAATGAAACTAAATTCACACTGTCGTTCTATTTTCACTTGACTATTCTATTCACCCACGTCCAATTAAGCTTGAAGCATTGCCGGGCTCCTCCGATCGGAGATTTGCCCAATAATATGAATTATGATTATCCGACCGAGATTTATCAATAGTCGCTATGCCGATCGGATATCCGGAACCTTGTTGATTGTTCCAGTGTAAATCTTTTTGCCTGTCTCTGGCTTGATGGATCCTGGTTGACTCGCGTGTATCCATCTTCACTCGGTATATCTTCACCCGAGCGGATCTAATTCACCCGGACCCGCGATGTCTCAACTTTCACGTATGAAAACGCCCCGCCTACGCGTTTCTTGCCCGAAGAATTCGAGAACCAGGGTTGACAACCTCGTGTTGTGTTATACCGAAGGCTACTCAGTTATCTATGTAATCTCTTTCTCCAAGGGACTATGAGGAGGGACAAAAGGCGTGACGCGTTGGCGCCAGCCCCGCCAATTAGCCCCACCACCAAACCACCGTCAGAACTAAAAGTTGCATCTGCACCAAATACCAAAATGACGATGACAATGACAATACAGTATCGAGTATCAAGACCTCTTAGGGTGGGTTGCAATTTTGTTTATATACATTCAGAGAGAGATAAGAGGAAAAAAAAGAGAGAAAGAAAAAAAAGGAAAATAGTATTCATATCCTCATCACTTCATTCACTCTCAAGGGGTTGATGTCCCTTTAAGCGAACAGAGCGTCACCCAGGCGGTAGTGAACGGTCTTGACCTGAGTGTAGTTCTCAAGAGCGTAAGAGCCGAGCTCACGGCCGAGACCGGACTCCTTGAAGCCACCGAAGGGAGCCTGGTAGGAGATCATGTTGTAGTTGTTGACCCAGACGGTACCAGCCTTGAGGGCGTTGGAGACACGGATGGCGGTGTTGACATTCTTGGTGTGGACGGCAGCAGCGAGACCTAAAAAAAAAGGAAAAGTTAGTTGTATACCAGATATAATTGTGTCGATGGGAACATACCGTAGCTGGTGCCGTTACCAATCTTAATAGCCTCAGCCTCATCCTTGAACTTGGTGACGGCAATCACGGGACCGAAGATCTCCTCCTGGGCAATCTTCATGTCGGGCTTCACGTCGGTGAAGACGGTGGGCTTGATGAAGTAGCCCTCAGTGCCGTGGCGCTCACCACCGAGAGCAACGGTAGCACCCTCGTTCTTGCCGTGCTCAATGTACTCCATGATACGGTCGAACTGGAGCTGAGAGACCTGGGGACCCTGGAAGGTATCCTGGGAGAAGGGGTTACCGAGCTGGTTCTTGGCGGCACGCTCCTTGAAGCGCGCAATGAACTTGTCGTAGATACCCTCCTGGACCAGCAGGCGAGAACCGGCACAGCAGCACTGGCCGTGGTTGAAGAAGATACCAAAGTTGGACCACGAGATGGCGTTGTCAATGTCGGCATCGTCGAAGACAATGTTGGGGGACTTGCCACCGAGCTCGAGGGTGACCTTCTTCAGGTTGGACTTGGCAGCAGCCTGGAGGATCGTGCGGCCAACAAGGGTAGAACCGGTGAAGGCGACCTTGTCAATGTCCATGTGGGAGGAGATGGCAGCACCGGCGGTGCGACCGAAACCGGAGATGACGTTGATGACACCGGGAGGGAAGCCAGCCTCGACGATGAGCTTGGAGGCGTACAGACCGGAGAGAGGAGTCTGCTCGGCGGTCTTGATGATGACGGTGTTACCGGCAGCGATGGCAGGGCCAATCTTCCAGGCCCACATAAGGATGGGGAAGTTCCAGGGGATGATCTGACCGCAGACACCGACGGGCTCGTGGCGGGTGTAGGTGAGGGTCTCGTTGTTGGTGTCGATCGTCTGACCGGTGATCTTGTCGGCCCAGCCACCGTAGTAGCGCAGGCAGCCAGCGGCAGAGGAAACGTCACCCTTGGCCATGGTGATGGCCTTGCCGTTGTCGAGAGCCTCGATGGAGGCGAGGATCTCGATATCACGCTCGAACAGGTCGGCCAGCTTGGTAAGCATACGGCCACGGTCCGAAGGGGTCACGTTGTGCCAGGCGCCCTCGAAGGCGGTGCGAGCAGCCTTGACGGCGATATCGACATCCTGCTCGGTGGCCTCGTAGACGGCGGTGATGACCTTTTCGTCGGAGGGGTTGATGGTCTCGAAGGTCTTGCCCTCGACACCCTTGATGAACTCGTTGTTGATGAACCTGCGGAGTGGGGTAAAAAAACGATGTTAGTTTGGGGGAACAGCTTCGGAATGGCCAGAGGAGATTGGATAGATGAGAGAGAGTGAGAGAGAGGGAGATTCAACATCAAGAGGCCACGTAGAAAGGAGTAGTAACGTACAGGCCGAGAGGCTGCTCGTAGGTGACGTTGGGGGTCTTGATGGTAGTGGAAAGGGCCATGGTGGCGATAATTGCTAGCTGAGCCGGTAAGAAAACAAAAAAAGGGTATCACAAAAGAAGACGATGTAGCAGGAGAAAAGGGAAAGGTACCAGGGATGAGGGGGCGAGGGGTTTAAATACTTGGGGAGCTTCTCTGAAAAACTGCGGTTTGTTGGTACGAGATGTGATGCCGTGCAGGTCCTTTCAATTGCGGGGTTTCTGAATTGCTCAAGGCCGAGTGGGGGGGGGGGGGGGAAAGGGTTTGGTACGGTACAATGCGTAATCATGTATTTACCCCACTTTGATGGTTTTTCGTATCTTGCCTCCAGCTGGGAGCCAGTGAAGTACCCGTCCGAAGGTGTAATTACCTTGTATATGTGCGGGTCCGCATTGTGGTGGAAGTGGCGGACCCGCGTAACGTGCAGGTTTGGGCTTATTAGCTTGCTTTCTAGGTCTCACTGGCGAACTAACTTGCTGCTTGCTGCTCCTTCTTGGCGAGACCCGACTTCGGCCCCTGTTTCGCTTTGAGTTGGACCGAGGGATGACAACCTTCTAATTATGCATCCGCTTTTAACGGAGTTACCAAATCAGTAGTAAACCCCTACCACAATGCTGCAAACTATACCGAGTACATCACCAGCAGTCTGCTTATGCTGCACGATTTGATCGATTATCAAGCAGAACAATCTAGGTTGTACCCTCCGAGGCTTCATTTCCTCGTTTCCTTCAAGGCGGTGCCGAGGATCTGTGGGGGAAGAACCAATCCCAGCCTTTGCCCCCCTCCTGCGGGCGCCAGTTTTGCTGCATCAGGGCAAACCTTAGCAGCCCTGGGGAAACCTAGGTACTCGACTAGAGTAATGAAGAGCACCAAAACGCGACGAAACTCGGCCCGGGGCCTGGCATGGCGGGGCAAATTGTGGGCTGCGGGTGCATCGCCCTCGAGGTTAACTCGCCGAAACGGACGAATGTCCCCCCGGTTACTTGCGGAGGGGAGCGGTTGCTATGCAAAGGTCGAGATTGGAGGGGATGCCCTGCGGAGAGGCGAGGAAGTTCCGGAGTCACGAAGCTTGTAGAATGTAGAGTTTGTCTTCCATCCTACCAGGTTCCGCGTATGAATTATTGACTCGAAGCTATACCTCATTCCGTAATTCCCGCCCGCGTGAAAACACCCCCAGTCGAACGAAACACTCCCAAACACCATTTGCAAGGCAATAAATTACAACATCATGTTTCAACAACCAGAACTTGTGTATATTATAAATTCAATGTTCGTATATTCATTAAGAAGGCGCATTTGATTTGATGAGGGTTTCTTTTGAGGAACGACGTAAGTATGCCGATTCAGTCAATGATACAATGCATTTTACTGTACAGATTAATGATCAGTGTCGAAAAAGGATCATACCTCATCGAATGTCCTAATCATAATTACTAGTGTAGATAATAGTCAATTTTTTTCTACAATTTTTGCATAGAACCAAGTCGTAATTATGGAGATATAGGGCTGGAAAATATCGCCGTTAATATGGTGCTGTGAGTATTTCACTCGGGCGAGAATCCCGTTAGCTTTTTGATAGCTATGATAAGATGAAGAACAAGGTATGCGGTAGTATCAACAAGGTTAAGGTAGGGGCCCTTGACGGCGCTACAAAGCACCCTAAAGGTTTCATCGTTCCTTATCCGGTATCTTTCCTGAAGTAGTAATAGAGTTGCCCCTCACACTCGCAAGCCGCTCAAATAAGCTACTATGCCAAAGTAAATCACCATCTCCGACGGAGTAGCACTATTTTAGTTATCCAGTGGCCAACGACTCTATTCTTAACCTTGTTAGCCATTTCGAGGGGAACATCAACGTAACCGGTTCTGTTTGAATACGGTATGGATGAATTCTCCAACAAAGATGCAGTCCGTTGGGACTTTTACGAGACCCACACCGTTTGAACAACTCGGCCTCGTAATATCATCTGATCTGACCCACTCTGTTTAATGGCCTATTGGGGTAATCTGAGACTAGCCTTTTCAATGATCAATAATTTACAAATGCCGGGCTACGCTAAAAAGAGGAGTTTAGTCATCTTTCTGACGATGATCGCTCATCTTCCCGATCGCTTAGGTGAGATGAACATTCTATCTCACTAAAATGATGCGCTTTAACGCGGAAGCGGAAGCCCCAAGCCGCCCGTCAGAAACACCCTCGGCAAGATCAACACCTAAAACAGTAGAAGAATAAGAGCCAATAATTAGTGAATCCGACATTTCCGAGATGGAGACGAGTCTCTTGGCAACTAGGAGATCTGCTTAAGATAAAAATGGCCCGTCACATCACTCCGTCGATCCTACACTGTACGATATAGTATCCACATCTCCTACCCTCCCCCGTACACCTAAAGCTTTCCTCGGTTCAAGAACCGCACGGGAAGATCGACATGTCGGCTCCGCAAGTATTCAGCCACGTTCTTTCCCAAAAAGTCTACCGTCGTGGTGACCCCAACCCCGCGGTCTAGGTGGTTCTTGAACAAGAAATGCACGGCCTGTAGACCCGGTAGTTCAAATCGATCAATCTCTATACTGGGATGGCTGCCGCCCAAAAGCTGTCGAGCGGTATCAACCGAAAGCAACGATCTCAGCCATAGATACTCGTCGCGATGCCGTACCCAGAAGCCACAGTTCGCATCCGATCCTTTATCACCGGAGCGAGCATGCACGATCCATCCGAGCGGACCTCGGACGGTGGGACCAAAGTCATTCTTGATGTTCACCGGCTTGTCAGTATTAGTGACTGCCTGCGATGGTTGGTGAGCTGGATAGGTCTTAGTCGCCGGTGGAGGGGCGATATCAATGACTTGCGTCTTGGCCGTCGGCTTCCAGGGCAGATGAACCCGATGCTGAACGGCACTCTGCGGCAACAACGTCACATAATACTCGAAGATAGCACGCGGGAATCCCTGACGTAAATCCAAGTGGAAGGTAGCCCCGGGATAGCCCTGCATGATATTATCGGTGATAGGCTTTAAGAACCGCGTAGGTGCAAGGTCCTCTGCCCGCTTTGCTTGCGCCACAATCCGGAAGGGCATAGTAGCACGGTTCTGGTCAGGCGCATCTGATAACGAAGAGCCCAGAAGGTCGAACTTCAAGGAAGTATAACGATCAGAGAATGGAGCGAGAAGGCGACGAATCTGCACCTCCAGCATGCGCGCCTTTGCCTCAATATCCAGTCCGGTCAAGAACCACCATGCCTCTGCCTGGAATCCACCACGGGCCGTGATGCCCACCTTGGTGGTTGGAGGTGGAGGCCCAGAGCGAACACCATGCACGGCGACTCGATTGATACCCCTCTGTTCAAAACGGATACCATCCAGGACGGCGGTGACGTCCGAATTGTAATACCAAGGCCCTTGAATCTCGTATAGTAACTGAGATGTGCAAGTATCTACCGTGACAGCACCGCCAGTAGAATGCGCTTGTTTGGTAATGACCACGTCGCCCTCGGCGGAAATCTCCGCGATGGGATAGCCAATATTAGCCCAGCCATCACCGCCATGCTCCAACTCTTTGAAACCGGTAAAGTTACCACCGCAGACATAGTTACTGCATTCGATCAAGTGGCCCGCAACGAAAGCGTTGGCCAATTTATCCAGCTCATGACGCTGCCAGCCGTGATACCAATAGGCGGCTCCAATTACGGGAGAGGCGTCCGAAACTCGACCGCAAAGGACAATGTCTGCGCCTTCGGCAAGGGCTGCTGCGATTCCCAGTCCGCCCAGATAACACTGGGCATAGATGGGTTCAAAGGACCAGTCGGCCAATCTCTCACCCGTGTAAATATTGCGGAACTCAGACTTTCCGTCGGTAAGAGACTGTTGAATGGCTGGTAGTACTTCATCACCAGATACCCAGGCAATCTATAATCACGAAAGCATCAGTATCGAATTATCCAGCAAGCGTGATTGAACTCTAACCTTCAAATCCAACCCCTTTGCCTGCACCATTTGCGTAACAACGTCATATAACCCCTTCGTATCTGTGACACCGGCGTTGACAGCCAATTTAATGCCATATTTGGACAAGTCCTCCAACGCCGGTTCCAGCGCCTCCAAAAACGAAAGATCATAAGCCGGTGGTGCCCCGGCAGCAGCATCAGCGACAGTTCCCTGATCCACACGCCGACCAGCAGCGGTGGCCATGTTGAACTCGCTCATGAAATCCGCGATAATCACATCGACGGGGTCCGTCGGGTAATACCGTGCAAATTCAGTAATGGCATGGCGCCGGTCCGAAGCAGAGCCCGAAGCACCTGGATCATACTCTCAGCTATTGATGTTTTGGATCTGTGGACAATTTGACATACCTGCAATGCGAATGGGTCGACCGGTGAATGCCATTATGTTGTGAATGTGACCAGCCCGATGAAAGGCGTTGGAATGGCCAAAACAACCATTTAGACGTGGTGAATGCGGAGTGTGGGGAGATTCTTGGGGAAGGGGGAAACCGAGGCAGCTCGGCTCGAATGAATTGCGGGGTTACACAAACGAACCATCTGATAAGAACGGCGGTACAAAGAGAAGAAGAACTGCTTACACAGAAACTGCACTCTGATAATCTCATATTGCGCAAGGAGCTACTCAATAAAATTGTCGGAATTGGTTGTTGCTGGCATTGGGGTATTCGTTGCGTGGGATGTTCGTCACACGGCTATCCACGGGTGGGCGACAGCTTCAAGGGTGAACTACCAGTATTAATAACGAGAGGACTAAGTCTTGTAACCAGAAGCACATTATTAGACTGTCTTACGCAACGAAAGTCTACCGAACCACCCAGTCATTGTTGTAGTGCCGAAGATTATGAATCTCTTAGGAATAATGATACAAAAGTAATATGGATTCGTTAAGCATAGATGTAATACTTGTGCTAGTTTGCTCTGGAATTTTGAGAATCAAGAAAATGTTGCGCTCCAAGAACACCCTGAATGCAAGTAGAAGGACATGTCGCCGCTGAATAAAGATCACCGTCGCCGACGTGAGGTAGAAGTACTCATTGGCTCAAAGGCGTCGTCGTCGTCATCATCATCGTCAATTCCATCACTAATGACACTGACGTTGCGAGTTGTGCGAGTGGCCCGTGTTGAACGCGCTGAACTAGCCTGAGAAGCAGTAAAGTCCAGGGTTGTTTGAGTTGGTTTGGCACCTCGAGTTGTGGCTTGGTGTGTAGCAGTACCGCCCACAGTAGCCGATGATGGGGCTGGCGAAGCGGCCGCACGACGCCCACGACCCCGAGTTGACGTGGTAGTAGATTTGCGTCCTCTTGAAGCAGTTGCGGCACGAGGTTGCTTCACAAACAAGGCCTGCGAGTCATCGTCTTCCTCAGATATGATGTTGGCATCCACCTCGTCATCGTCATTATCATCTAGCATGATGACATCCTCCGATTCATCGTCTGAGATGGCCTTCTTCTTGCGACCATTAGTTGATGTGGTAGTCTTGGTCGCTGTGGCTCGAGAAGTAGCAGCACCTCCGCGACCTCCCCTCCCTCGACCCCGGCCTCGTGTAGATACCGTGGTAGTATTGGTGGTAACTCTGCGTGCAGGTGCCGAGCCATCTTCCCCAGCCTCTTCTTCGACAGGATCTCCACCCTCGTTATCGGAATGAATAAGAGCACCGGGTTGATCCTCCCATTCACCATCAAACTCGGTATCCCAACCGTCTGGCTTTGGCTTGAATCGTTTCTTCCCGCGAGTGCGTTTCTTCACTCCCTTGTTGAACATGTCTTCCATCTGTGAGCGGTACTTCTCCATGGCATTGACAAGAGAGCTATGGGCCCGTTCTTCGTCATCCACGTCGTCTTCATCTCGGTCTAGGTTCATGAGGTGCTTGACTTGACCCTCGAGGGAGTCATTGACAAACATTTCCATTGCATGCTTATCGTCTTTGTCAATGAATTGAGCCACGGCATCGCCAAAGGAGTTCTGCGGGAGGATGCTGAGGGATTGCGATGCGAGGTATTCCCGCACTAGCTGTTCCACCTTCACAGTATCCAAAGCGGCTAAGTGCGAATCTGCAGCTTCATCGACTGCTGCATCAGCCTTTCGAGAAGAAGCGCTCTTCTTTTTTCGATGGAACTGCACCACATCATTGACATTTGCAACCTTGCCCACAAATCGATTTGAAAATCTCTGCGGGTTCTCGCATTCAAAAGTCCCACCCTCCGGTGTAGATATCTCAACGCGAAGCCGGACCAAGGGCAGAGGCGGTTCGCGAGGCTCTTCATCGTCATCTTCATCATCATCCTGGTTCTGTGCGCCATGAGTCTCACGCCATTCTGCATTGGCCTCTTCGATCAATTCCTCAACGATGGACATGAGGAACCGGGTCACTTCTGTCCGATTGCCCTCCTTCCGGGCAAACTTTTGTGCACCCTTCTCTTCCGACAAAACGATTTCTCGCATGACGAAAGGACGGACTGATTTCAACCGAATGGGCTCACACTTGAATTCGCGGCCAGTGATACTTACTATGGCCACTTGTTTTGTCACAGCCTCACCGGGGACTAGTGAGGTCGCAACCGAAGACCCGGGCTGCATGACGTGAAACTTGGTCTCTGGATTGAGCTTTGGGTTGATTAGACACTCGTGTTCGTGACCCCAGACGACTAAGTCCATGAATTCGGGTAGAAAGTTCTCTGGCAAATAGCCAGTCTCGGTGTATGCATGGTGATTCTGATGAACCGACATCAAATTAAACCAGTCGCTCTTTTGCACAGACGGTTGGAAGAATTTGACCTTGCCGTCCCGAAACGTGCGGAACAAGCGCTCATCACGTACATTGCTCATACCGTAGAGAGCCAATTTGGTACGACCCTTTTGCAGTAGGACAGGTTTAATCTCAATGTTGTCTGACTCTGGAGTTCGCCCATAGTAGTTGAGTAAGCCCGAGACCTGCAAGAGATCCAACGCTGCCAGATGACCTTCCCCGGAGGGGTCATCGTGGTTTCCATGGATGGAGAAAATCGGGATGGCAATATTCATGTCAAGGTCCTCATAGTTGACATGGTTGAATGCACCTTGAAAGGTCTCGCTGGCATCGCTGAGCATCTCTAGCTCACATGGCTTGTCGCCGAAACAGTTCATCCGGATCGAGCGCATCACCTGGTACATGGATTTACGAGAGGGTTTGTTCTCATGGAAGAGATCTCCAGCGAGCAAGACCATGTCGACATCGCGTTCCCTGGCCAGACACATGACCTCGTGGAAGCTCTTCCAACTGTCATCTCCACGAATAGGATCCCGCTCGTTGTACCCAACATGGTTGTCAGTTGAGACGAGGATGCGAATAGTTTCCGCTGCAGGAAAATGGTCAGTTCTTCGAACATGGAGAAATGGACAAACGATGACTTGGATGTGTGGACACCCACCACTGGTCGACATGATGTCTGATCGACTAAGAGTGACTCATACAGCTCGGATTTTTGAAACGAACAGGTCCCAGCAAATCCTAATGAAGTTTCCCCTCCAGTTGCCTCAGAAGTAAGAGAAGTTTCCAGCGTCCAGCATCAACCTCAACTTCACGCCAAATGGAAGCTGTTGGCTGGTGCCACGCGCGACACTTCGCGTTATCACGTGCTTTGGAACGCGTGAAAGGCGGACTAATGAAGGCTGAAACTGGAAGGCGGTGTAATTGCTCGATCCCGGCCTCGGTCCCGGCCCCGAGGCCGGATTCATCTTATGTCATCATAATTAACCTGATCTAAAACTAGGGCAATTAAATACGCAGAGCTGTCGAATTGAAGGAGAAGCTAAGGACATGGACTGGATGAGTCACTATGTAAATGATCGGCTAGAGCAGAGTTTAGATATTGAGCGAGTGTGAATAAAATTAAACAAAAAAAAACGATCTCCAGATCCTAACCCTCAAATCGTATTGCCGATAAAACCCTTCCTCTTTTCTGCCGGATGGCCACTCCGCGTCGCCTTCCGACTCTCCGCTTTTCTCCTGCAGCGCGCCGTCATCCGTCTTTCCCCTCCTCAACGCATCGCTCTCCTTCCAATTTATCCGCTTCGATTTGCTCTTATTGTCTCGACTGACCCAGGTCTATTGCTGGCTCAGTCGCTTTCGCTTCCCAGCTATCTTTTCAAACCTTTTTATGCAATCAGAGCCTACTGCCGTATCTCAACATACACCCTCCGTTGACTCATCCAAATCTAGCTCCCACCCCATCCAACATGGAAATGACTTCAATGATGCTGCAGTCTCTGGCCTTCTTCACCCAGAGGAGACTGGAGACTATTCAGCACGGGCATCTCCCACACCGGGAATCGGCGATGCGCTCCTGAGCGATTTGAGCGATGTAGACTTTGCCCCGCCCTCCTCACCTGCCCAGCGAGTCAGCGAGTATGAGAATGCCGGAACTCCAAGCAAAAAGACAGATGACCCGGAGTCTCAAGTCTCGCCATTCTTGGGCCCCTCAAATCTGCCTCTAGAGACGCTTCCAAATGGTATGCCCGAGTCAAGGACCCCTCAGTCAACCGGAACCCTAGACTAATTCCGATTCCTCTCCACATAGAGGTTCTTACCCATATTCTGTCGCATTTGCCGCCCCAATCTCTCTCTGCTATCACGCTGGTATCTCGCCGATTCCATGCGCTAGTTACGACTCCTCATGCCTGGAGAATCGCATTCTCACGTTTCTTCCCGGGGCCGCAATCTTTAGAACATGGGCAACGTACTCCAACCAACCCCGAAGACTTGATGTCAGACCGACGGTTCTTTGCCAGACTCACTGCACTGGCGTCGTGGCGCAGCGAGTACATTCTTCGTACTCGTTTGATGCGGTCGTTATCTCGAGGTAAACCAGCTCAATTTCAACCTAACAAAAGACAAGGTGCAGTCCGCTCGGCGACCTCTCGCAATGGAAGTGCCGTAGCAACATACTCCTCACAACTCTTGTTTCCGGTGAGCCATATTCACGGATACTTCAACAACGCGGAGAAAGAACCCACCTTCATTCATGGTGCCTCCGAACAGGGGGTTGCCTCCGCCAGTGATCCGTCTGCTGTCAAAGTGACCACCTGGGGTATTTCCGACCACCAGATGTTCCGGCACTTTGCGGACAGTTTCCCCGGTGATGCCCCATTTGGCCTCGGGGCTGGCGATATGGTCGGTGTTCCCAACTCGATGGATGTAAGCCAGCCGTACGGTATGATCTATGGCGAGGGGTGCCCTCAGGGCCGCAGCTACTTTATTTCAACCTCGGAGCAGCGTGGCCGCTTCCTAGGTCACTCGGAGCTAGGGTCTCATCCCAAGTTGGGAATCCCCGCTATGAACATGATCACCCACGCTGTTTGTTCGGTTTGGATCGCCAAGTCACCTTCTATCCTCAAGGCGACAGGTGGTCTCATTGCGATGATGACTGGTTCGTCCTCGGGCATCCTTTCTGCATATGCCATGGGTCCCCATCCTACATATGAGAAGCGGTATGAGCGTGGCCAGGTGACTGCCAAGTGGGTTCTCAGCCCCGGTGTGCCTATCATCCGTATCGCCGTGGACGATGGTTACTCGCTTAAACGTCATGCTCAGCGACGCATCTGGGCGGTTGCTCTTAACGCTCTAGGGGAAATCTTTTATCTTACGGATATTCCCAAAGAGCCAGAGCTTCCATCCACAGCTAAGCTAAACGCGGAGCAATTCGATGAACTCGCGTGGAAGACTGGCAGAACCGTTCGTTGGGAGCTTGCTGAAATGAGCCGGCGTACTGCACGGCCGGACCCTTTCAATCGAGATCCAGTTGATGGCAGCTATAGCCCGCGCTCTTCGTCGGAATCGATGTTGCTGGAAGAGAGTCAAATTGCTGCGGAGACCAAAGAGGTCGAGAAGTTCCTCTCCTTTAAACCAAAGCATTTCCGCAAGGTCTGCGAAGGGTGGAACATGCGCCGCGATCTTCACGTTGACTTTGCTGGTGATGATGGACGTGGATACGGTGAATCAGTTGTAGTAATTGCCCGTGGCGAAGGTGAGACCGAAAAAGCTTCCGTTCGGCGGTTTGTTCGCGTCGCGTCGAAAACCGATGTCAAGTCGTCGCCATCAACACCCGGTGGTTCTACTCGCGTTCGGGATCAAGTCTCCACGTCCCTCTTTGGCGGCCCTGTGGCTTCCTCAAGTTCGACACCCACACAGAGCTTCCCGCCATCTCGAGCCTCGAGCCGGTTCAGCGAACAGGTGCGTGTAGTGAATACAGAATGGCGTATCTCGGACTTCACATTTGGGGACCGAAAATTGGTGGAAGTGACAACCACTGCGATGGATAATTCGATGTTTGCGACCGTAACTGCGCAGGAGGATCCGCTGCTGTCAATGTCGGGAAGCTCTTTCTCCTCCGCCACGTCCTCACCAATGCTACCGCATATGGAACAACCGCACTCGACTCTCGAGGTTCCTGGTCAACGGGCACGTTACCTGGCCGTGGGAACCTCCACAGGCGGAGTCTTTGTCTGGGATATTCGTGCTTCCCCAGCACAGAATTCGGATGTCATCAACTCGATTTCCCCACTACGTTTCATACAAACCGAGTCTCCGCAAGTATCATGCGTGGCGTTGACATCGTTGTACCTCGTTCATGGTGGTAACGATGGTCTGGTGCAAGCTTGGGATCCCCTAGCTTCATCCACGCGGCCGATTCGTACAATTAACTCGCGCTTCTCTTCTCGTGCGCGACGCCGGTTGGTACAGGCAGAAGCTTCCGTGCTCGGGGTTGGAAGCAACTACTTTGCAACTGGGGCGATTTGTTTGGATCCGGATCCGACGGTGCTTCGGGGAATGGTCTCGTTGGGTACCCATCTCCGCTATTGGTCGTACAGTTCCTCGGGTGCGGATCAATACAAGTGCAGCAAACGCCGCCTTCGCCGTTCTCTGCGGGGTAGTAATGGTGCTGCCGAGGGTCAACGCTTCACTACCAGCGGACGCGGTGCGATTCGCGACTTTATCGAGGATGAGCGTATCGAGCTAAAGCGACAAGAGGTTGAAAAGGCAAAGGAAAGAGCGCACCTCAGTGCACGATTCGGTGTCGACCTTCTTGGCCCTGATATTGACGAAGAGCAACTCTTGCTATACGCCCAGCTCCTGAGTGAAGAAGCCTATACTGCGGGTGTGGACGCGGCCAAGCGCGACGTAGGTGATCAGACAGCCATCGCCAGCTCTGCCACCAGTGCCTCCGTCAGCGATGCTATCGGGCCAAGTTCCTTCGGTCTAGCCGAAGTGTCGTCATCATCTTCCCCTTACCAAGATCCGGTAGAGGAGAGCATCGATGATGACCTCGCTGAAGCAATCCGCCTCAGCCTGCTTGATGAGAAGACATCAATCCCACCAGAGGATCTGACACCCTCTATTCCCATCAAGTATTCAAAGGGAGTGCGCAGACCTCGCCAATCATCACCTGGCCACAATTCGGGTCCTGAGAGTAGTCAGCAACGGGAAATGGATGACCTGGAATATGCCATCCAGCTCAGTCTGGCAGAGGACAAGAGCCGCGGAGATGTGGCTGGCGAGGAATGGGAGGAATTCCCGACTTTGGCATCCGCACCGCTTTCGTCTTCACAGTCCTCTGGCAAGGGAAAGGGAAAGGCGCGGGGTTGGTAGATGTCCGCGACATATGGGTTTGATTTGAATGTTGTGATTTGCATATATATTTGTTGGATGTTTTGATACCATACATCTCGAGCTCTCTTTCTCTGTCTTGACGATGCCTTGACTCAGCATGGAGTAAAGCAGACTCGATTGGTTGCCATTGCATTAATCTTGTGTCCTTCTAGTTAGTTCTTGATTATCTTGATATTTACATTCGAATCTCGATCGTTTTCTGTATTTCAATCTGCTCCAAGTGTAAATTACGTCGCATAATACCATGGCGTGGAATCGGCGGAGGTATCTCGGTACTTGGGTAACGGTTATCACTGTGCTCAATTTTCGACGCTGATAAACTTGGAAAATGGATGATAGTCATTAGGATAACTAATAACATTGACTAGTCAGAGACAACTGTCAAGAAGAACATGACATCATCTGTTGGACTCCAACGAAGCATGTACAACAGAACCAAAAAGAAAGGAATCACACAGACAGCCAAGCGTCAGAAGAATTGATAGTCTGTACAAATCGAGGATTGGTCACTCGAAAATGTCCCGACTCTATGCCTCTCATAATGGATTCAACGGGAAGGGGAGAGGAAAAAATAAACAATAGAAGGGAAATATCATCTACAACAGAGAAGCAAGCAGCATGAAAACACCGCTCAGACCACCCAAGGCAATGGAGGGGGCACCGTTCAGAGAAGACGCGGCGTTGGAGTGGGTGGAGGTACCCGAGGAAGAGGAGGAGGAGGTAGAGCTGGAGCTGGACGAGTTGGAGGGAGTGTTGGACTCGTCGTTGGCCAGCACCTTGAACTGGACATTGGTGATCTCGCTACCAGTGTAGTCGTAGACCTTCTCGGAGAGAGTGGTGGCCGTCACCGAGACCAGGGCGCCGGAGGGCTTGTTGGGCAGACCGTTCTTGATGTAGTCCGAGACCTTGGAGGGGGCATCGGGTAGGTTCCAGGCGTTGTAGAAGGTAGAGTTGGTGATCAGGTCGGCGCTGCAGGTCTCCGGGGTGACACTGGTCTGGGAGGTGTTGCTGGCGGAGATGCGGCTCATGTCGAGCTTGTTGAACTGCTTCTGCAGGTTGTCATAGTCGATCAGAGTGGTGATGGTGCCGTTGTCGTTGACCTGGACCAGGCCATACTCGTTCTCCTCGAATGTCCACTCGTAGATTAACCCACCGGAGAAAGCCTGGGTCATCTCTTCGCCGTACAGGGCCTGCACCTCGGTGAAGATACGGGGCTTGACCTCGTTACAGCCATACTCGGAGAAGAAGACGGGGAGAGTGGCATTGGAGAAGTCCTCGGTCAGGACATCGTAGCCGCTGGACTTGTAGGAAGCATCACCGCACCACGAGTAGGAGTTGAGACCAAAGAAGTCAGCGCGCGAGCTGGTAGAGTTCTTCAGGTCGCACTCGAAGTAGTTCACAGTGTCCATCAGGATGTCACGGATGTCTGCAGCGGAGTAGCCAACGGGGATGGCGCGGTCGGACTGCTTGGCGATGTAATCCTTCATGTCACGGATCACGGCACGGACATAGGCGGGAGCCAGGCGAGTGGCTTCCTCGTTGATGACTTCGTTTCCAGCAAAGAAGCCGAGAACGTTGTCGAAGGCCTTGAAGGCTTCGATCACACCAAAGACCTGCTGGTAGTAGGCGTTGGTGTAAGTCGTCCAGGGAGCAGTGCGGTCCAGGTAGCCGTTGGTAAGAGGGGAGTTGACATCGAGGATCATGTAGATACCGGCGGCATTGAAGATGGAGGCACACTTGTTGTGGTCGAGGGTGGGCTCGAGATTATAGACACGGATGGTGTTGATCTAATGTGATAGGATCAGTTGCTCGGCCCACATCCCTGGGGGTTGATGACGATCAAGATCTTACACCCAGGCGCTGCATCAGAGCGGCATCACGAAGACAGACATCACCATCACTCAAAGGGTCCTTTTTGGCAGTGAAACCAGAGGAACCACCGGGCTGGTAGCTGTCGTATACGTTAGTTTGCGATCCTGGGGAATGAATATACTGCGATGTGCGACAGGCTCGCACGTGGCCGCCATCGGAATGTGGGGAAGGGGGAAAGTCTCACTCAACACCGAGAATCTGGAACCGATCACCGGTCTTGGAGTTGACAAAGTCCTTGCCCTGGACCTTGAGGGGAGTCACGGCCGCGGCGGAGCCAGCGAGGGCGCAAATGGCCGTAAGGAGACGAGTGTAGGACTATAGAAGGCGGTGTCAGCACTCGGTGTGAAATAGTCTGGGTTTTGCGCACCGCGCTGGGCAGGGAATTCCGTACGGAAACCATCTTGAAGCAAATTTATGGAAGACGGAGTAATTGAAGACGAAAGAGATCGAGATCGAAAGTCGAAAGTCGAAAGTCGAAAGTCGAAAGTCGAAAGTCAAGAGCTGAAAGAGCGACGGTGCAGTGCGCGAGAAGGAACGAGTGACAGGCGATGCGAAATCGACCAAAAACAAAGAGCGCGACACGCGACAAACGAGAGTAGATGTGTATCACTCCGACAAAGGATGCGGAAGGCTAAAAGAGAAAAGGAAGGGAAAAGGAGGCGGTTTAATATGAAACGAAAATGGCCAAGGATCAGCGGGGGAATTGGCAAAGAGAAGAGACGGAACCAATGGTGAGACCGAGTGGAGCCCCCGATGGTGCCTGAGGGGTCCAGGGCCTCAGGGACCAATGAACCCTGAGATTCCAGGGGTTTCACATTGTGGCTCTGTTCCATTTCTCAGCCGGGTTTAGTGTCTTGGGTTTTCTTGAATCGCGACCAGTCGTGGCCCACGGCACAATGATCTCATGCCGGCTGACACCTACAGTCCGGGAATAAGTTAATCAGGATACTCTGGTAGGCTAAATGTAACCATCCATGATACTGCTGGTGGGTAATATCAATATCATATACTCCCCTTGTCAGATGCACAGATCTCAAACCATACTCTCTAGGGCAGTTGATCCCCCAAAGCTTGGTCATACATGTCAAAAATCGCCATTTTCATTCGCTCTAAAATAATACAGGCCGTATATCCATTTTCCCCTTCGCCTCGTCCCCCCTCATGCCCGGAGGAGGAAGAGGAAACCCATGCAGAAACAGCAAAAAACGACAGCCACGAAACAACCGACAAGGACCCCGTGTTGCGCGGAAAAGTCATGGCGCCCAGAAATACCAAGGCCGCTGATGCCACGCCGGTTCCGGCCAAGACCCAATAGATATACACGATACCGGAGATCAAATAAAAAGAAGAAAAGGGGGAAAAGGGAAAGTGGAGAGGGGGGCAGTGTCAAGGAACTCATCGAGAAAGCCGGAGAGAGACAGCTCGGAAAGAGGAGGAGACAAAAGGATGAATAGGAGATATTACAGGCTAGACGGGCCAAGGACAGATGTCCAAGGTTCCGTCGGAGTTGAAGCATCCAGATATTCCCAGACCACTAAGATCGGGGGTTATCCAAACGACCGGGAAAGCCACCGTACGCAAGAGGACGTGTTTACTCGACACCGTGGCTGTCGGCACCGGCAGCGGGACCCTCACCAGTGAAGGTACCACCCAGGTTGAGGGTAGTGTCCATGGCGACCATCTCAGCCAAGATCTCAAGACACTCCTTGGGAACGGTCTTGTCGTAGATGGAGATCAGGTCCTTGGGCTGGGGGTAGACCTTGAGGGCCTTGTAGAAGGCAAGAGCAGCCTCGATGTTGTCGGAGCCTAGTCACGCAAGAAGAATTGATAGTTAGCAATCCATTGATCCCGGCCATCATGAATCAACCACTGTCCACCACATACCCTCGGCACACAGGCCCTCGCCCTTGGCAACCTGGTTCATGAAGTAGGACTCCTTCTCCTCCAGGTCGGCGGGGAAGCCCTCCTCCTTGGCACTCTGCACAGCCTGCTTGATCGCATCACGCTGGGCGGCACCGTGGGCCGCCTGCTCTTCCTTAACGGCCTTGGCGAGCTTGCGGTTGTTGCGCTTCAAGGACTTGCGGAACTCGGGGTCGGTCTGTCGCTTGTGATCAAAGTACACGGCATAGGCTATTTCAAGGAAAACGAGTCAGTCTCAACAATGTATAGAGAGAGCAGGCAAGAATGGAAAGAAAGCCAGATTGATGGTTCCCTCATCTGGTAGCCAGGTTGATGATGATGGGTTTCTTACCGAGCAGGCCGGTGATGATCGTGCCGGCCGAGGCGGCAACCAGAACGGATGTGCGCATGATGGAGTTGGAAGGATATGGGATATAGAACAAAGGGAAAGCGACGGACTTCACAACCTGACCGGAAGAGCGATGAAAATAGAAGGGCAGTGACGTGAAAGAAGCCGACGGGAGCTGTTTCGGGAGTGTTTGGGGACGATAAATTTGAGGGAGGATTTACGTTCTTCCGTCGGGCTTTCTCTCCCCGGCTGGCTGGCCCTTGACTGAGATTCGATGAGAACAATGAGATATAAGAGCAGATTATAGGGATAAACAGATAGTTAATCGACTGATTAGGCTACCCACTCATCAAGTCGATTTATTATACAGTCAGAAAGAACTATACACTCCACATGAATGGGGAAGACAGACATGCACAAGTTGGCTGACCCCGACTCGGAGATACATTGAAATAGTACCAAGTAGAGATGAGCAGACTCCAGTCAAGCATAAACTACCAGTGAATCTATCTTAATCATGTGTATTCATATGATTAATTACATTATTTAGAGAGCTGTATACTATTATCAATCAACTCAAAACACTCCCTAATGGCCATTCTCCAGCTATACTGACCCCCGAGTGTATACTTCGTCATCGTGCGCTATGCCCCTTTCGGGACTCCCTCAGCCCGACCGTGTTGAGTTGACGTTTCCTCCCTTTCGACGATCGCTCTCTCCTCTTCCAGCTCTCTGTCCTCCCCGCCAATTGCCCCTACATCATGGAAGGTCGAGGCTTGACCCTTCGAAGCAAATCTCGTCGTCAACGGCCTCAGATTAGTGCTCCGAAACCCATCTCCGGGCCCCTGCCCCCCAATACCCGATCTCCCGATGCTCCTCAGGGCGCCGTCCCCGCGGGTCGCGAGCGAGCTGCCCAGAGCGAGGCCACCTCCGATCTGGTGAAGCGTCGATACTCGACCCGTTTTAATGCCGCTCCGGACTTTGATGCGAGTGCGCCTCCGGTGCCAGCCCTACCTACGCAAGCACCCGGTGGATATGGAGGGCTGGGAGCTCCCGTGGCAGCTCCAAGGCAGCCATCGCCGGCGGATGGCGCATCGACCTCGCTCAAGGTGGATTCCAATGCACTGCGAGATCCCAGTCTACCAGTGGAACGATGTAGGTATCCCGCGTCTGCTGTACTACAGCCACGCAGCCCGAATCAAGGACCCTAAGCTGACAGGGGGACCCCCGTCCTCTCTCACAGACGTCGCCAACCTACTCGCCAATGCATCCGAGGAAGAGATTCAAAAATACCAGGAAAACTTACGCAAAGTCAAAAACCGGACCTCGACCGATCTCCAACAGAATGTCTACCAGAATCGTACCCAGTTCATCAAGATCAGTAAAGAGGCCGAGAAGCTCAAGGATGAAATGCGCACGCTGCGCACTCTCATGTCGGAACTCACCACTGCCCTCGGACAGACCACGGTGGGAAACACGCCCAACCCCATGTCGCCCACGGATGATCAGTTCCCCAAACGCAATGCCAATCGCAGCTCCGTAGCCAACTTGGAAAGCATGTGGAATGTCCAATTGCAAACGTTGTGGAAGACGGTGGAAGGATCCCAAAAGTTCTTGCCGGCCGTCCCTGGACGGCATATTGTGCTGGAGACGGGCAATTGGGCTGAGCTGGACTCGGCCACCTGGAAGCCCAAGAGGCCGGTGCATATCGTTTTGCTGAATGACCACCTATTGGTGGCCGCCAAGAAGCGCAAAAGGGTGGATCAGAACCAGCCCAACCAACGCGGCCCAGTTCCCACCAAGCTTGTCGCGGAGGAGTGCTGGCCACTGCAGGACGTCGACATGATTGACTTGGCCGCGAATCTGGGAACGGGTGCCGCTCGAGAAGAGGCGTTGGACCGTGGTATTGCCAATGCGATCAGCATTCGGGTAGGATCCAAGCCATTTACTTATCGACAAGACAAACGCGACACGTCAACGAAGAATGAACTGCTTGCCACCTTCCGCAAGACTGTGGAGGATCTTCGACGAAACTTGCGAACCGAGACCGAGGCTGCGAGCAAGCCCTTGGAGGCATATGGATACCTCGCCGGGCGACACCTGTCGTATTCGCAAAAGTCGGAGCCGTTTGATCTTGCAGATAGTCCGCGTGATAAATCCGATCTGCGCATCGATGTTGATGGCAAACAACAGAACCTCCGTTGGGTGGAGGGACAAATTGACGAACTGGATATTGACATTGCTTTGCAACACTTTGAAGCCGCCGTGTCCAGTATCGAGCGATTGCGGAAGCTTGCCAAGGGACTCAAAGGGAATGCAATTGCTCAGGAGGTGATCAATGTCAAGGTCGATGGGCGAGCGACGCGGCTGGCTGGTATGCTTTCACGATCGTTGGTGGATACGCACTCGTTCCCGAGTGCGACCAAGAGAAACGTCACCTGGCTCAGTCGCCTGGGATTCGAGGATCAGGCGCGCGAGACTTACCTGAAGGCACGGACTGATGTGATTTCTCAACGTATTCGGTATGACTATGGATCCCACGCACCCCAATTGACTCTCCTCGGAAAATCTGCCATACTAACATGGATCGAATAGTGCCTGCGTCTTCGAGGGTGATCTCCCGCTCTACATCTTCCAAATCTCCTTCGTCTACTTTTCCTTGATCAAGAACACCATCAGAATCTACCAGCAGTGCTTCCCAAGCGTAATGACCAGCTCCTGTATCCGATGGGCAAAGACGCACCTCGACGGATTCAATGCCCTACTCAACCGCCAGCTCAGCAGTGTGCAGCGGGGCACTTCGGTCTGGCATAAATGTCTTGACATTGTACATGAACATGCGGCCCTGTTGACCGAGGTCGGTGTCGATTTCACCGACCTGGTCGCTCGGGGTTTGGAGGACCAAAGTGAGGATGGCTTGCGGGCTGTTCAGCCGGGTCAATTGGCTGCGGCTCAACCTCCTGTGATATAGCGATTTGGCGATATTACCGCGGCAGCGATCTTCCAATGATAACTTTACGAATTTACTTTGAGGGCTTCCAACATGGGTGGAAAGACGGGTGAAAAGACGAATGAATGGAAGAATGAACAGAAAATATACATAAAGGAAGAAGATATGCAGCTGCTGCCATATATCACTCCTTGTGAAGTCAACCATCTCGAGCACCCAGAATTTCAGACGAGTCCCTCATCCGACACATTATTCTTTTCATGGAGATGTGCACTATCCTTAAGCTGTTCATTTCACGACTTATAGATCTCATAATTCTCCATGGCGCCCACCACAAGCGCAAGAAACTTTAGAACTGCCAAACAAAGAGTACAAAGCGTTCCAGCAACCGCAACACAACGACGGGACGGCTACATATTGTTGGTGTATGCGTCTACAGAAAGCGGACATGGAGAGAATATTACTACTTTCAACTCTGTCGCTTGTCCCAGGCCTTCGGAAGCCTTGATAAACTCCTCTGGGTGGACATCGCACCGACAGCCATGCGCGGGAAGAGGTAGTGGAGCCGCGGCAGTCCCATTGATAAGAGTCTATACATTCCGTTGTCGGTGATCAGTCTATCAACTTCTTCCACATACAAGACGATGAACCAGGTCGTGTTGATTGCTGTGTCGTAGAGCTAACTATATACTATGGGATTACATCACTCCTCCCGAAGGAGAGATCCAATCCTCTTCAAGGCATCATCTCGTACTGCCTGAACGATATCGCTCGCCCTTTGCGGCGTATTCACCATCCCAACGCCTGTCCCAGCCCATAAACTGCCCATATCGTGAACATCGAGGGACTCGGAGCCTGGACCGTTAATTTCCGAGCCCAACCAACTGCGAATCTTTTTAATATCCATGCCCGATGCATATTGATCGTACACCTTATTCCGGAGACACCGTCCGTCATAAGTAGCTGGCCAGAAATTGGGCCCCCAAATTTCGTCGAATACCCGTGATCGGGCCGTAGCTTGGCCACCGTCCGAGGCCTTGAAGATTGCATCACGATATATTTGCGGAATGCATGTTTCTGGTGCTGATAGGAATCTCGTTCCCATCACGACCCCGGATGCGCCGAGAGCGAGTGCTGCAGCAGTGCCTCGGCCATCAACGATTCCACCGGCTGCGACCAAGGGAATATCGCTAATCCCATGGTGTAGGAACGTGTCTGTGACTTCGGGAATGAGGCTCACAATACTAGCCCCGTCCTGATGGCCGTGACCCCCAGCATCGCTACCCTGTAGAACCAGGGCATCCGGGTGGCACGCCTGCGCGACCTCCAAAGCTGCTTTCACGCTCCCCAATTGAATCCACACCCGCGATTTCGGCGTTGCCTGGCGAATTGCTTCCGTCCACTGTCGAAGCTCATCTGTCCCAGCGAACGAAAGCCAAACCACGGCTGGACAGTGCGTTTTGAAAAGCCTCATCCATGCTTCCATCGGGGATCCGAAGACTATCACGCCAACTCCGATGGGCAATACCTGCGGATCGGGAAGGGTCGCCATGAGGTCTTGTAGTCTGTCGCGCGCGACGCCTAGCTCGGTTGACAGCTCGTGCATATCATCCAGGTAGCCGATTTGGCCTAGTCCTCCAGCACGGCTGACGGCAATAGCGAGCTCGCTGAGTGCTGCGCCGCTCATTGGGGCGTTGGCGATGAGCGGTGATTGTACCCATGGGAGGGTCTTTTTGAATACGTTGCAGAGGGGCATTCTCGGAAGTTAACAATGAGATGGAATCTTCACAATTCACCGGCCTCCATGTCAATAAGGTTCTACTTTATACGACAGATAGTAATGGCTGGATCTCGAATCATTCTTTGTATCAGTTCAAAGGCCGAGTGGCACCACGAGGGCTTTCATTGGCTCAACGGCTTCACCTTTCAGATTTGTTCTCGGCCTTTGATGTCACTCTTGGAGCTTGATCTAGCCGTATTTGCTAAAGATTGCTCACAATTGATGTTCCTGAACTCAATCAAAAAGATGATCCCGCATTGCTATGGCAGATTATAAACCGCGGTTCGATATAACGGGTCACGAGAGCAATCGCCGAGTCGGCCTTTGGTCCGAACGGAAGACCAAAGTCCCCGCTTTTCGGCCAGATCATGACTACGATTCGAGGTTTTCGGCGAAATTTCACAACTTCAAACAGACTTGACCTTCTCATTGACCTCCGAGCTTGCAATCATGAGTTCTCTGACCTCACAATGGGCGTGGTCTCTTTTTGAGCCCACTTTGATGCTCAAGTCAGCTATATACCGTATGTCAATGATCCCCTCCAGTGCAGCGGTTTCCTGGTTTCTCGAAGAATTGTGTACCAAGTTCGAATGACCAACTCCAACCCAGATTATGTGAAAACCGTCTTGTCGACGATAGCAAAGGGAGATATACCTTTGTCCGCTAGTCAATGGCAAAAGATCCGCGGAACGGCATTCTCCTCCCTTTGGCTTGAATTTTCCGGTATGCCTGCATTATCCACGCAACCAGTCTCTCCTTTCCAGTCTAATCAGCCATCCCAGCTCCCAAGCCCCCCGGGACACCTCCGTCCCTCTCAGCCGGACTGATTCCCCCAATTCTCTCCCAGGCAACGGGAGTCGTCTTGGAGGTTGGACCCGGGAGCGGCTCGCAGATGTCATCTCTGAAGGGACCCCAAATAACCAAGATATACGGCGCTGAGCCATGCATCGATCTCCATTCCAAGCTTCAAGCACAAGCCAACGACCAAAGCCTGCAAGATAAGTATCAAATCCTTGCAGCGGGCGCAAGTACCGACCAAATAGTCAAGGAGCTTCTTCGTGGTGGATTCATTACTGCTTGGAAAGAAGGGGATACCCTTTTCGACACCATAATCTGTGTTCGAGCTCTATGCAGCATCTCCGATCCACAGACTGCGGCATCGGAGCTTTACAAACTTCTTCGCCCGGGGGGTCGCATGCTGATTTGCGAACATGTCGCAAATCCATGGACAAAGCCCAAGGGGAGCATTCTAGCCCGAGTCTTCCAGCAAATATACATGATTTGTGGTTGGGCCTTTTTCATCGGTGATTGTCGTCTGAATCAGGATACCGCGCAGATTCTGGTGAAGGCTGCGGAGGGCGATGGAGGCTGGGCAGAGAATAATTTGGAGATGGCTGCATCATTCTCGACGTTTCCATACTTGCATGGCGTTCTGGTCAAAAGAAGTTGAACTTGAGTCTTCAATCTGATAGATCAGTATGATCTATCAATCATCAAGAAATAATTGGGATATAAACTGAAATTCATGCCAAATTTTAGATTTTATCAGCAATTCTTTGAAGGATGCACTTATATAATGCGTACGCTATCTAGTATGAAGAGCTAGAACCCCTTTAGAAAGACCTTCCAATAGAATGACAGTAAAAGAACATCGGGATAGATCTATTCTACAGCCTTGTACGGAATAAAAGGGAACTGCTGGTCTCCCACTGCAGCACCAAAAGCCGAATACGCACTGATTGTGTCATTTCAAAGCCCGAGCGGCGAGAAACCGAAAGCGTCACTCGGCTCGGAGGCAGCGGATCATAGGATATCGCCGCACAGTTCGAATAAATAGCGCTGCTTGGGACATAAAGTTCTATCCTTCCGCCTTGGTTTCCTCTTCACCAAAAACTCAACCTCTTGACCCCTAAGAACCAGGGCTTTATACGATGACGAGCCACGCCATCGAAGCAGAATTAGTATTCTTCCAGGCCCCTAAGGATGGTGCATCTCCATACAATTACGTAGAGGAGCCACCAGCTGGAGAACCATGGCGCAATTATTCAGGCGACACTCGGAAAGTTTTCATCCACGACATCCGAGGGAGCGAAGACCAATACTCCCTCGACCGGGACGCATTCCAAGTCTTGAAGAACATCCCATCGTCAGCCACGTACGAGACCTTTGATTCCGACGAAGCCGTTCGGGAGATATACTACCCCGAGGTGGAGCGATTGCTACTTGACTCCGTCCCCGGTGCCCACTCCATCATCTTGTTCGATCATACTATACGCCGCGCAAACCCCAACGCCCCGCGGCAACCAGTTAACCAAGTCCACGCAGACCAAACCGAACGGTCCACTCAATCGCGCGTGCGCAAGCATGTATCGGATCCAGAGCTGGCTGAGAAGTACTTGAAGGGACGCTATCGCATCATCAATGTCTGGCGACCTATTAACGGGGTCGTAGAATCTTCGCCCTTGGCATTCGCCTCTGCAGCGTCGACTGAGGACGACGACTTTGTTACCATTCAACACCGGTATCCAACCTTCAATGGGGAGATCATGGGCGTTAAGTACAACCCCAAGACAGAGTGGAAATACTGCTCTGGTCTGGATAATGATGAGAGGCTCCTTCTCAAATGTTTCGATAGCCAGGTTGGAGTGGCCAAGCGTGTCGCACATACGGCATTCGTTGACCCGAATACTCCTGCTGACGCAAAGCCGCGGGAAAGCATTGAGGTCAGGGCGTTGGTGTTTGGATAGTCGCGAAGTCATTCATGGAGATCCAATTGGATATGTGATTACCACGTCAAAAAAAGTTAGCTCGCACGACATACTAAGGCTAATTAGGATAGCTCCTTAATAAGATTTCCAAAAATCGGGACTTCAAGAGTTTGTAGCTAGACCATCTTTTCTTGTCGCTAGATTCCGACTTCCAAGCAAAAAGAATGTTAATCGAGTGAGAATTGGTTTGTCATGCCGGTTGACCGTTTTGGCCTGCCAGTAACCTGATATAGAGATTTCACTATGTTTCATTGAGATTCTATCATACAAAGTCTAGAGGCCCAACCTTCAAACTAGCTATACATCAGAACTGCTCTATATCGTGTAATATCCAAACCTCTCGTAGTCATTGTTTGCGATATTCTCCGGCTTTCGATGCAGCGTAGTCTTCTGGCTCTTTTGGAGGAATTTTTCTGCGGGGGACCACACCAAATCCCAGACTTTCGGGTTACTCAGTACACTGGAAGTCTTGAGCATGCCGGCGCGGAAATCGACAGGTTCAGCGCCTTCGCCGAGTTCAGACGGGAGGCGCAGATAATACCGCACACTGTCGGGGATTTCCTCCTTGACATGGCTGATCAGCACCAAGGCCTGGTCGTCCGAGAGACCGCGGTGTCGCAATTGGAAGCCACGAGGAATAGCCGAGCCCAGAAGGGCTTCTCCTTTATCAATGAACTGTAAGCACTTGTCGCGCTGTGAGGCTGTCAAGCCCGAGAATGGTTCATCGAGGATGACAATGTCCGGTTTGTGGATCATAGCACGCAGGAACAATACGATTCGTTGCTGTGCAGTGCTCAGCTCACCAAACTTGACGTTGTCGGCATAGTCAACCTGGTATTCCAGGGGCATGTAGAAACCGGTGCCAAGCTTCTTTTTGGACTTGCTTGTTCCTTCCGGCTCGAGTTTGGGGAACATCTTATCTAGAGAAACCAGGGGCGCTTCTTCATGTGAGGTGTCGGGGTCAAGCTCAGCCTTGAAAGCCCGAAGAGCTGCACTCACATCGAGATCTTTCTCGTGGTCCAAATTTGGTTTTGATAGGAAGGTCTCCGCAAATGCCGACTCCAGAGCCTGGCGGATGGTCAATTGGCGCGGGAAGAAGGCATGAATCTCAGGTGATGAATGACCGAGACGAGATTGAAGTTCAAAAATGGAGATTCCGGGCTTGCCCGCCTCAGGAAGACGAGAGCGACCGAACATTTTGATGGGCTGTGAATATGCTTGTGGATGATCGGATGTGATCAAGGACAGTAGTGTCGTCTTCCCGGAACCGTTCGCACCGAGAATTGCCCAACGTTGGCCGCGGCGCACGCGCCAGTGAAGGCCATCCTTGATTTCGTCGCCCACCTTCTGTTTCCAGTCACCTAACACGACCTTGTCGCCATACTGGACACGAACCCCGTCCAATTCAATCAGAGCCTCCCCGCCTAAATTTGTTGCGCCTTGTTTGGGAGACTTCTTTGTCTGGTCCAACGCAAAGTCCTGGAGTAACTGCTCATCGAGATTCCCCGATTCCATGTGGGCGCGAAACTCAAGTAATTTGTCCCTTTTTTCAGCGTCCTTGGGAATTCTGTATCCTTTTACTGGCATCGTCTGCCAAGCTTCAAGGATCGCATGAACCTCCGACTTCGTCCCTTGCTGAAGGACCTGGTGGTCTTTTCCCACCAGAATCATATGAGAAATCCAGTCTGGAACGCGATCCTGAGGACGAAGTGCCAGCACCAGTCGGGGTGATTGTTTCTCTGCCAGTCGGTGAAGTAGATTTGAAATACTTCGGGCGGTGGCCGGGTCCAACCCCACTAAATAAGAGGATTAGTGCCTTTCAAGTCACCATATGAAAATCGCGTGTCAGCTTACTGAATGGCTCATCGAGAAGCAACAGTTCCGGCTTCTCCAGCAGGGCCTTGGCAATGCGTGCCCGTCTCGTTTGTCCGTTACTCAAATTTGCGACTGGCATGTTAAGCAGCGGCTCGAGGTGCAGATCAGTGACAACTTCTTGAAGCAACTGCTCATCCTTCAAGGTACCATTTTCTTCTCCCTCTGGAGGATTTAGCGATGTCTGCCCCCGTAGGAATTGCTCCACCGTCCAATCTGTCTCCTCGCGAAGGCTCTCGTAGCGCGCACTCAAATATGCGCCACGTGTGCCCCCAATGGCACCAGATCCTTCACCGCTGAATCCAATGTATTGAATCGCATTTCCAATAATGCGCAGCCGGGGGTCCTTTGCCGCAATTTCATCGGAGAGGAGGTAGGGATATGATCGGGCGGTTGGAGGGATTGAGATATGCTGGCCACGGAAAATGTCGAGTAAATCCGTTCGCCCCGAAGGTCCAATGACGGCCCAATGCTGCAAGGAGGCTTGCTGCTCGGGAGAGGTTACCCTGTCGGAGGGCAGAGTGAAGTTGAGATTCGGGTACAGAGGGAGATTGGTTGCCGCATTATCTTCGGTCGGATATTCCTTGTAGAAAGTCCCATTCTCGATGCGAATAAGCGGTGCTGAAGACTTGAAGCGCACAGTGCGGAGCCCGGCAGGTCGTAATAGACGAGCCCGCAGGCTTGTTCGAAGCAGCATGGTCGCAGATGGGAAATATCCCAACTTTGAGGCAACGAGCTTCAAAGCTTCAAAAGCCTTCCGTCATCGGAGATTCGGGGTTAAGAATGGTCACGTGCCATTCTTCTCAAAGTACCATTTGTTGTATGAAATGGATCAGTGATCAGGACTCAAGAAGTAAAGTTTGTCGTAGTAGATTCCCAGAGCAAGGCTTATACCAGAAGAAGAATTTCATGGTCAGCATAAAGCTGGCATGTCAATTTCATGTACAAGAATGACTCAATTCATTCGCACACGCGCTTTGAGCCCTGAACCAAGTATTTACATTTAAGTCAAGCAGAGCAAATTCCTCACTCAGTGATTAAATCTCAATCAAAGCCGAGTAAAAATACAACAAGTAATGCGAATAGCATGAATGAACCAAATATATACAGAACCAACCGTTCCCCACGAAATCTCGTCGGTGCTACTCCAGGCCGATCGGAGTCTACAACTGCACGCCGATAGACTCCACCACGGCCCCTCGCCGCGTTCGACCGGCTAAATTCATCGGACTGCGATCGCCTGACCCCCGGGCGATTTTCTTTCCAAGACAAATCTCATGTCTGAACGGTTCTCCTTGAATAATCACATGCTGTTGCGTTGATTTCGAGTTGGTTCGCGAGCTCAACTCGCCGTTTCGATCTCGTCTTCCTTATCATATACTCTTTCCGGGGACTTGCGCCTGAATACTTCGCCCCGCAATGCCTATCCCTTCACTGCCACTTTTTGTGGCGGCGCAACAGAGTGCCAAAGATGACGCCAAGAAGATTGCAGTCATTGATGTGACAAAGAAGGAGTCGTTCACTTTTACACAACTACTGGAAGATACGGCTGCCCTGCGGAAGCACATTATTGAGATCCTAGGGTCGACGTCATCGGGCGATCTCAATGAGCAGCGAGTGGCATATCTGTGTCCTGCTGGATATGACTACGTTGCTACAAGCTGGGCTATCTGGGCTGCAGGAGGAGTGTGTGTACCACTATGTAAGAAAGGCAGCAATAACCGCCCAGAGCGGCTCATTGAATATACTAATGATAACTGACTAGGCACGTCCCACCCGATCAAGGAGCTACTCTACACCATTGGAGACTCGGATCCCTCTCTAATTATCATACATCCCGCTTTTGAGAAAGTTGCGCCGGCTCTTCGTGAAGCAGTGCCTACTGCAATTCCATTCATCGGCCTCGACCCTTTCACTCGCAACGAAAACCCATCTCTCCCGTCTTTCTCTCCGTCATTCCCACTCGACCGGAGAGCCTTGATGATCTACACAAGTGGCACAACTTCGAACCCCAAGGGATGCGTGACGACGCATGAAAACATCACATTCCAGGCTAGCTGTCTCGTCAAGGCATGGGAATATGGCCCTTCCGACCATTTAATCCACGTCCTCCCTCTACACCACGTTCACGGTATCATCAACGGCCTTACGGCCAGTCTTTTGAGTGGAGTTACGGTCGAAATGCACCCCAAGTTCGATCCGAAAGTCATATGGGAACGCTGGCAGGACTGCGGCTCTTCAACCATGTTCATGGCGGTGCCAACCATATACTCGCGCCTGAATGATTACTTTGACGCCAACCTCCGTGGAACAGAGGGCGAGAGCGCAGCACGAGCCGGTGCAAAGGCTTTACGCCTAGTCGTCAGCGGATCGGCTGCACTTCCCACCCCGATCAAAGCCAAATTCGCTGAAATCACGGGTCAAGTCTTGCTAGAACGGTATGGAATGACTGAGATTGGCATGGCTATAAGCTGTGGACTGGAAGTGGAGAAACGCATCGATGGCAGCGTTGGCTGGCCTTTGCCGGGTGTACAGGTCCGTCTGACGGAGAAGGATACTGGTCGAATCATCGATGCAGTCGACGAAGATGGAATGATCGAGATCAAGGGAAAGAACGTTTTCCAAGAATACTGGAGGAGGCCTGAAGCCACCGCTTCGGAGTTCACAGCGGATGGGTGGTTCAAGACTGGCGATTGCGCCATCCGTGATTCCACGGGTGCATACTTTATCCAAGGTCGCGCCAGCGTGGATATAATAAAATCTGGTGGCTACAAGATCTCTGCCTTGCAGGTTGAGCGTGTTATGCTTGCATTGGATCAAGTTCGAGAAGTAGCCGTGGTTGGATTGAAAGACATTGAATGGGGAGAACGAGTGGCAGCGGTGGTGAAATTCCGCGAGGTATGTTTCCATCCACCCTTGACGAATGGATTCTCATGCTAATATCCACACATTAGGGTTCCGAAATGGAGTTATCCGCTCTTCGCACGGAGCTCAAGAAGGAGTTGGCAGCTTACAAAGTGCCTTCTGTGCTAAAGACCGTTGATCATATAGAGCGTAATGCCATGGGAAAGGTAAATAAGAAGGTTCTGGTTCAAAAATACTGGCCGGACAAAGCTTGATCCTCGCATGGTAATAGAAGAGACGACTGTATCTATAGGCAGAAGAACGAAATAGAATCGATCAACATTGCCATAATAGAAGGAACAAGGCTTTTTGCCAATGACACGCAAAGGTTCAGAGTCATGAGGTAAAAGGTAGCATAGCATTCAACTGTATACCAGCGTTTGTGATTATATAACTTTATTTAGTCAACTAACGTTAACTAGTTATCTGACCACGCCTCTCCTTTGTCATTCTTGCCTCCAAATCAGGTCTGGAACACCCAGCGAGGGTCGCGGTCACCAAGGAACTCTCCTTCCGCATCCCCAACATCGCCCATCAACGGACGAAGGCCTTTCTGCTCTCTTTCCACAGCTTTCTTAGCATTCGCCCGTTTAAGAACCCACCAGGTCACCGCAACGACGATGATATTAGCCACTAGGTATCCGAGAGCAAAACCATGTCCCAAGAAGAACCGGGGGCTTGTCTCCGTCCGATACAACTGTGTTCCAAGCACTGCCCCGAGATTGCCAATGGAAATTTGAAGGGCGTTGGCGATACAACGTTTAGTCTGTCCGGAAACATTGTTCGCTGGCCATGATAGCACGATTGCAACGGCAGGATAGATTCCCGCCGCGGCGAAGATTGTGCCCACATAGCTTACTCCTGCTCGGTGTTGCGAGAGTAGAATAATGTAACCAATACAAGCTAGAGAAGAGGAGCCCATGATGAAGGGGGCTCGTCGTCGGGTTTTCTCGGAGAGAACGGCGACGCCAACAGTCATCATAGTGGCGATGGCGTAAGGTGGTACCGTCAGCAGCTGAGCTTGTGCCGCACTATAACCAAGCTCTTTGATAATGGTCGGCTGCATCAAGGTCAACTTCAGATTGCAAAATTCCAATGATGAGGCGGAAACCTACCAGGAACAAAGAAAGAGTGTAGAGTGGCAGGCTCAATGAGTGGAAGCCGAGACCATACAGCCACACCTTCGGGTCTTTGAACGCATCGAGGACTGCGGACCAGGAAAAGGTCTCATCACGAGTCGAGTCATTGTCATTCTTTAAGCGGAACTGTATGTATTCTCGCTCCTCGTTCGTCAGGAACTTGGCCGTTGTCGGATAATTGTGGACCCAGAAGTATGCAATGACCGATACAACAATGGTCAAAAGTCCTTCCTATATTAGACGAGGGTGTCAGTCAAAGATCTATTTTCCACGTAGTTGCTGCTCGGTGATCGCACATACCAAGATAAAGATCCAGCGCCATCCACTGTATCCACCGACACCATTCATGTGCGCGATACCCCATGCAAGTATACCACCAAAGGCACCCGCCAATGAGGCCGCAGAGAAGAACAGAGCAACCCGGTAATGCTGCTCATTGCGCTTATACCACATGGAAAGATAAAAGACGACACCTGGGAAAAGGCCGCTCTCGGCGACACCGAGAAAGAACCGAGAGGCGAGGAACCCAGGATAATTCTGGACCACGCCCAAGAGAGTTGCAACCACCCCCCATATCAGCGTGAGAGTCGGTAGCCAGATGCTCGGTCTAGTCAACTTCAAGACCGTATTTGCGGGCACTTCAAACAGGACATATCCGATAAAGTATAAGGTAAGGCCGGTCAAGTACTGATCACCAGCTGTATCATATCACACTTGGTCAGCTGTAGGTATGATATCGTCGCGCTGGGCCGTTACATACTCATTTTGATATCGGTCGTCATTCCTTCCAAGCGGGCATTGCCCACTGAGCACGCTAGTTAGCACCTATATTTATTCTATTGATTCCTCGACGCGGAAGGTTAAACAAACCATTGCTGCGGTCCAGAAATGACAAAAGATATAGAAGCGTCATGGGTGGAAGCAAATGAAGATCCAGCTTTCGAAGCAGCTTTTTCTCATTAACACCCGCAAATTCAGCAATACTACTAGAGGCAGGCGACGTCTCGCCATTCTCAGGCGTCACATCAGCTCCCTTCTCCTTCGTTTCGGCAGTAGACATGGCGATGTCAAAGTAACGTGAAACCCGGGGATAAGAATGTCTTATCCACAAAAGGAGCTCGAAAAGAACGGTGGCATTCTTCTGGTATTAAATGTGCAAGGCCGACAACATCATTTTTAGCTTTGACGTAGCACATCATTCGCCGCGTGCTTCGCGCGATATGCCACGCGAGAATTCACACGAAGAATACTTGATCGCTACGAGGGCCGTTCTGGCAAAGGGTGTCGAGTTACATCATGCTAAGGCACTAAGACCCGGCCGAGAGATACACGCGGGAAACGGGGCAAATAAGAATGGGAAAAAACCTCCCATTAGGATTGTCATTGGCTCGTGAAAGTGCGAACTTGATGAGCAACGAAGCGTCGTGATGACACCATCAACGGGTGGAGTCCAGAGAGGAAGGTTGATAAATGCGTTTGCTGTGGGGGATTTTGTCTAGTGGGTCGTGGTGGGTCCACAGGAAATAGAGATGGTCTGCAAACCAGACTCTTCGATAAATAATGTGAGGTTTGTTGACTTGGATATATCAGAATTCGAGTTCAGATTTAATGTCATAATCAGCCATGTCGGTAGACTCGTGTACACCTAAGGATGGTTAGCCGGCAATGACCTTCGTATTGCGACCGACGCAAAACATACTCAGCTACGATTCTAGATTTTTACTCAAATTTGAAAGATATTGTTGAAGATGAAATAGTCATTCCATTGTCGATGCCAATGCAAAGAAAGAGTGTGGCATAGAAAAGATGCTTCGATGATGAACCCCGAACCCAAAAAAGACCCAAACCCAAACCCAAAGAACGCCAAGAAACCACACACAACACACACGCCACGCAAATGACACCAAACATAGACATAACACATAACACATAACACATAACACGTCACACGTAACGTAAATCACTGATAAACCACCTATTATACAGACATACACAGCACGGGGTCATCATCGAATTCATGAAACGGAGATTGTCTAATCTATACAACTCAACGTTCTATCGAGGCAGCTGCACCTACGAAGATATCCAGACAGAACGCGCAGAAACTTTTGAAAGCAGAACAGAAAATAATGGAAGACATGTCTTGCGTGATAGAAAATCGAATGGCGCGCTTTTTGATGTTCCCGGTCTCAGAGGGGATTATAATATAAGGGCGGATGCGAAACGAGTTTAGGGAGCCAAGACCAGGGCCAGCAGCGCCATGCGGCAGTACAAGCCATATCTCATCTGTAATCGAACTGTCAGCGTGTTTTCAATAACAAGGGGGAAGGGATCGCATCGTACCTGGCGGAAGTAAGCAGCCCGCTGATCGAAATCGACCTCCTCGGCAATCTCAGCGTTGCGAGGCAGCGGGTGCAGGACAACCATGTGGCTCTTAGCGTGCTTCAGGAGAGCGTTGTCGATAATGAAGCTGTTCTTCAGACGCTCGTACTGGGCGAGGTCGGAGAAGCGCTCCTTCTGCACACGGGTGGAGTACAGAATGTCGGAGCGAGCAACGATCTCGGGGGTCAGCTCTTCGGACTCGCACACCAGCTGGCCAGAGGCCACGAGCTGTTGGCGGACCTCCTCGGGCAGAGCCAGCTCCTTGGGGGAGACAAGCTGCACACGAACGTCGTAGAACCGAAGAAGCTTGATCAGGGAGTGAACGGGACGGCCATACTTGAGATCACCAGTGAAGGTGATGGTCAAGCCGGTGACAGTGCCAAGCTCCTCGCGGATGGTGAACAAGTCCAGGAAGGCCTGGGTGGGGTGCTCGAGGGAGCCGTTGCCACCGTTGATGACAGGCACCTGGCAGAACTTGGCAGCAACCTGAGTGCTGGTGGGCTCGGGGTGGCGGAGGACCACGGCATCAGCGTAGCAGCCGAGGGTGCGGAGGGTGTCCTGGAGAGTCTCGCCCTTCTGGGTGGAAGAGTGCTCGGTGGCAATGGGAATAGTGCGACCACCCAGGCGCTGCATAGCGACATCGAAAGAGGCCGAGGTGCGAGTGGAGGGCTCGTAGAAGAGGGTAGCCAGGACACGGCCCTTGAGGATGTCAAGAACACCGTGGCGCTGAACGCCCAGGCGCATCTCCTGAGCGACAGTGAAGAGCAGGTGCAGGTCCGAGCGAGTGAACTGGTTCACGGACAGAACGTGCTTGCCGCGGAAGGTAGAGCGCGAGAGCATCTCATACAGAGGGGAGGACACCTGCGAGGACTGGGGGTACAGAGGGGGTCCAAGCTCTCCAACGACAGGGACAGCAGCATCCAGAGCGCGAGCGCGAGCGTGGCGGCTGGGGGTGGTCTGGCGGTCCAAAGCACTCTCAGGGCGGACCATAGGAGTGGTGGGCTTGTGCACAGGAGAGGAAGGGATGATTCGGTGAGAGGACATGTCGGTACCCTTGACGGCATCCTTGGAGAGTGCACCATCGAGGCAAGAAGTCTTACCCTGGAAGACAACGCGCTGGACAGAGCCACGCATCGTCTTGCCGTTGAAGGGAGACCAGGTGCCGTTGGGGCTCTGGAACAGGTAAGGGCGGTCAATCTCAATCTCAAGCGAGGAATCGGCCTGGTCGTGCAGCTCGAAGATCTTCTTGGGGCTGTCGTGGAGACGAGCAGTGATGTCCTCAACGGTCAGGCGGCCCTCGGCAACGGCGCTGAAGAGCAGGGGAAGAGACTCGGCAATACCGACCTCGGGAGAGGCCTCCTTGCCAGCAAGCTGATAGGGGATGCTGCCAATGGAGAAGACATCAATGGTGCTCAGGTGCTCCCACAAGGCCTTCTGGTCCTCAGCGGTAGGCAGAGAGTTGCAGGCAGGGAAGTCATCCTGGGACAGGAACAGGGAGAAGATGGAGACATCGCAGGTAACCATCAAGCCCTTGTCCTTGCTGAGAGCGATGAGGCTGATGTCCTCCTTGGAGGTCACGCTCATGACATGAATGTTCCGGCTGTGGAGGCTGGCCAGGAGAAGGATCGAAGCCAGATCAGTGCCCTTGGCATCGGTGATCAGAGGCTTGTTTGAGGGCCAAACTCCGAAGTGGTTGGTCACAGTAGCCACCTTATTGATGTTGCCAGACAGGTGGTTGAAGGGGATGAACAGGGAGCCAACCTCACCAGTGACCTGACCGATCTGGTCAGAGTTGTCGGCTGTGGCAGCAACGGACAGGTTGAAGTCACAGTATGACTGGTCCTTGGCGTTCTGCTCTACGATCTTCAGATCGCTGGCCTGGGTGATCGAGCCCTCGACACCGACAGGCATGACGCGGACCATGCTGAAACCAGCGGCGATAGAGGCCTTGGTGACGGTCTCAAAGTCCTTGGAACCAAGAGTGGCAAGGCCGGGGACAAAGGCAGCAATGTTAATCAGGCCGGGGAGGACAACAGTACGGTGGCTGGTCTGGAAGTCCGAGGTCTGGATGTTCAGAGGGTAGTGACGAGCGATGGCCTCGATCAGGATTTTGGCGTTCTTGACGTTGGTGACCAGAGGAGTCTGGTAGTCCACAGCCATACGACGAGTGCGGTAACCCTTGGACATGTAGTTGGCCGGGCGGCGGAAGCGGTTGCTGGACGGCAAGTTGATGTAAAGATCGATCAGGTTGTTGGACAAGTGCTGGGTCAAAGAGTACTCAGACTTGATGTCGTCCTCCTCGCCAGCCAGAAGCTCGAGGTACTTGACGGGGACACCGTTCTCCTTCAGGAAGTCGGCAGTACCGGCAGTGGCAAACAGGTTGTAGTCAAGCTGGTGCAGCTTCTGAATAGAAGGCAGCATCTCCAACTTCTCCTTGTAGGAACCAATGGAGAAGAGGATGTTGCGCTTGGGCAGACGGAAGCCAGTGGAGAGCAGAGCCTTCAGATAAGCCTCGTACTTGTCGCGACCGAAAGAGGCAACCTCACCAGTGGAGGCCATCTCAACACCCAGGACGGGATCGGCACCCGACAGACGAGAGAACGAGAACTGCGGGACCTTGACACCGACATAATCCTTGGGAACGCTGATGGGAGGATACTCCTGGAAGGGAATGTTGATCATGGCCTTGGTGGCCATCTCGATCAGGTCGACACCCATGACCTTGGACACGAAGGGGAACGAACGAGAAGCACGAACGTTGCACTCAATGACCTTGATGTCGTTGTCCTTGGCGATGAACTGGATGTTGTAAGGGCCAGTGACGTTCAGAGCATTACCAATCTTGCGAGTCGCCTCCTCAATGCGACGGACAGTCTCGGGGCTCAGATCCTGGGGAGGCAGGATGAGGGTAGCGTCACCAGAGTGAACACCGGCGTTCTCAACGTGCTCTGAGATGAAGTGGCCGACCATGACACCGTTGCGGGCGACAGCATCCATCTCGATCTCCTTGGCGTTCTCAATGTACTTGGTGATGACAACGGGGTGCTCACGAGAGACATCGGCAGCCTGGTTCAGGTAGTTGGCCAGGTCGTGCTCGGAGTAGACAGTGTTCATGGCAGCACCTGAGAGGACGTAAGAGGGACGGACCAGCACAGGGTAGCCGACCTTGTCACAGAACGAGCGGGCCTCCTCAATGCTGGTCAGCTCCTTCCAAGCGGGCTGGTCAACACCGATGCGGTCAAGCATGCGAGAGAACTTGTAACGGTTCTCAGCGCTGTCAATCATCTCGGGGGAAGTACCGAGGATGTTGACGTTCAGGCGGTGCAAGGGCAGAGCGATGTTGTTGGGGGTCTGACCACCCATGGAGATCACCACACCGGAGGAGGTCTCGAGCTGGTAAATATCCAAGACAGTCTCGAGATTGATGTTCTCGAAGTACAGGCGATCAGCCTCGTCATAATCGGTACTGACGGTCTCGGGGTTGTAGTTGACCATGATGGTCTTGTGACCCTGCTCGCGGAGAGTACGGATAGTGCGCACAGAGCACCAATCGAACTCCACAGAAGAACCGATACGGTAGACACCAGAGCCCAGAACCATGATACCGTGGTCGTCAAACTTGAGATCGTGCTCAGAGGCATTGTAAGTGAGGTAGAGATAGTTGGTCACGGCCGGGAACTCGGCAGCAACAGTATCGATCTGCTTGACAATGGGCGTGATACCGGCCTCGACACGCATGCGGCGCACAGCAAGCTCGTTGGAGCTCAGGAACTTAGCGAGCTGTCGGTCGGAGAAACCGAGCTGCTTGGCCTGGCGGATCATGTTGATGGGTACAGAGGTGGCGTTGAAGGTGGACATGGACTTGCCAAAGTCGCTCAGGCCCTTCAGACGGCTCAGGAACCACTTGTCGATGCTGGTCAGCTTCCAGATATCGTCAACGCTGTAGCCGGCAGCCATGGCGTTGGCGATGGCGAACAGACGCTGATCGGAAGGAGTCTGCAGCTCGGCCTCAATTGACATGAGGGCGTTGGTCTCGTTGAAGCCCAGGTTGTGGAAATCAACCGAGCGGATGGCCTTTTGAATAGCCTCCTCGAAGGTCCGACCAATACTCATGACCTCACCAACAGACTTCATGGAGGAGCCGAGCTGAGTAGAGACGCGAGTGAACTTCTTCAGATCCCAGCGAGGGATCTTGACCACGCAGTAATCAAGCGAGGGCTCAAAGCAGGCGCAAGTGGATTTGGTGACGGAGTTCTTGATCTCGTTCAGGGGGATACCCAGACCCAGCTTGGCGGCAATGAAGGCGAGTGGGTAACCGGTAGCCTTGGAGGCCAGGGCCGAGGAACGGGACAGACGGGCGTTGACCTCGATAATGCAGTACTCCTTGGAGAAGGGGTTCAGAGCGTACTGAATGTTGCACTCACCGACAACGCCAAGGTGGCGAATGACATTGACGGCAGTCGTCCGCAGCATGTTGTAGTCCTCGTCAGAGAGGGTCTGGGAAGGAGCAACGACAATGGAGTCACCGGTGTGAATTCCGAGGGGATCGAAGTTCTCCATGTTGCAGACGGTGATACAGTTGTCCTGAGCATCACGGACAACCTCGTACTCGATCTCCTTCCAGCCCTTCATACTGCGCTCAATGAGGACCTGGGGGCTGACTGCGAGAGCCTTGGTGCAGAGTTCCTTCAGCTCATCCATGTTGTTGGCGAAACCACTGCCAAGACCACCCAGGGCATAGGCAGCACGAACGATAACGGGGAAGCCAATGTCCTGCACGACGCGCAAGGACTCCTCAAGGGTGGAAGCGGAGGCGGACTTGGCACACTTCTCGTTAATCGAGTCCATGCTGCGAGCAAAGAGCTCACGATCCTCGGTGGTGATGATGGTGTCAATGGGGGTACCCAGAACCTTGACACCGAGAGCCTCGAACTCGTCCTTGAGCTGAATACCGACCTGAAGGGCGGTCTGGCCACCGAAGGTGACGTAGATGGCATCGGGACGCTCGTGCTTGATGACCTTGCGAACAAAGTCGGCGTTCACAGGAAGGAAGTAGACCTTGTCAGCCAGGCCCTTGGAGGTCTGGATAGTGGCAATGTTGGGGTTGATCAGGATGGTATAGATACCTTCCTCCTTGAGCGCCTTGATGGCCTGACTGCCAGAGTAATCGAACTCTCCAGCCTGGCCAATGCTCAGACCTCCACTGCCCAGAACCAGAACCTTCTTGACGTGCACCCGAGGGGCGGCCTTGATGTTGTCGGCCTTGTTACCACCGGGGAACTCGACGGGCTTGGTCAGAGCCTCGGGGGAGGCGAGAGTGTTCAAGATGGTCTTGATGAAGACATCGAACAGGTACTCGGTATCACGAGGACCGGGGGTGCTCTCGGGGTGGAACTGAACACTGAAGAAGGGGCGGGTGGTGTGACGGATACCCTCGTTGCTGCCATCGTTGGCGTTCACGAACAGCTCTTCCCAGCCGTTCTGGAGGCTGGAAGCGTCCACGGCGAAACCGTGGTTCTGCGAGGTGATGTGACACTTGCCAGAGATCATGCTGGTGCAAGGAATGTTGTGACCACGGTTACCGAACAGCATCTTGGAGGTGGTAGCGCCCACGGAGCGAGCAATCAGCTGGTGGCCGAGACAGATACCAAACACCGGCGTCCGGGCATCCTTGAGAGTCTTGGTCAAATTGTTGATGGTGGTGGTCAGGGTCGCGGGGTCACCAGGACCGTTGGAAACGAACAGACCGTCGTAGTCCTTGCCGGCCAGGGTGGGGAAATCGTAGTCCCAGGGGACCACCATGACCTCGACGCCACGAGTGAGCAGGCAGCGGAGCTGGTTGTATTTCATACCAACGTCCAAGCACAGAACCCGAACGGGGCGGCCCGAGGGGTGCTTGAGGGCAACATCGGCGGGGGGAGTGTAGAGCTTGGGCTCACGGATGGAAACTATCAAAGATCTTCCGTTAGAATCCCCAATTCCATTGTACGACAGCTTCCCTTCGGTCCCAATCTACCAAAAGAAAGGGCCTGGGTTTGGATGGTTCACTCACCCTCAGCGACAAGGTTCTTCTTGTTGGGATCCACCCACTCAGTCTGCTCGAAGTGGGACTTCCAGTCCTCGCCGAGAACACCGTCAGCGACGCCATTGACCTCACCGGCCTTCTGGAGCAGCATACGACCCAGCATGCTACCCTTTTGACGGATACGCTTGGTCAGCGCACGGGTGTCGACGCCGTGCATGGCAGGGACACCTTGCTCCTTGAGCCACTCGCCCAGGGAGGACTGGGCCAGGAAGTGCGAGAAGTCCTCGCCGGCGTAGGTTGCCACCACCAACGCAGCGACGTGGATCTGGCTCGACTCAAAATATGTGGGGAGCTTGAGCAGATCGTCAATCTGCTCCCGCGAGGGGACACCGTAGTTACCCACAAGTGGGAAGGTGATGACCAGAATCTGGCCGCGGTATGAGGGGTCGGTGATGGACTCGGGGTATCCAACCATACCCGTCTGGAAGACCAATTCACCGGCCACACTCTTCTCCGCACCAAAGTTATAACCCTGGTAGACGGTGCCGTCCTCCAGCTCGAGGGCGACAAGCCGGTCAGTGCCACCCCGGACGGGGATGGAGGCCGGGGTAATCACGGCGCCACTAGTAGCATCCATTGTGGGCAGGTCCTTCTTGTTTGTGTAGGCCACTGCACCGCCAGAGGTTGGGCTGGTAGGCAAGACTGGTTCCTCGATGGAAGCAGGCTGGGACATCGCAATTGGCGAGGAGAAAAAATGAGGGGACAAGTCCTCTCGGGGACGAATCTGAGCGAGTGCAGGTCACTCTATCACAGCATCCACCAGAAAGATCTTTTTTTTCGACAATTCTTCTTTTCTGGGGGTGGGGTTTTGGGGATTGTGGATTTTCAAGAGGATAGGAGGAGGGGAGGGGGTATAGAGAAGATAGCAGCTGCAAGAGCTGAGGAATGAAGAAGGAAGAAGAAGAATGAGTCGGATGGCAGAATAAAATTTTCGTGGCCGAAGCGGAGGGCCCACCATGGACCGCTTTCGGTGGTTGGAGGCGCTCTTCACCGCCTCAGAATTTTCCATTATGACGAAGTTCGCGTGGGCGGACGAACCGATTTGGCGAGGGGTTTGTTGAGGCGGAGAGAACCATTGAATCATCGCTTTAGCTAAAAATCGGCTTGTTCTAGTCGTTAGATGGTCTTTAACCTCAGAATTATGGACTATAGACTATAGACTTAGGATTGCTGAAATCTTATCTACCCCTCATAGCTCTGTTTTTTCCCCCTACCGATCAAATAGCCCAATTTATCGCCCTGCAGAGTGCAGGCGGTGTGGGCCGATAAGGCAGATCGTGCAGAATTCTGGTTCCCGGATTTGCACTGCATACATGTAGTAATTATGCGACAATGGGAGGACTTAAATCGCTCAGTCACACAGACGCTCGAGATACCTACGGAAATGAACAGTGCTCATACCATGATTCCCTCAAAATGACCGTATCTACAAACTCTATACGAAAGCCAGTCTCCCCCCGTCTGTGCGCTGCTCGCCAGTGAAGGCCAGCCCGATAGCCACAATCCAGAAATGCGAGGAATGTGTGGTCAGCGGAGACGTACAATGACGACAGGGTCAGCCTTCTGTGACCCTCGGGCGACGGTAGTTGCGCTTAGTGCGACTACAATACGGTACGGGACTCGCTGGACTAACCAGACAGAGTAAGACTGGCGAGGACCCGATTGCCCTCGTTGATCGGCGCGAAGCTCGACCATTGCCCGTGTGGCCGTGTGATCAATCGCGCTATCTTCGGTCGTCGCTCTTTATTTCATGCATGGCCTTCCCCAGACTAGCCAATTTTCAATTTGTCTTGGGACTTCTTTTTTTTTTTTTTCTTCTTATTTTGCATCTTGCTACAGTAGCCTTTTTCTCTTCTATCTCCCCCTCTCCCCCCACTCAAATAAACGCTAATGTTAACTGCCGCCATGCGCTAAGAGCACCTACCACCAAAGGACTCTCCATACCGAGGTCATGTCGATACCCGAACCTATCGGTCAACAACCATGCTAGCTTCTCTGCTCCGCCCAAAAGCACGGCGCCAGCAGATTGACCAGACTCCTTTTTCTTACTCGTCTCCTTTGGCACCCAGCGATAGCTCTCCATGGTTTCGAGCAGCAGGCCGCCGAGGCCCCCAACGCGCGCGACGGGACGGATACAGCGAGGATGAACACGAGCCAGAGCTTGAGGAGATTGACGAGAACATGGACCAAGATTGGGTCGGGGATGAAGATGAAGATGATGAGGATGATGAGGAAGATGGTCCACCCGAATCAACTCCGCTGCTCCCCATATTCTCTGCGTCGCATCTCGGTAGGTGTCCAACCCGCGTGTCGAGTCAAGTGGAGCCACTTGGGAATCTCAAGTCTAACGTGGATTGTATCGTCTCCTGTTCTTAGATGCCCTCCCCGTGTACAATCTCACACATGCCATCCGACCATTAATCGCCTCCCGATGTGAAACCACGTTGACCTGGGACCAGCTGCGGTCCCCTCAGGTGTCCCAGTTCCTGGTCAAGCCCATTCAGCAGAAGCTCATGTCCGCTCATTTTTCACGAGCCACACTCTATGCCCTGATGGCCAACTGCCTGCAATTCGAAAAGGAAATCCATCTCAACCTGGGAAACAGCGGTGCTAGTCAGACTCGAGCTATGGTCAGCGAACTGCTTGCGATTAAGCTGCTAAGGGAATACACAACCAGAGAATTGATTGATGCTCTATCTTACGAGTTCTACCCTCTCCAGGGTCAAGATCCGACCACGGCATGGGCGTCGGGTCCCCGAGGGAAACAATTGGCTGGGACGGGCCGCGTCTCCTGCCTCGAAGTGGCCATTCGAGCCCAGGCGAAGCGGTTCCTGGCCCATCCAGTGGTAGTGCAGCAATTGGAGGCGATCTGGGCTGGAACCATTGTCTTTCACTCTGCGGCTGATCATCTGCACCGACGGGCTCATCAAGCTGCTGTGGGTGGTGGAATGGGCTATGGAACATCGACGCATTACCAGAGCGACCAGCGACCTTCGTCGGGAAACGCGACGTTTCGTCGATCAGTGACCTTATACAACCCGCGAGACGCTTCACTGTTCAAACTCTCCCGATTGCGAGTACCGCGCTATCGCCAATTCTTGTCCACGCTTTCGTTTGCAGTGCTGTTGGGACTTTTTCTGGCAGTCCTTGAACAACGCAGTCGACAAATTACGTCTCTCGAGGTCGTCTTCTGGTTTTGGAGTGCGGGATTCATGCTCGATGAGATTGTTGGATTCAATGAGCAGGGCTTCAGTCTCTATCTGATGAGCTTCTGGAATTTATTCGATTTGGGTATTTTGCTATTGCTGGTCTGCTACTATTGCCTTCGGATCTACGGAACCTTTTTGACGTACCCGAGAAATCGTCAAGTCGCCAATCAGGCATACGACGTTCTGGCTGCTAATGCAGTGCTCCTGTTTCCTCGCCTCTTTTCAATCCTTGATCACTACCGCTATTTCTCGCAACTGCTGATTGCGTTCCGTATCATGGCTTCCGATTTAATTGCGGTCTTCGTTTTGATTGTGATTGCCTGTAGTGGCTTCTTCGTCGCCTTCCTGTCCTTTGGTTCGGACAACTCACCAAACACTGTGGCCTATGGTTTGTTCCAGATGCTGATGGGCTTCACTCCAACCGCATGGGCAATGTGGGATGAATACAACGTGCTTGGCAAGAGCATTCTCACAATCTTCCTCTTCATCTGTCACTTCGTGGTAGTCACTATTCTTATCACCGTTCTGACAAATTCGTTCATGAGAATCGTTCAGAATGCCAATCAAGAGCATCAATTCCTGTTTGCTGTCAACACAATCTCGATGGTCAAATCAGATGCTCTCTTCTCTTACGTGGCCCCGGCCAATATCATCGCCTGGCTAGTCACGCCGTTCAGGTTTCTCATGCCATTCCGCCAGTTTATTCGACTGAACCGGACGATCATCAAGATTACTCACCTCCCGGTTCTGTTCACAATTTGCTTCTACGAAAAGATGATCTTGAGCGCCCGGGTGGTCGAGCCGATGGACCTTGTTGAGCCGACCTCCCTGACAGAGAACTCTAGGCAAGCTGAACCTTGGCGACCAAGTCGGTTCCGTGCCTTCAGTAATCGAGCCCGCCTCGTGCGAGAGCCCTCCGTTGCGACATATCAGAAGGATCAGGCGCTCGAGGAGGTGTTCCGACGGCCATTCGGGGATCAGCGGTTACGCGAGCGCCCCAGCAGCATCCGGGATCGCCAGAAAAGCACCGTCATCAAAGACTGGATGCAGGAGATCGGCTCCGGCCCTGCCCATACCCCAGATGAACAAGATTCGGCTGCGGGAGATCTTCTAGAAATGCCCGTCCGACGCTTGCGGTTCCCATTCCGGAAGTCCTTGGCAGTCCATGGACGTAACTTTACGGAGACGACTCGTTCAGTGGCATCCAACCCTGAAGATCGGACTAGCCGTATGGCCAGTCCTGAATTCCACCGCCACAATCGAGGTAAAAATTCACCCAGCCGCACGCGACAGCCCTCTCATCACACCGACATGGAAGGTGATGATGAGCTGACCAGCGACGACGACCATGAGTCCCAAGACAAGCATTCCGATAAGGGCTCTGGTAGTGACGACGAAGGAAATCCGATCGGTAGCAGCGAGAAAACAACCCCGAAGTTCTACAGCTCGCGGCCATCAACGGCACGAGTAATATCTCGACGTGCTAGTCCCACGCACCGCCCAAAGCACAGCCGAACCGTGTCCGGAGCCACCATGCTGTACAATCCCATTGGGTCACCAAATCTGGGGATCGAGGGACAGTCCACGCCTCGTAGAGATGGTAACAACTCCTCAGAGGACGAGGATCGGCTGCCATTCGTATCTACATCCGTGGACCAGGGCACGATCAATCGGGCAGTCCTAGCCCGCCATCTCAGCTTGAACCGAATGTCCGTCCCAGAGGTTGACGGGCTTTACTTGTCAGATAGGCCTCTCTCCAAACGCCGCCAACGGTCGCTACTATTTGATCTCGGGTCCGACCTCGGCGACAACAAGGCGGTCGTGGGTGCCTTTGGCGGTGCTGTCCCGTCTAGCTTCAATACCCAGCTGGCATTTGCCACAGGAGGCCTCCGCCGTGATGGGCCTAGTCAAGCCCAAACCCAAGACATGCTGAGCAAGCTCGTTCTCGCTCGTATGAATAATATCGAAGAGGGCTTCCGGGAGGTGATCAAGGAAGTCAAAGATCTACGCCTCGCCGGGTCCAGCCGCAGCCGGAGCCACAGCCGTAGTCGGGCCAAGGAGATTCGACCCCTCACTCGGGATAAGAAGAAAGTTGCGGAGAAGAAGGATTCCAAAAAGCGAAGACCTAACTCTTCTGAGGAAAATCAGGTAGAAATTGAGGAGCGTGATGGACAGTCGGCCAAGGAGTCCCACCGATCAGATGATAAGCAGTAATATGAGTCACCAATGACTCAATCTTCTGCGAGCGGCTGCTGCACTTTGCAAAACCCATTGTACACTTGAAAATGAGGTGGCTTTTTGAAGGGTTTTCCTGCTTCATATATGGCGCATGGCATTTGTCTTTGTGTTTCTTCTCCAGATACCTTCGAGATTTCGGACCTGTTTATGTATACGATCCTACTACATTGTCTCTCGAATTAGTAATGTGCCGACGAGTAACTTAATCTAATCAGAAGTTCATCGATCAGGATAAAATCCCCCCGCCTGCCTTCCAAATGATGCCCCACCAACTGACAACGCCAGAGTGGGGCATCCGACTGTTCACCTGAAGACATCAAGTATAAAGGGCCTCTCGCGTACATGCATAGAGCCTGAGCGCACTGCCGCCTACTCTCCGGCCTTTCGGTTTCGGTTACATTTTGTTCCAAATCCGCTTTAAAAGTAACGGTGCTTCCGTCCGATAGAACCTCGAGCCTGCCAACAAATCATCCTGCTAGATAGGTCTTACTTTTGACATTACTTTGACATGGATGAAAGGGATGACTAGCCCACAGAATCAGTAAATCACACAACGTATATGCGATTCATAATTAATTCTCGATACCATGGCGTGGCTAGTGGGGCACTAGCCCCGTAGGCAGCGACTGTGCAGTAGTGAAGTGTTGAGCCTCAAGCCACTCAGCCTCACCCCCCTCTTTCCTTTCCCTCGCTTTTTCCTCCTCCCTTCCCTTGATTTTTGCGTCTCGAATAACTACCCTCTCTTTCATAGTCATCACTCGCCTTTTATCCATTGTGCTCCCTTCGATCATCAACTGTTACTGCATGGTTCCTTCCATCATCAGCTCTCTCACTGTCTACAGAGTCCCCTGCTCTAGGCATCTCTCTTGAGACCTAGGTGAAGTGAGACTCTTATTCCCAACTTGCCGGGTCTCTATGGCTTCGAATGACAGTTCAAGTCCCTCCCCCTCTCCGTCATCTCCTATGTCACCTTGGCATAGAACCACTTACACCCGCCTCCAAAATACTTCTACAGAGACCGACTATGGCTACTGCCGATCCACAAACACTTTTGAGAGGCTCTGTACTCCTATGAAAACAATGCTACCACTGCTGTTGCTGACCGATGGGGATACTCTGGTCTTTATCGACCCCGCTCCCCAAGACCGCTCCAAGAACAATGTCTTGACCCCGAACATTCCCCACCGGGTTCACAGCGAGAAACTCTTAGCCACAGGGTCATCATACCTCCTTCGACTCTTCAGCCCCCGATGCCAAATTCAAGTGCGAAAGCGACGAGGCTTCTCCAACGGCCTTCCCTCGGGCATCGAGTATGTGATCGATTTGACTCCTCCCACCGTGGATGAGGATGCCATTATCTTTTTGACGGAGGTGTCCTGCCCGATGGCAATTCGAACCTGGGCTTTGCGCCAGGAAGAGTGGAATCTGCCGTCTTCTTGTGTCGGAGGCGAGGACGAACTAGAAGTGTTACCCGACGTCCCGGAGACCCCAATGGGCCATCGCAACACGATATCAGCCGCCGATGATGACAGCACCGAGGCGGAGGACGAAGGTGTTTTCCTGGATGTAGGCGCGAACCCCCCGTTGCGGCCTCAGCCCCGACGACCAACTGGCACTGCTTTGCCCGTCGAGTACTCAGCAAAGCGCCATCGCGAAGGTATCGAACACATTCTGCACGTCTTGGAAGGCTTGAATGCAACACTGGATACTCCGTGCAAACTGTGGACTTTTTTTGCAGTCGCCAAACTTTTTGACGTTGCAAAGGTCCCCGCTGTGAAAGGGTATATCATGTCTTGGTTCTATCACTCCACGAACATCCGATTCATTGAGATCCACCCCGAGATCTCATATCGTGTCTCCTGTGGAATCAAAGTGAGCGCTCTCTGCGCGGACTCGTTTGTTGGATTGGTCGGAGATGAAGCAATTCTCTACATGATGCGAGAGGCACGTCTCGCGCCGCCCCAATCATGGGCACCTATTTTTGATCACAGCCGTATTGCCGACTTCTTAGATGACACCGATGTGCAGCGCATCGAATACGCGAGTAAGAGTTTCGCTGGCACAATTATCGGTGATTTCTTGTTTTTGGCTGGGGTCGACATGCCGTGGGTAGCACAGATCGTCCAATACGGAAGACTAACTCAGCATATGCAAGACTTTCCGGAGGATGAAGGTCTAGTACGTGAGCTGGAAGGTTTGCTCAAAGACTACATCCGTGAAAGGATCTACCGCGTTTTATGCTCCTCCAGAGACCCTCGTCGATCATGCAATGTACCCGCACCATCTGAGCATGACAATGACACGAGCCGGCTTGACCGACCATCGGTCGTTCGCATCATCGGCAGACCATTCTGGCGTGATCTCTTATCTCTGGATCTTGAGTCGAGCATCATTGGTCCACTCGAATCATACCATCAGTCGATTACTGATATTGGCAACGGGATAACTGCTTTTGCAGGTCACGAACTTGCTAGCATCCGTTCTGTTCCCAAATCTTCCGTTGAACAAAAAGTTCGGGAATTCAACATGAGGATAAGATCTCAAGTATCCCAGATCCTTTTCCACCCTAGCAGACGCAGCACGCTAGGTGCAAATATAAATGCAAATATAAATCATTTGTCAAACCCCTTTGCCAACATGAGTCGCCCATTCCAGGCCACTGGACCCCCCATGGCGACTGACGACAGACACAACAAGCACTTGACTATTAATTTGCGATACCCACAGCTGGTACAGCCTGCTGCAAATTCAGCCCAAAACGAGCGACTGCTAAATCTGCCTTATCGCCCACTTTGTCAACCTTCTTCCGATGAGAATCAGATCCCAGAGCGCTCGTCGGAAGAGGGGACCTCCGCGTTACAGGGTTCTGTCCCGGCAACCACCACTGCTAGATTCGACGCGCAAGAGAGGACCTTCGACCTAGATCTTTTCCTTTCTAGTGCCTACGACCGGATCATTGAGATCTCACGAACTTTGCTCTACGCACACGGTGATGCCACCGCGGCACTCGAAGCTACCGAAACTCTTTTCTCGTTAACCGACAATCAATTCCAATTTCTGCCTCTCTGGGCAGGCGGCAATGACGATGGATCAGGAGGTGTATTTATCGACCAGAACATTCCAGTAATGGAAACTGGGGGCTTCTCTGCACCGGGTCCCGCTGTGCACACTGGCAGCGTAGCTTCAACCTACACGGACAATTCACTCAGTGACATCGATCCGGATGAATCCCTATCCACTATTCAAGGTGCATCCCACCATGCCACCTACTCCCATCTCTCCGATCTCTTGTCCGTGGACTCTTCCGGAGAGATATCTCGGGCACACCACGATGGGCCAGTTCAAACACAGAGTCCTGTCGGTTCTGCGCCCTCATCCACGACTCTTTTAGACGATGTGTACGACTTTGATGTTCGGAGTGATGGTGGTAGTACTGTTGTGATGGGCTCGGGTTGTCTCTCCGACATTGATGATAATGAAGAATTCGATATTGATATGGAGCATCCCGATATCGATGATGATGATAATGATGACCACGATGATTATTTGCGTGATGGCCATGATGATGGCTTCGAGCTGGTTGATCCACTCTGATTTCAGTCTGCCCACTGCCTGAAGCTTCTATATACGGCTTTTTTTTCCGTCTTTCATGCTTAACGAGATATGACCAGCTAAAGATCAACGAAAACGAGCTGCAGGTTGCGCTGAAGCTGCCCTGTCTTCAGCCCCGTTACAGTTTTATGGGGAGCTCATTTGTGTCCGTTTTCTCTGAGATTAGCATCAATACCAGCATTATTCTTACCAGAGATACCTTTACCTTCTACGGGGTAGCTCTCAGTAGAATCATTTCAATCTCCTTTGGTAGACATGGAATAGCAATAGAGGTGTGTAGAAGCCAATGAAAAATAAGTAATATGAGACAGAAAATATTATGAGGGTAAAATGCAGGCATATCAAGGCAGGGTGATATGGTTCTAAGACGAGGGATGTCCGCTGTAACACACTCCCCGGTTATACTCCGTTGTAAACAGGGAAGGTCGGGCGCACCTGATGTGATGACTAAGCAGGTCTATGGGGCTGTGATCCAGTTCGCCGGACCAAGCTACGCAACTGCTTGACGCTTCCGCCATATCGAAGCAACGGTGACTTCCAAATCGAAATCACTCAACCTCAACACTTCTCTGCTATCGTTACCACACTACCAAGCCATCATGGCTTCCTCCTCGAAGTCCCCGAGCTCCTTGCTCTAGTGAGTCCACCTCGCGCGAAATGAGATCATCCTCGAACAGGCAATCTGACTATACTTCACCTGACAGCTCGTGCATCGCCCACCGAACTACTATCCTGGCCGAACACTCTTCCCCGGGGACCTCCTCTACCGCCGCTTCCTCCCTCGCCTCCATCATCCTCCCCAAGATCTCCCACGACAAGTCTCAGAAGTTAACCTACACCCATGAACGGCTCTTCGTCCATTACATCGCCGACTCACCCTCCGGCGGCGCAGTTGATGACCAAAGTGGCCGTGCGGAGCCCAGCTCCTACGCACCCCTAAGCTTCATCGTCGTGGCATCCGCCGAGCAAGGCCGCCGCATCCCCTTCGCATACCTCCTAGAGATGAAGCGCAAGTTCCTAACGACCTACCCACCCTCGAGCACGGATTACTCCTCACTCCCGGCCTACGGCTGCGCAGCGTTCAATACCGAGATTCGCTCCCTGCTGCATACATACAATACCACTCCGCCAGCGGACTCACTCGCCTCGGCGCGTCGTGAGATCGACAGTGTCCGTGACATTATGACTGAGAATATTGAGCGGGTCCTCGAGCGCGGAGAACGGATTGATTTATTGGTTGATAAGACGGATCGACTTGGTGGGAATGCGCATGATTTCCGTATTCGCAGCCGTGGTTTGCGACGACAGATGTGGTGGAAGAATGCCAAGTTGATGGTCCTGCTGGGATTCGTGATTATTTTCCTGCTTTACCTTTTTGTCGGAATGGGCTGTGGGCTTCCAGCCTGGGGGAAATGCGTTGGTCACTCCCGGTGAGAAAGAACACTGATGATTCCAGTTTGATTCGACAAGCTACCATGAGCTCTTTCTTTATCCCTTTATTGTCTTCCTCTTTTCGATGGATTCTTTAGCTCTGATGAGTTACGATACACGGTTGATGCCATGCGCTCGCTTTTTTTGACGTTTCTGCATTTTGAAGCTCCATTTATGTGTACATTAAGTCCATTCAGCATCCATTCTCTTCAAAATATATGCGGGTTTTTCGTATTCACAGATTCCGAGGGTTACTCTTCTAGGACGAATGAGGTCGCAATCCTGTTTGGCGGTCGATTGTCTGACACGGTCAAGGTTAGTACGTATTGGTACAGTGACGCCTATATAGGGCTCTGGGACCTTGTGACTAGGTCTTTTGTGATCTTTGTGCAACTGGAAACCTTATCACGTAGAATGGAACCGGCTTTCATGGAACCATGTCATCTCGGAAGGGTGAACAAGTGTGGTGGTTAACCTGATTTAACGGCATCTCCTCGGATATATATACTCGCAAGAGAAGATCTCGTAAATGACACGGACAGTTCTCAAACAATACAGTTTAAAGTCAAATATAAAACACGACCAATAAAGCTCGAAGAAAATATCAGAATGGTCCAGACTGATCACCAAGGTTGGAATACATTTTCATGCGGAGGACATGGTCTACTGCAGGCGGGCACATCTGCCCGTTGACACGACATCTTAATTACAAGGGCAAACACAAGATAGTTCTTAGCCAAGATGATATTGATTCTATAGATAAAAATAGATGTACCTCACTATCAAACCCGCATCTTCAAACCCGAAGGTATTCCGTGTGAGTCTGCAAGCGAGACAGAATCAGCTGATCGTTGACCAGTTGATCTGAATCTGTGTCTTTTATACGCCACTCGTTTACCTCTCCAACCATTTAGGTCCGTCGAAACGGGATTGACGAGGAGATAATTAGGCGAATGCACTGTTGGGGTATACGGGTACAATGATCACCGACCCGACAGAAACAATGCGTAACAATGAGCTCTGAGGTAAGTCAAGGCTGCTATTGTTTCAAAGAAAAAGAACATTGATCAAAAGAAAATGAAGGGAAAAGAAAGGGTTCCTCCGTATCGCATTGTGCTTGAGGAAGTGATTTGTATTGATCAATTTAGGCTTGATGCAACGGTGAGAGTTCAAAACCTTCGAGAGGTGCTAAGCAGGTCAGTTCGAAGAAAAGAAGTGAATCCCTTCAATACGATCGCAAGTCATAAGCACTGAGGTTTGACATGACAACATCATGTCATGGCCTGACCTCGGGCAAGCGGACGAAGAGGTGAAAGGAAGAGCAAGAATGTCAGGTTGTTTGGAGTGGCAGAAAATTACTGATGAATTGGACATCACATGACCAAGTGGGAGCTGTCGTGGAGACCGGAGAATGGAAATACTGTATATCCGTCAAGATTAGTCATGTATTCGTGCCAAGTCACTCACCGCCCTCCCAAAGCGCTACCCCAATTGGCCGGGTAGCGCTTTGGGGTAGCGCTTTGGGTAGGCAGAAAGGCACTAATATTGCCCATCCAAATTGCAGCTAGGCTTACTCGCAAACCACTGGTTAATTTTACCATTGGTGCACCGATATGCCTTGCTCATCTCTCTTGCGACAGGCACTTGAGGTCTCGTGATTTACAAGACGTTGATTGGTTAGTTACATTGCCCCACTGTCTCCCGACACAGGTACGCGGGTTCTGGCCGATTGCTCTCCGCTATTGTCGCGACGCGAACCTCTCGGGTCCTGCGTTGTATCTCTTACCTGGAAGCACGCTACGTTCTTCAGTCGCATCAAATATCCTAGATGGACTCAACCTCGGCAGCACCGCGGTTCTTACCCACGGTCATCCTCTAATTCCCTCTCTGCTTCTAGTGTCGCTGACCTACAACCAGCCGTCAGCTATGACAACCTAGCGGCACAGCGCGATTCCGACATGTCCAATGGGGAGAACGATTTCGACTGGCTGCAGAACTTTTTCCCGGAATGGAGAGAAGAGGAGCAGCGTCAAAGGAACCGCAACAATGGCGGCCCTGACCAGGACCATCAGCTAAACCCGTATCCCGCGTTCGCCGATGCGGCGCAAGTGGCCCAAGCTGCCTACACAGTCTATGTTCGATTCCACCATTCCCAATCACCTCAAGCGCGCACTGTGCAGATGAGTCAACGAGGACAGCCCCCTGCGCAATATCATCAGGGGATGGATCAGACGTTATCCCGTTCTCAGTTACACCGACATTCCCAGTACGAGCAACCACAGCAGCAGCAGCGACCGGAACTACTACTGCAGCAACCGTTTCAGCAACAGATTCAACAAGAACCACTGCGACAGCCTCAAAAACAGCCTAATAACCAAGCAGAGCACCCAGCTCGTCACCAGGCGGAGCAGCAAGCGCTGCAGCAATCTCAGATATATGAACCGTATCGGACGCAACACCAGCCTCTGCTCCAGCCGCCCCAAAATAACGGAGACCAGCTCCAACAATACTATCGAGAGGCACAGCATCAACATCAAACGCAGGTCCAGTCCAGTTCTCGCCCTCACCAGCACCGTACACAGCCGCCACCGCAGCAATATATGCGACCATTTGATGTTAACCCGTCTGCGTCATATTATCACCGGTCTTCCACTTCTCTAGCCCCTACGCGCTCCCCAGTGCAACAATCGGCTTCTGGACCATCCCGTACAGTATTGCAGAGTCCAGTTGTGGCCCACTCGGGACTAAATACTGGGGAATCTTCACGGAACAGTACGCCGATGAACTCGCAACAACAAGAGCCCAAACCACGGCCTAAAGCACACCCTCTGGCACCTGGCCAGTCTCAGGCATCATCGAAGCAACTGGAAGTCTTGAATTCGGGATACTCCCTTGAAGATGCAGCGCTTCTTAAGCCAACGAAAGCGCCAGCGGTCTCACATTCACAACCTTCGCCCAAACCGGTAACCAGCACCGGCGGTCTAGCTTCAGTATCTGTTCCTACACCTGCATCTATGCCTATGTCTGCACCTACACAAGCTCGTACCTCAGGCTCGCCTCCAGTGGTGAAATTCACTCCTGCAGCAGTAGCTACTGATCGGTCGTCCACCGGAGCTTCGACAACACCCACTAGCTCTGGGAGTCCACCCGTGCATGCCTTGAACTACGCAATACCGCCGGCGCTCAGGGTTTATGCAACACCACAGATGCATAGAGCCTATACACCACCGCAGCCGGTCAAGGAACCTGCTTTTTCTCAACTTCCTGCTCAGATACCTCGCAGCACCTCTGCCCCTTCAGTGCCGCCAATTACCTCGAAGCCCACCGCTCCTGTCCCGCAACCACCCAAGCCTGCTGTGCCTCCTCAAGCAACTGCCCAGATAGACAACTTTACACCCTTCGTGCCAGCATCTACTCCAACTGTCTCCGCATCTTCCACAAATGGGGGGAATTCACCATTGTCTTCCCAAGCTAGATTAGCGGGAGACGAGAGAAAGCGAGGCAGCCCCCGACTATACCCTAACATCGTGGGCCCAGTCAATCAATCGGCTGGATTTGGGAAATTGGTTGACAGATGGAGAATGCACTCGCATCCAAGCCCTTCTTCGAATGGGAGCCCCCATCAGTATCAGCCAGGACTTTCTGGCCTCCCAAATTTTCAAAACATTGCCCCCGCCCCTGCTACTGGTCTTGCCCCCGCTCCGCCGCCAGCCTGGAGGTCTCCTTCGAATGCTGCTTATCCAACATCGGGTCCTACGCCCCGCCGAAAGAAAGCACTTGTGCCTACTTCAGATCGATTCGCTATGGTCCCCCGAGCATCACTCTCACAAACACAGGCACCTACCGGGGCATCGGGCTATAATCCTCCGTCAAATATAGCCCCGATTACGGCAAGGCCCGCAGACCAGAATTCTCCTAGATCTCTCCAGCCCCCTCCTGCTTCGCAGCCACCAGCTGCTAAAATACGGAAGCTGGATGATGGCTCCCGACAGGCCGTCACACCATCCAAGACCTTGGACTTAGCTCGGTACGCTCGACAATCTCCAAGTCGAAAACACATCGCGTACCGCTCCGACATTGTTGAACAGGTGAAGATCTCGGATGTTCTGGTCAAAACGGCATATGATCCGGCCACCATCGCTCGGGATATCTTGATCGTTGCGGATAAGCATCCGACAGAGAAGGGCTTGAACCACCATTTGCAAATCCTTCGACCCAATTTCCGGGCTGTCGACTACACATCAGATCTGGCCACTTTTCGGTGGGAGCTGGTGGACCCTTATGTGCACTACCCGCCAGGAGTTGAAGAGGCAATCGCCAGGGCTCAACAGATGTCGACAACTTCGGCCTCAGGGCTTGTGCCAACTGCTCGACCGCCAAACCTTCCCTTGAACTATACCGGTTCTGCTAGTCCAGACGAGCCCCACCTGTCTGCACGTGATGCCCCCACAGCCCCGCTGGCGCGTCCCGCAGAAAGTCGCTCTGTCAACAGCACCAGCACGGGCAACATCAGGACAGCTGCGACCGGCGCAGGCACAAGTAGCTACATCCAAAAAAGCTCAGATCCGAGTGGTCCAGGCCTTATCAATTCTGCTCTAATCAATTCTGCTCTAACCAGTTCTGGCAAGACTGGTGCGGAAGTGACCAGGACGGGCGCAATAAGTACCAACGTCGCCCCGAGCTACCATGCACATCCCCCCAGACTTACATCCCCAGCCCCCCCTACTTCTTCTCAGAAGGCAACCCCCATACCGCCCTCAGCAGTGCGCTTGAACTCATTTGGAGCTTTGCCTTTCAAAGCTCCCTCCCCTCTCCGTCCCACGGCTCAACCGCTACCTCCTTCCATTTCAGTTGCATCTCAACCTTCAGTCTCGACTCCAGTCTCGACTCCATTCCCAGCTCCACCACCTCAGTCTTCACCCAGAAAGCCCGTGAAATCAGCGACGGTACCGTTGTCCTCGTCACAATCTGCTGCTGTCGCTCGCTCTCCATCAAAAACACCCAAGACTCCCTCCCAATCTCCTCGTGGCAAGGATCCCCGGCAATCATCCTTGCCAAAAGATCTTCCTGAACCTCAAGTCGTTATTTCAATTTCACCAGGAGCAATGGCAGCCCTCAAGAAGAAGCCCGCCCGTCCATACCAGACGGATGTCCAGGTGGAGGTGGCCATTGACAACCGGCCAACCCCTGAATATCAAGTCTTCCAATGCAAGTGGACGGGGTGCAAGGCAGAGCTCCACAACTTGCAAGCGATCCAGACACACATTGTGGGTGTTCATATCCCTCACCACATCGTCTGCGGCTGGGGTGATTGCACCGATGAGAAGCCCCGTCCCGCTTCCGAAATGTGGGAGCACGTCCAAGTGAATCATATTCAGCCCCTGGCCTGGCAACTCGGAGATGGCCCTTCGGTCTCGGTAACTGGTGAGGATCACCACCTGCTTGCATCTGCTTCTGTGACTTGAGATGACTACCTTTTGGTCAATCTTCCGAGACGTGACACATGTCTGATGGTACTGGATTATAGCGGCCGATGGCTATGAATTACCTAAGATGTTCAGCCAGGAACGAAACGATACGATGACTCTCCCGGCGGATCGTGATTCGGTCAAGATCTTCAGTCGCATTCACGGCACGCAGACGAGCAAGCAAAAGGCTCAGCTGATGGAGGAAGCTGGGCGTCAGTGGAAGGAAGGTGCTGGCCCGGATACGGATGTCAGCGATCGACCTCTTTCCACACCAACCCGATTGTTGGCCAGCAGCCACACCGAGACGGCGTACACTATGTCCGACATACAAGTGGTGATTTGACTGGTCCGCACAGGCTGGATTGCTGATACCTGCTGCTCTAACGTAGGCATTTTGTTTCCCTGGAGAAAAGGCTTTCTGGAAAAGTCAAGCGGACTTTATACCACGCGGCCGCCTGGATTACTCGGACACAATACATGAGTCAACGAAACAAACACATTAATGAGATCAACCATTTGAAGTAGTCGCAATGCCTAAAACAACGTAAAGAGAGAAGTGAAAGCCAATTGGTATTTTGCCAGAAAATCATCAACCGGCACTCGCGCTGCTGGTATTATACATGCATGGATTGGACTCGATAAGGTGGGTGGTAATCCTGCATCTGCAATCCGTATTTCTCCCCAATGACCTAGGAGGGATTCCTGTCCACCCCATCTTTAAAGAATCATAGCGCATTCCCCGTGGGTGGCGAGGCCGTGGTTGTACTCTCTGAAGCTGCAGTCGACGTGGCCTTGGCTGTGGCGCGGGCGGGCTTCGCGGAGTTGCCTTCGGCCGGCTCCTTATCGTCGCGGGCATTGACATCGAGGAAATGGTACAGAACGATCATCATCATGGCGCACGAGCCTAGGAAGATGGCTAAACGGTAGAGGTCGCCGTCGGAGATCATTGCGGAGACGGAGCAAGATGAATCACGAGATTAAGTGTAGAGAGAAGTAGGTCGGAGCCGAGGAACGTGTTCAATCGCGTTGGCGATTTAGGTTGAGGTGGCCGGAAGCAGCGCGAGGGTCGAGTGGATGTTGGGTGAGAATTGGAGAAACGGGTCAATTGCCCTGGTAGGATTGGGAGAGTCTGGACCAGAGGATATTTGAATGAAAGGGATTGAGATAACAATCGTACCCGAGAGCGAGAGAGGAATAGTCGAGAAGAGGACGTGTCATCGGTTTTAGCGTTAGCAACGGGGAACATCCCTGCTCAAACTGGCCAGTTGCCGGTTCCCCTCGCTTGTTCTGGACTGCTCTTCCTCTCTTTCTCGCTCCCCACCTTCCCCCATTTTGTTTTCTCTCCGACCTTCTATGATCAGGTCACATCTATAATAATTATAATTTCCGGGTCTTTCTCTGACAACCTGATCCTACTACTCCTTTTCATTCCATTCCTCTCCCCATGCGCCTCTCTTCATCATGAACGACCCGCAGGCCCCGACTATTGTTCCCGGGTCCGCGAAGCCCGCCGGCCCGTCGCTACTTGCCTGTCTGCTCTGTCGCCACAAACACCTCAAATGCGATGGCAAGACACCCATCTGTGGCCGCTGTCTGTTGACTGGCTCGGAATGTCAATATACCAAATCGCGACGGGGATACAAGGGTCCCTCTAAGAAGCGTCGCGCCGAGCCATACTCTCCCGACCAACTTGTCACGGATCCCGGCCCCGGCATGGTCGAAGTCCCCCTCGACTGGTCTCTCCAAGGGAGCTTCAATTATGCGCCACACACCGTGCCATTGCCCTCGTCCGGATCGGCCAGTCCATCATTCAATGGCATGTCGAACATCCCGGCAACGACCATGACATCAACCCCAACTACAGCCACGACGACGCCTCCCGCTCGCACGATCACAGGTCCACTGACCCCGGAATCTGCTTCCTCGGTCGGCAGCGACGGGTACCTCCTCGACATTTATTATACCTACTTCCACTCGGCTCACCCCATTCTCCCGCCGCTGCGCCTACTGTATCGTGGCGTCCAGTTCCCCGCCTATTTGGAACAAGTAATGAAGTTCATCGCCGCACACTTTACCCCCGCCGCTTCGCCAGAAACCTACCGACCGACCGTTGTTACAAGTGTACGGGACCAGCTGCCTTCCGTTGAAAAGGTGCAGGCATGGCTTCTATTGGCGATCGTGCTGCACTCGCGTAATGAGCGTGGAGAGGCCAAGGAATGTCTAGACGCCGCGGTCGACCTGGCATTTGAGCTCGGCCTGAATCAGGCCGCTTTTGCCGAAATTGCAAGTAACGGGGACCCAATCCGGGCAGAGTGCCTGCGCCGCACCTGGTGGGAGCTGTTCGTCGTCGAGGGTCTATTGACTGCCCTTGGCGTACAGCAGGTGTATCGTACGAACTTGGTGCCACTCGAGGTGCCCCTCCCGTGTGAGGAGCGCATCTACCAGGATGGCCTGACCCCGCCACCTTCGCCGACCATCGCACAGTTTGATGAACGTGTATTTGCCGATGACGAGCGCGATTTCTCATCCTATTCGTACCGAATTGAAGCTGTGCGGATTCTCGGTCGTGTGGTGGCGACCCAGGAGATGGTGGAAGGTCAGCAGGACCACGTGGAGGCTATCGATGCACGCATTGCGAGTTGGTTCCTTCACTTGCCCGAGTCCAAGTCCGAGCTGATGCGACCCGATGGATCGGTGGATGAGATCATGTTCCAGGCGACTATGATTGTGAATGGAGCTTCCATTTATCTGAATTTCCCTCGGTCGGATCTTTTGTCTTCTCCCGCGGTCGCGTCAGAGGTGATTTGTGGCCACCATGGCCCGATCAGCGTCCCTGCCTTTTCCCATCATGCTCATGCCATGAAGGCAGTCAAGGCAGCCAGCGAGTTATCCGCTTTGGCGGCTATCCGTCTCCCCGTCGAACGACACACCCCATTCTTCATCTGCGCTCTCACACTGAGCTCCATGGTCCAATTGGCAGCCTGCTCGGTCAAGGCAGGCCAGATGCCTGATCCCAGTCGTGATCGTATTGGTCTCACCATCGGCGTTTTCAAGACGCTGGCTCGTACCTGGGCCATTTCCCAATCAATTATGCGTCAGATCAAGGCCGTAGCCCGTGACGTACTGGATATGGGTGTGCGCCCGAGCATTGACTCACTTGATCTTACCTCGATTTTGGATGTCAATGATCGGTTCTGGATTCAGGATGGACCCAGCTGAATTTGACATGGGCGCGGCACGATCAATCTACATGGGGATTACTCCGAGACTCGTATATGTTCCACATGGTCAGCATGAATGCTGATCGGAGGGTCATGGGTCGGAAGCACTCTACTCTGTAGCCAGGGTGAACATTTCGATCTTGGGCACCCTAGCGGGACCAGTTGCCATGGCTCTTCATTGCTAGAGGGACCAAGCAAATCACTACTGTGACTGCAGTAGTTCGCTGACATGGCACCTTGTCACCCCATCGGAGTGTTTCCGGCCATGTCAACCTTTTGAGACGCACCCTGGCATAGCCAATGCACTTTCGCCATTGGGGACGGAAGACCAGTGGTCACTCTACTATTATTCTCGCGTTACGGGTGAAATCCAAGAAGCCATTGATGGTAGAACTTGTTTGCCTATGGTGCTAGATCATGGCCTATAGCGGCAAGACATCCGAGAGATAATATGACCTCTCTTCCGGCTTTTATCCGTCCTTCAATTGTCTATATACTCGTTCCAAAGCCTAGGGGCTGCCGGATCAGGGTCTCTGGAGTAATCCCTCGCTCAAGAATGAGTTTTCGAATGTCCTCACAAGGAGATTTAAGAGCATACTTGAAAGAGATTTCCTCCGATCGCGAAAATGTATACCCCTCACCACGCTCAACAACCGGCGAAAATCAGCGGGCTTCTCGAGAGTGACGGCAGTGAATAAAGCCCTACTGGTGGTTTCAGCACTAGCTCCGAATGAAAGGATCAACTTGGTGAGAAGATAGCTCTCGTGCTGCTTTATGACTTTCTGAAGTCGAAGTTCTAAAATTGACGTCTAGCCATGAAATCTTCAAAGTGAGGGTGACCTCATCGTATCTTGACTTGCATCTAATTCCTGAAGTAGCTTAATAACTCTAGGATGGGGCAGAAGCCACTGCATCGTATAGAGGAGTAGAGCTATTGAACTTCAGATTAGCAAGAAATCAAATTAGCACCCATCGTCCTATAAGATATTCGATTTGATATTTATCTCGCGTTGAAATTGACATCAGCGCCAAGCTTTATAATATGTTTGACGGGACTCTGGTCGCCTCTTCCTGCTACATAGGAAAGCATCCACTGAATTGCAGATTGAATGGTCAACTTGGGATGAAAGTCGGGGTACCTGTGTAGTTTCGCCACTAGATAATCCTCGATACCATATCTGTTCAGAGATAGCTAATATAATCCAAGCGAGATAAGCATTCGAGCCCGATCTAGATATCCATTACGAGCCGCTGAAGCAGGAGGGCTCCGACCCGTGGCGTGCTTGAGGTTTACCCACGACAGAACTTCATGGAGATCTTGTTGATATGAGTAGCGATAGCCCTAAAATGATGGAAGGTAATTTAAAGCACGGTTCATAAGGGAAAGCAACTGAAGCATCTCTGGTGGACAGTTTCTCAGGTCGATACTTTGTACTGCTGCTATGTCCCCTATGCGCAGTAACACGTGCCACTGTCAAAATTGTCCGAAGAAAGACATGATCTCTTGTGATCGGACCATCCATATGTACAACCCATAAACCAGGGCCTCGACACGAGGATAGTAAGAAGGTGATGATCCACTCTCGGCCATCTCGCCGAGCCCTGACCGTTCGCGGTTCGGGGCCTCCCGCGAACTATGAACTTGCCAGAGAATGCTATCAACCATTATATAGTATCGCGGAGATATTTCACTGTCTCGCAGGACAAATTCTCTAATTCCGGATACTTTCTCTTCGATAACCGGAAAAAATTATACAATCCTCTCCCAGATATACACGCACATACCAATGACATCGCCTGCCATAATCTCGGAGATCATCCGCACATCTAGAACAGTGGACCCAGCCTGCATCAATTGCCGATCGTCAAGCTGCTAGAAAACGAAAAAAACTCTTTGCAAAAACCAGGATTCTCCTCGGAATCAAGATTTCCCCTCCTCACACCTGCCACGATGCAGTCTATACGAGATGGCCCGATCGGAGTCAAACAGACTGACGGAGCCATCATCAACCCCATTGCAACGCCAGAGGGTATAGAGACCCCCAGTGGAACAAATACACCACGAAATGAACTGGAATCATGCTTCCAGATCGTCACCTGGACCGGCCCCGACGACCCTGAAAACCCACAAAACTGGCCGCTACGAACAAAGCTCCTACGATCCTCAGCCCCGCTAACCGTGATCTTCGCCATCGCATTCGCATCCAGCGTCTTCGGCGCCGCAGCAGACGTCACAGCAGCCGAGTACGGGGTCTCCCAAGAAGTAATGTCTCTCGGAGTAGCCCTGTTCATCGCCGGGTTCGCAACGGGCCCGCTAGTCTTCGCACCAATGGCCGAAGTAGTCGGCAACGCCCCCGTCCTGGCCGTTGCACTCGCAGGTTGCGCACTCTTTCAAATCCCGCTGGCCCTCGCGCAGGGCGTCGTCACGATCCTGGTCTGCCGGTTTCTCGCTGGGATGTTGGGGAGTGGAGGGCTTGCTGTGGGCTCGGGGATTCTGGCTGATATCTATGGGCCGATTACCCGTGGTGTCGCGGTGGGTATGTCCGCGTCGATTATGAATCTGGGCTCTATCATTGCTCCCATCGCGGGTGCCTATATCGTCGAGCGATACGGTTGGCGATGGACGGCGTGGGTAACTTTGATGATCTGCGGCGTTGTGGGTATCCACGCTGCGGTGTTACTGCGCGAGTCATCTCACAATCGCATCCTCATGAGACGCGCAGCTAGACTCCGCCGTGAAACGGGGAACGTGAACCTCCGGGCTCGTGCTGAGATGGCCTCTCTAGACCCGCAGGTACTTCTTCGCAAGTACGGCACCAAACCGGTGCGAATGTTCATCCAAGAGCCCATCCTGATAGTCATGACGATATACCTGACTCTCGTCTATGGAACACTCTACCTGTCATACCAGTTATTCCCCAAGGCCTTTCAAAATCACGGCTGGAGTAAGCCTACGGCAACCCTACCGTTTCTATCCGTTGGCTTGGGCGTGTTGTCCGCACTTGGACTCTTCTCGTTATTCACAATGACCTGGTACAAGTCACGATGGCTAGATTCGCAAAAGGCCAAGACGGAAGAAGAAGGGAAATCTTCTTCTTCCCAAATCAAAATCACCCCAGAACACAGACTACCCCCCATGATCTTGGGTGCAGTGATACTCCCACCGGCACTCCTCTGGTTCGGCTGGTCAGGAAACGTCCATTGGGCATCGCAGCTCGTCGCATGTTTCTTCATCGGGATGGCATTGCAAGTGATTTTCATCAGTGGAATTGTTTACATTGTCGATACCTATCTGCTGAACACCGTCTCGGCTATATCGATTCACGTCATGGTTCGCTCGTTGGTCTCTGCTATATTTCCGATCGTCGAAGGGCCGATGTATGAGAAGTTGCATATTAATTGGTCGGCAACGTTGCTCGCCGGCTTGTCGGCGGTGATTATGGTTTCACCGATTGTTTTTATGATATATGGATCTCGGATTCGAAGCTGGAGTCGATTTTCCGTGGGAGGTGACCAAAATTAGTGAGTAGGATCGACATACAGCTAAAGTAGCGGAGAGACAAACCCACTAATCGAATAGATGAAACGAACACTAAAGTATTATTTTATGACCTCTCGTTTTAATGCAACTCTTATGACAATCAATTGAACAAATTGAACCCATGTAGAAGTAGTCGGGGGTATCTTGGATGCAGATTTTGGTAGAAAAAAAAGGAGCGCACCGACTGATCAGGGCCGTATGAAAGGGAAACCCGCAAAGATAGCTAGGAGCAGCGCCGAGGAATGGGGAAAAGTGGGATATCATTGGGGAAAAAAGAATAACCAAACTCCTTATCCAATGCTCGCAATCGTATCGACGTCATCTCACAGGCTCTAGATGGGAACAGAAAAGAAGGGAAACAGGGAATGAGGCTGATACTCCCACAGATGAAAATGATTGGAAAAAATAAAAAGATCGATGTGGACCTAGGACTGGCAACCACTATACTCACGCAATCTCCTGCAATGCGATAGCTCGGCGAGCGACGACGTCTTCGCGACGGACCATGTTACGTAGTGCCTCGCTGGCTTGGATCAAGCCGTCGATACTGATAGCGTGGTTGGTCATTTGGTGATTGATGTACGTGTACAATGCAGCCGGAGTGGTACACGTGGTGAGCAGCTGTGGCTCATTGAGTTTGAGGAGTGCCAGGGCGACTTGGAAGAGGAACGTGCTTCCTCCTCCACTGCCAGAAGCAAGCTCTTCGGTGGGTAGGGTGGCCTTATCTGTGCCGTCCTTGACACTCGAAGCAGATGAATTGGTCGCTGGTGCAGGTCCAGCGGAGACGGTACTTGCACTGGTAACGTTGAGACATAAGACCACGTCCCATACGCGATACAATGCTTCCGCAGAGAGACAGTCGGTGAAGATAGAAAGGAACCACTGGAAGGTGAGGGCTTCCAACTCAATGCCCAAGTCTTCCAGATGCGCTGACAACTTGGGCAGAAGTTCGGAAATGTATTGTCGAAGGACAACCTGATCCGCGCGGGACGCAAGAAGTCCATGGTCATAGTAATGATGGGGCAAGATGATCTCGATCATTGAAGTCAAAATCCAGAATGCATCTTCGGCTGTCGGCATGATAAGTAGTAGCGAAGCTGCGATTAGATTCATGCCCTGGCAATATCCAACCTCGGGATTGCGGCGTGAATATGCTAGGAGGACCTCCTTCAGCTTGCCCACACCGGGACCCTTGCGGAAGAAGACATTATCCGTAAGAGTGCGCCGTATGTCCATATCAATCTGGGCGATGACCGACGGGTCTGGCTCGGTGCCGCCAATTCCTCGCGAAAGATCTTCATAGTATCCGGGAATCCGCATGGCAGACGCACCGCTACACTCGGACCAAACCTTGGCACGTAGAGCAACGGGAATACCACCGAGAACTAACAGGCGGAACTCTCGCCATTTGGCACGACCAACCTTGCCTTTGTTGCCAAGTCCAGCGATACCAATGACCTCACCGTCTGCGAGAGATGCTTCCGGCGTGTCAACAACAGTCACGGATCGATCGGCAGCGGCGGCGGCAGCGGCAGCTTCGCCTTCCTTTCTGCGTTCGGCACGAACCTTGCGGAGGAACTCGTTCCATCTCACCGTCCGGTCACGCTGCAATGAATCATGGAGATCGGTGAGTTGCTCAAGAAGTAGCTTCACCGGCTCGGTTTCAGCAGCGCTAATCCCGGCGGATGCTGCAATGTCCGACTCTTCAGAGGTGGTTCCGGCAAATTCAGGACGATCCGCCGTTACAGCTGAAAAAGATGCAGAGGGTTGTGCGCTGGAACCAACAGATACAGCGCCGCCTTTGTCCACCGAAACCGACGAGTTTTGCGGACGGTTCTCTCCCGCAGTTGTCAAGGAAATGATAGGACCAGCGGAGGGTGTATGAGATAGAAGCTCTGTCGGGCGAGATGGCTTTCTCAAATAATCCTGCCAGCGACGCATTCCAACACCTCCATTTTCAGGATCATCATCAGGGGAGCCCGGACCAGAGCCGGGCGTGTCAACGGTTTGCTGAGGAGTGGGACTTGCTTGAGCGTCATCCTCAACATCAGAGTCTGCGCGGTGATTGCCAAGGGTCTCGGCGATGCTTAATCGTGACTTATGGCCCTTGACAGCATTGGCTTCTCTCTGACGCTTCTTTCGTCGCTGATCATAGATGAAGCCAAATCGATCAGTCAGGAATTCGCCCGGTTGAGAGTTATTGTAAATGGGAGTCAAAGTTGGAGGGCGAGACTCCAAGGGTAAAATAGCATCCATTTCGACGGGTCCAAGATTGGTCGAGCTTCGGTCGGTATTTTCAACGGTTGCACCTTGTGGAACGATACTAGCAGGGTTTCTTCGCTGCGGATTGATCTTGACCGTCCCACTTCCACTAGCAGTGCGTCCACCGGAAGTAGCCACGTTGGAATTGCTATTGATTCTCTTTAGTGCAGCAACCGCAGACAATCCACTCTTGGAAACAGCCGCTCCGGAGAGAGTAGACCCAGCTGATTTGTCTTTGTCTTGATTGTCTGATGCCGCTCTGTTGCGGCTGGTCTCGGAATCACTAGCAGCGTCTTTTGCTTGCGCATTGCCAGCGAACAACTTGACTGTCCATGAACCGAGTGAGCGTGAAGATTTGCGCGAGTGAACACTTGCATCGTCGGCGGCAGTAGACCCACTAGCGAGTCTCCTATTCAGAATCTCGCTTACCGCAGCACCAGGGGGCTGGAATAGCTGGTCATCGAGGGCTTTTCGCCGCACCGAGGGGTTGCTGGGCACGCGAACACGCTCTGCAGAGTCTTCTTCTTCGACCTCGTGCATGTCACTCATGATACTGCTAGCGCGACTAGTCTTTCGACTGGCATTGGTCGAGCCAAACAAGTATTCCTGCCAGCCACGAAGCGAACCTTGCCGTCTCCGGGTGTTGCTAGACTCGGTACTCGGTGCGCCGTCGCTCCGATTCTCATTCTCTGAACGCTGGGCAGCCCGAATGGTGGCATGTAGATCGGGTGAGACATCCCGATCCGCGTCATTTTGGGATCCCACAGTGTCCGTCATGGCCTGAGACATAAGACCATTCAGACCACCATGTTCACCACTGGCACTGCTCTCTCCATCAGAGTTGCGGTCATCCGTAGGGTTTTCAAGCTGGTAAAGACGGCGTTCAATATCCTGATTCGACACTGACACTTCTCGCAACATCCTCTTCAATTCCCTCTCCCTAGCATCAGCGCGCTGCCGCAGGGACGAAATCTCCGCGTCCCGTTGGGCCAGATCCCGCGCAAATTGCCGCACAATCTTGACAGCTCCGGTGGTTGCGATCAACCGCTCGATATGCCCATCATCTGCCAAGTGCAACGCTCCGGGAATATCGCGTGGAGGGACCGAGTCGGCGAATAGAGCACCTCTTCCTGACGTCTGTGACAATCCGCTCGTCAAACTTGCAAGAGTAGCCTTGCGCCCGCGTCCAGTCTCACTTGCGCTATCTCCGCCCTCATTGCCCGTCATCATTGTATTCGTCAACCCTCGGGTCAATGTCGGGGAGCGATCCGGCGGCGAAAGGGAAGGAAACGATGTGAGGTCGGTAGTCGCATTTGAAGAAGCCGAGTGGCGCTTTTGTGTCTTGTGTCGAAGTGTCCTAGCTTTCTGGCTCCTGCCCGATGCAGATGAAGCTTGAGAGGAGGACCGCCGTTGGGGGTGAATATCGGGCTCCGCCATGACTCAACGACTGGTGGATGGCATAGACGTCGAAATGAGTAATTGCGGACTTCATGAATGCTTTCTGAGATTCATCGGACGAGAATGGGAAGGCTTGAGCAAATGTGGAAATGGACAGTTCTCTCTCAGGAACGGCTGTTTTCTCAATTGCTTCTTCCGAGCCTTTTTTTTTTTGGTCGTGTTGCGCGCCCTTGGCGATCCTAGGCGATCCAGGGTGGATTTGTGGAATGAAGGGAGATCAACCACAGTGTGAATTCAAGGACGGCAGGGGAATCGACCAGGGAGGCATAAGGGCAGAGAACAAACACGACACTCGTAAAGTGGTACTCTATATAGACTCTAGCGGCCAGATGCGAAGCTCTTCTGCCCAAAACAAGCACTGGCACATGACGTGATGGATATCACGTGGATCGGATCATGTAGTCACGTGAGACACTAGGTTCTCCAGAGATAGAAACAAGTCCACGTGACCTGGGCCTCGGCTCTCCGCATAACCGAGTGGGGAAGAAGTGAAGCGCGGTAGAGTCGGTAGAGTCGGTAGAGCTCCTTTCTATTTATTTGCATCGTCCCCGGCTTGTTCCAACATTGCCTATCTAAGCTTACTTTAGTAACAATCAGGCGGGGATTATAACTTCTCTCTTCTTTCTTTTTTTAATTTTCTACGACCATCATGTCCTCCGCAGCAGCTCGGCAACGTCTCCAGGCCCTCAGCAAGCAGCTGGTCGAGGGTATTCCCGACGAGGGCAGCTTTGAGGGAATCCCTAAGATTCGCCATGTTGCCTCAGACTCGGCTGGGCCGTAAGTCAAGCCCTTTGTCTAATGTTTTTAACAAACAAAAACTTCCAATGGAAGTCAATGAATAGCATATCAGAGGCTGATACATCTACAGTCGGACAAAGGACAAGGTCGTAATTGTGACCGGTAAGCTCCATCGGCCAGATATCCGATTTCCCAAGCTAACAAGCCCTAGGAGCAAACTCACCTAATGGTATCGGCCGCGCAAGTGCCCACCAATTTGCAAACAACGGCGCCAAAGCCGTCTACATCTGCGATTATAATGACTCTCATCTCGCCACGCATAAGCGGGAGATTGAGTCTCTCTACCCCGGCGTAGATGTCCATGTCCGGCAATTCGATGCCGGCGAAGAAAAGGCCGTTGTCGCGGTCATTGATGATGCGATTGCCAAGTATGGCCGTCTAGATATTTTCTTTGCCAATGCAGGCATCGTCGGTCAACCCAAGATCTTTACTGAGATTGATGGTGATGGCTTCATGAACACAATGCGGACGAATGCCCTCGGGTAAGATTCTCTCACTCGGTACATTCTGGGGTGATCTCATGCTGAATGTTCCTACAATAGTGTCTTCCTAGCCGCAAAGCACGCTGCCCCGGCTATGAAAGTTACTTCCGAGGCCAAGCCATACCCCAGCGGCTCCATCATCTGCACTGCTTCGGTGGCAGGTCTCCGCTCTAACGCGGGTTCAACGGATTACTCTGCCTCCAAGGCGGCAGTTGTCTCTATCGCCCAGACAGTCTCTTATCAGCTGGCCGGCTCGGGTATCCGCATCAACGCTATCTGCCCCGGTCTCATCGAGACGGGCATGACGCAGGCGGTCTTTGACCATGCCCGTAAGCGTGGCACCGAGCGCAAGATCGGCCAGCTGAACCCGTTGCAGCGCGGGGCCGTTGCTGATGAGGTTGCCCGCGTGGCATTGTTCTTGGGTAGTGATGAGAGCAGCTATGTCAATGGTCAGGCGTGGGCTGTTTGCGGTGGTTTAAGTGCTGGCCACCCCGTTGTTCCTGGAAAGCTGGCCTGATCTTATCTCATGATGAAAAGCCAAGCCTGTCTATAGTTTCAAATGGCGATTTTCGTGTCACCAACAATTGCCTCGACTGTAAAAAAGCAAGTTCTAGCAAACATCTTAAAAATTACGAGTCACGCCATAGTAGAACAATTAACAGAATCCATTTTTAAATACAGCAGGTGGGATGGATTGTCCCATATACGATCGACGAGTCCAGGTCGACGACTTGGCAAAGAAAGGGACAAAGAAAAAAAAAGGTGCATGGCACACACTGTAGACAACAAGGAAATGTATCTGCAATTTGGAAAAGATTTGCAGGAGGGTGCAGAGTGGAGCGCTCTCTCGCGCTGAGATCTACTCAATGCAACAGCAGTCAAGGCCTCGGGCACAAGATAAGGAGCGGTAAGCAGCAAAAAACAACAAGTGAACAAGCCGGTCCAACTCGGAAGGCACGGCCACCCAAGACACAAGACAATAGTAGACTTCCTGGGAGTGGGGCAGAAAAGGAGGCTCAAGGAAAAAGCCCCTCCACAGGACCAAAATGGGAGGTAAATATGGATAGACAAGGAATCAGGGGGTAGAAAGCGGGGGATTGGATATAGGAGTATCGGAAGTGACACCACGAAGCGAAGAAGAGCAGATCAAGACTACGCCGGACAACCAGAGCATTGGTGTACGTGTCAGATTCACGGCACCAGTCAGGGAGAAGAGAAAAAGAAAGAAAGAAAGGGAGAGAGAAGGGGAACACCACGCCAATATAAGCAAGAATGTATCAGAATAGAGAAGAAAATTCAAGGTCATCTCAGGGGTTCAAGCGTTGCACATCGTCCTCAGGCAGAGCTAGTGGAATGGAGAGCAAAACTAAGAAATCACCCGTGCGGTCTGAGGCCGCATGAGATCCTCACTGGCCTGCTTGGATAGGGTGCCAGTCTCTGTGGCCTGGTCATCCACGTTCTCCGTCTCGTGGGCATGCTCATCGTCATCCTCCACAATACGGGTCGGGATATCACCGGGACCGTACTGCTGGCTTGACCGCTCCGGGAAAGTCGAGCTGCTCACCATGGACATAGAAGTGCTGGATCGGTTGTGGACCAAGTCGGGAGTGGGGGGGATGCTGGAGTGACGGTTGTCCGGGTGCAGCGAGTTGTTGTCCATGTCGCTCACTTCACTGGTGGCACGGGTCGTGCGGCCGTCGTCATACTCGGAGCCCAGACGGCCATCACCGTTCTGATGAGCGGAGGACTTGGAGTTGGAATCAATCTCCTCGTCCTCCTCGGCGTCCTGGGCGAGGTGGAGTCCCTCGACAGCGGCGGCGCACTGGTCACTGATGCTACGAATAATGTCCGCGATAGCATCCGTCTTGTCGCGGAGGTAACGGTCCGCGACATCGGTAATGCTCAGACGGGCAAGGGTCTTGTGGTCCTTGCCGAGGTTCAGCAGGTGCTGTTCAAGCTCGGGTCTCATATCATTTACCGAAGTTGCCTTTTGAACGTTGCTCTCCTTGCCACTTGACTCCTTCACCGTCTCCATGCGCTCTTCGCGGGGGGTAGCCTCTTCGGGGGCATCTTCGTAACCCTGCTCGACCATCTCAGTAATCTCGGAGCTGCTGCCAATGGAGCGAACAATGTGCTCCATGTGGTGGCTCTGGCCATTGATCAGACTGCGAAGGTGCAGAACCACGCGCTGGGCATCGTCACGTTGACGAGACAGGGTGGAGTTAGTGTGGGTGAGGGCGGAGATCTCCTTCTGGTTACGCTTGCGTTCACGCTCGAGCTCCTCGGCAATCTCTTGCTGGAGAACCAGAGCCTCGAGAGCGTCGTCACGCTGCTTCTCAGTGCCGGACAGACGAAGAGTGAGACGAGCCACGTCATCCTTCTGCTGGTCAATGAGACCAGTGAGGCGACGGTTCTCACGCTTGTGGTTCTCAATCTTGACCTTGAGCTCGGAGGTCTCCTTGGTAAGCTGCTCAGCGAATGCCTGGAACTTGAGGAACTGCTGCTTCCAGGTCTCGAGCTCCTCGACCAGGAAGTTGTTGCGCTTGGTAACCTTGCTGAGCTCGGTGTCCATGCGGCCCTTGAGGTTGATGAAGTCCTGCCAGGCCTCCATCGCATCGCGCGAGTACTGGTTGCGCTCACGAACGATCTCGTTCAGATGACGCATCGATACCTTGGTCATGAGGGGCTTCTTGACGGAACCGCCGAAGATGGCCTTCACGCCAGTGTTGCGGCCAAGCTTCTCGCAGACGTGGTCCATCACGCCCATGACGGCGTCCTGGTTCCACCAGTTGGGGTCCTGAACGCTCTCCACCTCACCACGCATGACAATGATCTGACCGGCGGGGATCAGCTTGCCACCAGCGTAAGCGGAGCGGAGGTGAGTGGGGACTCCGGAGGGTGAGACATCGCCGTTCAGAGCCTGGGTGAGGCGGGTGATGAACTTGGTGCGCTGGCCCTGGTTCAGAACGTTGGGTGGGCTGGAGGTGAGAACGAAGTTGCGGTCGAGATCCACAACGAGGGCATCGGAGGGAGCGTTGAAGAGAGTGCGGCACTCGGCAGTGATACCGAGGATGTACGGGCCGGGCTCCTGGACGAGCTCCTTGACGTGCCGAGCGTGCACGACGGGGACGTAGAGGCCGCTCCACTCGTAAACACGAACGCAGTAGCGGACAGTCTCGGCAGCCACGGTCAGCATAGCCGGGTAGTGCGAGACGAAGATGATTCGGCGGGTGGGGGAAACCGCGGCTTCAATGACTCCGACAATGTTCGGAATCGACAAGCAGTTGAAAAGGGGCCACATGGAGAAGTTCTGGAAACCCGTTGGGGACGAGGGGAACTGGTAGCAGAGGGCGTAGTCCTTCATGTCGATACGGACAAGATCGTTGAGTCGAGGAGCAGGGAAGCTCAGAATACGAGAGACCTCCTCGGCGTGGAACAGATTCGTGGCTTTGTTCCAGTGAATCCACATTCCCCGAAGGTAATCACCCAGCAGGTCGTACAGAGGGTAGCGGGAGAGGAAGCTCAGGCAGTAAGGGATCCAGTAGGTCTCGTCAGGGTTGTCATAAAAGTCGGGCTCGGTCTTCTTGCGCAATTCGCGGATGGTCTCGGCACGCTTCTCATCGGCACGGGACCAAACGCGCAGCGCGATACCGTACAGGGTGTGAGAAGAATCTTGCTGGAGAACGAAGGCGTGGTGGGCGCAGTGAGGCTGGCTCTTGCCAGTGCAAATCTCGACATCGTGGGGGAAGCATGCCTAATGAAGAGAACGTTAGCTGATCTTAAGTCCTCGGCCAAAAATGCTTTTGCCTTTTCAGGAGAGCATATCATGCAATCCCATCGAATGGAGGCGTTTTCTCTTTTTTTTTATAGAGAAACGCCTACATAAATGTAGAGATCAAGAGCTTACCCGCATAGCCGAGTGCAGGGCTCGTGCAATTTCATTATCCTGCTCCAATCGAGGGCTGCTACCCAGGATCTCGGGAAGCCAGAACTGGCCAACAGCACCCTTCATGTGGCCAATCTTGCCCTGTTCGGGAATGGGTGCCTTGACCCATTGTGAGGGCTCACGGCCGACACCGCAGACCATGTATGCATGAGTGAGAGTTTTGGGAGTCCGCTGAGCGGGCTTCATGTTGAGAGTCGAAGGAATGGGTTGGGTGATGCGCGAGTGCAGCGACGACGTGCGGCTGGGGACGACCAGCGAATTTTCCCCCTCGCCGCGAGTCGTCGGGCGATCGCGAGTGGATGGCCGGACGAAGGACGCGTGGTCTCTCAAAGACGGTCCCATTCTGACGGTCTGTGGTGGTGGGTGATATAGATTGGAAATCTAGATCTATAGATGCTACCCGGTGTGGTAATGGTGATGGTGGCAGCGACGTTGAATGATTGCGGGCCTCACAACGGAATGTGGAGAGCTCGTCTGATACTACTAGAAGGATCAAGTTGGTTTTGCGAGAGAAAGGGTCGGGCCAGATCAAGAGAAGGACGAGGAATTGGCGTGAACAATGGACCCGAGAGCGAGAGTGATGCCGGTTGAGACTCGAATCTGGACTCAAAGTGGGCGGAGGGCAATGCAGGCCATCAATAGGAGTGGCGAGCGAGTATACCGGCAGAAGTATGCAAAGACGTGGACCAGGGCGACCACGCTCGTTTCGCGGAGGACTCGACTATCGAGATCCGAAGCCAAGCAGGATGGTGGGAGGAGAAGAGAAGGGAAAGGGAAGGGAATGAACCATGGACCACGGGGAAGAGAGATTAGGGGGGGGGGGAAGGATAGAGGAGATGAGGAGGAGCGGGCTCGGCGAGACTTAGAGAAAGTTAGTCGTTCAACTACGCCCGAACGGACTAGTCCAAAAGGTACGGGGGAGCTCAGGAAGAATAGGAGAAGAGCTGGACCGACGCTAAGGCTGAAAGGGGGCTGCTTCGGTGGGCCACGAGTGGGAATCACGAACGCAGTTGGGCCACTGAGAAACGGTCCTGTTCCTGCTCCACTCGTGCCCCGGTCTGTTAATTAAAAGTCAGGAGCTGCTCGAACGGAAGGAGAATAATTTTAGTGGTTTTTAGTTTTTCTTACCGGAACCGTTCTTGAATCCTGGATGATGACTATTATTGAGCCTGGTCGAGGCCTGGGGCTTGGTCCATGATCCATGATCTTAGGGAGAACATAGACAGAATACGAGATGTGATATTCCTTGTGTTTGAGACGGAAATGATAATTGACAGAAGAGTCCCTTCTAGATACTTTTAGATGCAATTCTGACGGTCTTTGTTGTCATTGTAGTGTGGCGGTTAGACTCTTTAGATCGAAGCTCTACCAGAACCATGGTACACAGCAGTCTACTTCTGGATGTAGTATGCTTTGGACTCCTCTCCTCTCGAGAGTCGATACGTCCAAATTCCTGCAGGCCTACAGGCCTGCACGCACTACAACGCCGTTTCATCATCCCCAACGGTTGACCGCCGGTTCGTCCATTCTGTGGCTGTCTCAGGCTCAGATCGTTTCGGTTCTTCCCCAGACCCTGGACACGTCCAATCTCCTTGATAGATCAACGCAAATCGATTCATAAGAACCCCCCATCTCATCCTCAACACCGATCCATTCCATGCCCGATGCGACCGTCGGAGGGGGCCAAAGTCTATACGGACCACCCGGCTATCAGTCCGACAGTCCCATCAATCCCATCCATCTCCGAATCAAGACTCGATCCTTTCATTTCTCGGCGCATTGGCTGACCGGGCAAAAAAACAAAAGAACGCTGCAGGTTCCATGAATGAGTCGAGCAATTCGTGTCTCGCCTGCGAGCAGCGAGGGGACCGCAGACTCCTGGGGAGCCATCACGCAGACATGGCTCCGCAGACCATGACCAGAACGATCGCACAAAGTGCATTTCGATCAAGAGAATGACAAATCCCGACCGTACGTCTGTGGGATCCGGTACTGGGTGCCTTGTACGCTCAATTTCGAGCGAATTCGCTGTATTAGGCTGAGCGCGACCATTCCGTACAATACAAACAACCTCCCTTTCCGACCTTGAATCATGCTCCAGCACCTGCCGATCAAGATCCCTCAATCGACCGGTTCGTGTTAGAGTGCAAAACCTGCGGAGAGCGAAGACCTCGAAATCACCCAAGTGTCATGGACCACGATCGCGGGCCCCCGGGTCATGGCCCATGGTTTCTGACGTGCCTGGCCGAAGCCTCCCAGAACCATGGCCAGTCCCCTGGTTTGTCCTCGCCCCAGCTCTGCCGTGCCTGCATCAAGTTGCGTGTGAGTGGTGCAACCCCCTGAGGGGCCGGGAAGCTAACCCTCCAACGGGACTAAGCAGACTCGGCAGAACTGAGCAGAGAAAAGAGGACCTCCATCACCCGGTTCCATACGGCTCTCGCAACGTGGGTCCCCATGGCCGAGATTCGTGTTCGAGCGGCTTCGATCGCGTGCAGCGGTTTTCTGGTTGGCGGTGGTCCGTGTGCCGCTTCCCGGCCTTTTCTTTGGTTGACCCCTGAATTTGCTGTCCTGCCATTCGGTCTTTTCCGCGCTACGCTGCGGAGTATCGCATTCAATCCAGAGTCTAACTACAGTAATTGCTTGTCTCCATTATGTCCGCAATCTACGGACTATATGAGAGACATTTGTCTATGCTCGAGGATAGTGTTTTATTCTTCTTTCTTCCATCCGGTCACTCCGAAGGTGAACCACTGTCCATCCCCATTCACTGGATTCTCATTGATCGTTTCCCTTTTGAGCCATCGTCATCCACTTTGGCCCGAGTCCACTGCCCGTCACTGTCAAACCCTACAGTACCGAACTAAATGTGGAAGTCTGCACTGGAGATCCCACTACCTCCTACCGGGCCAATCTCCCGGATCTGGGCTGGTGGGCTACCTTGTCTCCGAAAGGGGTCCTGTCATTCGTCTGTCGATAATCGCCGTGCGGGAAAAAGTGACTCCGTAGAACAAGGACTGTACATGCTACATCCAGTAGGAGTCTCGGTGCATGGCCCTGCTCTCCTTCCCAGTATGAAACGAACCACTCCGTAGTGAAAATGTTTAATCATCAGGTACCAGATCTAGACCTGAAGACGTCCGGATGAGCTCAACCAGAGATCAGTAGTTCGCGATCGTCCACGGTCGTAGTACGATACCCATATCCAAAGACCAGGATCCGCTCGTTCTCTGGCTACCCGCAGGAGTTCCTTTCGCAGGAATCAACCACCACATCGGCACTTCGAAACACACCCGCGCGTCTTAGCACGCACGAACATGCAAGGGCAAGGGTAGAAGATGAGATGCATTGCCACCGGCAGACCCGGCTCTCCATGCGTCCAACCGGGCCAAAAAAAGTAAAAAAAAAAACACACGCTAACAATGCCGTCAATCGGGATGGAGTCACAACAATCGCGCTGACAATATTTTCTCTGGTGTAAGTGGAGGTAATCCCGGTTTGGGGGTCGTGGGATGTCTGGATGTCTGCCGATCAATCACTCGATCCATCCACCCTGGCCAGAAACCACCGTTTCGCCTCGGTGGAGGGTGGCCCACCCGCTCAGCTGCCGGGAGGCAGTCCTCGAACCCACAATCCGCGATGCATGTACTGTATACAGGATGTACATGCAGGCCATGGATGAATTACGACCGGCACATGACCTGGCCCTCTACAAACTTGATCAAAGCTCTCGTCGCAGTCATAATGTGGCGCTACGTCAGGTTATATCTTAAAGCAAATTATCATTAACAGCAGAGGATGGAGCCAATTAAATTATTGGCAGGAACTTCCCAACACTCGGAAGAGGCCGGTACTCCTCTTGATAGTACTATTCTGAAAATCACGATACGGGCCTTGCATTCATTTCAGCAGGACCAATCTCCATCAGATAGCTGCGTCCGGGTTCCTCTGCCGGAGGACGGTCGCCTTCGGGAGTTAATCTAAACAAAGAACCCACGAAGCTTCCAGAGCCAAGCTAAAGACCGAGAGATGCGGGGAATCCATATCCATAATCGCTTAGTATTTGAGCCGTCCTCGTCTACGGAGTGCTCCGTACAGTATATATTGATGAGTGGGTAGACGAAACACTTTGGCTTCCGACGGAGGACTCGGTTAGCCACCACGGGCTCGATAGAGACTCCGTAAATCCGAGAATTTGATTCTACAAAAACCAATCAATTTGAATGGCCAACTATGCACCTCATTAGGTAACTTATATTCGGGATTCACTGCACGTTCTCGTGTCTGCGCGACCCCACGAGTGCCACTTTCGACATGCTAAAGCCGGAATTTTTCTGTGCATCATTTAATCACTTCGAATAATGGTATCACCCAGTCTGGTGCCGATGTGGAAATCAGTTAGGTTCATCTTCTTCGTACCGCTGCCTGGGCGTCTTTCAGCAGTCTGAATTGTCACTTGCATTTTGTATCATTTTCAATACGAAAGACCGGTGCCCAGGTCTTCGTTGTATAATATATACACGCAGCCCACGACGGGACCGATACCTTGAAGGCCAAGAAATCAAGTCTACTCTGTGCATGATGCACTACCTTCCTCAGTAACCACGTTATCCGCCGCATTGTCCCTCCCAATCCTCCTCAGCCAAGCCGTCCAGTCGAAATCACCCTCTTCCAAATCATCAACAAAATCAGCAAACTTGAATGTACGCCCAAAATCATCGGCTCGTTCTTTACCATCAGTGTATATCATGCGACATGACGCGATCCGATAACAATTCGTCTCATTAGTACCTAGCGAGCGTCTTCCCATCTTACTCTGTACGGACATGATAGATAAGACCCCTAAGAATTAGTCTAAACCGTCCATCGGCACTGGATAATGTCCCCACATCATACATCTATATCCGACAAGGAACGCAGGCCGGAGTTCGTGGTTTTCGCTCAGATCCACGATCTCGGAAAGCAGGGACGGGTCCCACAAGCTGCCATTGAAGAAGGATTGGCCCGTGGGAGTCGGAGGTAGTTCATCTGCCGAAAGAAGAGTGTTTCAGTAAAAGAAATCGGTGGTAGGAGCCACTTCTAATCCCTGAACCAAGGATGACATTTTGGAGCGAAGGTCCTCTGGTGGGGGCGGTGGAGGCGGCGGCGGAAAGGGTCTCTCGGTTTTCTCGTGATGAGGACGGCTTGTGGATTGGGCCTGAAACACAGATCGATGAGGGTGTGAATCGGCAAAGATGGAATAGGCAGGTACCTGTCGGGGGGGTGGGAGGTATGGATGGATGTCAGCGCGGAGTCAGTTGCTGAGCAAGGGCTGTTCCCGAGATATATCGCTGGATGCTTGGCTGCAAAATGGATTCTTCGCAACGCAATCTTACTACATGCTAAAGTCAAATTGTTGGGGGATTGAAATAAAGTCTGATTTTGGGTATCTATTTGCTACTGATTGAAAACAAAACGCCTCTAGAAAAAGGAGGCTCGCCTACTTGAAGACGTACACCATGCCCGCCCGGTCTACACTCACGATCATCCCGTACGGCTGACGCAGCACCGCGACATCCTGAATGACATCCAGATGGCTTTTGAGAAGCATCTGCTGCTGGAGACTAATCACGGTGCTGCGGGGTGGTCGCGGGCTAGCTCCCTTCTTGGAGCCAGCCGTGGCAGTGCCATCGCCATGGGCTGAAGAGCGGGGCATAAGCTCCGTGACCATGGAGAGGTTGGGTCCAGGCTGAGAGCTCTCGTACTGTGGCTTGCTCGCGGCATTGCCAGTGGAAACGGCATCCAATCCACTGACTATCATAGAACCCGCGGGGTTGGCAAGGTCCCAGAACCGGATTCGTCGGTCGCTTCCAGCCGAGACGATGAACCCGAGTTTGCTGTTGCTGCTGGCAGCCTTGTCGTCATCGGGAATATTCAGACCTCCCGTGAATGCCAACGTGCCCATTCGGTCGCCGGCAAGGTTCGTGGATGGCGCTGCGGAA